GCTCTACGCGACGGGGAAGGCCGCGCCGCCGCCCGGCAGCGATCATCCGGTGATGGCTCTCGGCCGGGCCGATGGCCGGCTCATCGAGGATGTGGTGCTCGACAAGGATGCCGTCTGGCTGCGTTTTTCGGTTCCGGCAAGCGGCATGATGGTGATCGAGGCGGTGGCGCTCGGCGAGATCGATCCGGCGATCACGCTGTTCGACGAGCTTGGCCGGACGATCATGCACAATGACGATATGGGGCAGGGCAACACGGACAGCCTGATCGCGACGCGCATCGCGCCGGGTGAATATCTTTTGGCCGTTACCCGGATCGAGGATGGCGTGGCGACGCCGGTGCGGCTTGCCATCGAGCGGTTCGTGCCCGCCGGCAAGAGCATCGACCGCTAAGTGCTGCGGCCCATGCAAAGCGGGCCGCCCTCGGGCGGCCCGGCTCGCTGGATTAATGTGGACGTCAGCCGCCATGGATCATGTCGGCCGGGATGTCCGCGCCGGCATTCTCGGTGAACCATTTGGCCGCACCGGGATGCCATTTCATCACGGTGTTCTTGGTCCAGTTCTCCGGCAGGGTCGACCGGGCGGCACGGTGAATGTTTACCATCCGCTCATTGTCCGACATGACGACATCGACCACCGCTTCAACGAAGCTTGCCGGCAGATCGCAATTGGCGATGGCGAAGTTCCACATCGACACCGACCGCGCATCGGCTTCAAGCGTCGTGTAGGTGTCGGCGGCGATCATGAACTCGGAAACCGGGAAGGCTTCCATGATGGCGGCCTGCTCTTCGGCGGTGAACTCGATGATGTTCACGTCGGTCTGCACTTCAAGCTGGCTGACCGCGGGGACCGGAACGCCGGCTGCGAACGCGATAACGTCCAGAAGGCCGTCCTGAAGCTGGCCGCCCAGATCCGACCAGCCGCCATTGCGGCGCTCGAATTCGACGCCGAGCGTTTCCATCATGCGCGGGAAGTAGGTGTCGGATGTCGAGCCGGCGGGACCGAAGCCGATTTTTGCGCCGGCGGGGATGTCGGCTATCGATTCGATTCCCGACGATGACAAAGCCGTCACCGAGAAGGGCGTCTGGTACATCGGAAACATCGCGCAGGCATTGGTCATCTCAAGGCCGGGGGCGATCGGGTTGGTGCCGCCGATCGATTCGGCAGCCGGCCCCATCGTGGTCATGCCGAACGCCGCTTCGCCGGTGTGCACCAGCGCCATGTTCTGCATCGGGCCGCCGGTGACTTCGCCGCCGCCGGAGATGCCCAGTTCCTCGGCCACCAGGTTTGCCCAGCCCGAGCCGTACGCAAAATAGGTTCCGCCCTGCGAGGCGGTGCCGACGGTGAAGCTTTCCGGCCAGCCTTCGCGGTCCTGGGCGAGGGCGCCGGAGGCGGTGACGGCGACGGTCGCAACGGCGGCCATCAAAATTGACAGTTTCATGAATTCCTCCTGTTCGGATCGTTCGGCCGTTCGCGCGGTGTTGCGCGAGCCGGCACCGGGCGGACCGGTCCGTAAGCGATGGTTCCTCCCCACCCGAGCGCCCGGCTGGCGGGCGCAGACGGGGCATCGGGCATTGAGCGGTCACCATGCAAGGGCGGCGAGCCCGATTGGCGGGGCCGGGCCGGTCGATATTGGGTCGATGGGCGCCACAGGGGACAATCGGGCGGTGATCGTGTGTCGGAAACGACACATTGGCTGCAAAAGCCACTCAGATGGCGTCTTCGGTCTCAATGAAGGCGGCGCGGTCGAGCCCGTACTTCTGCATCTTCTCGTAGAGCGCCTTGCGCGACAGGCCGAGCGCCTCATAGGTCTCCTTCAGGCTGCCGCCATGGGCGGTCAGGCTTGCCGCAATCAGCGCGCGCTCGAAATCGGCGACCTTGTCGGAAAGGTTGGCCCTGCCTTCAACGGGCGTTGCGCCAACCGCACCGTCGCCGATCGCCAGATCGAGGCCGAGCGCGAACCGGTCGGCCGCGTTGCGCAGTTCGCGCACATTGCCCGGCCAGGTGCGGGCCGAGACAGCGTTGAGGACCGCGCCGGGGACATCGGGAGCGGGCCGCTTGTAGCGGGCAGCCGCCTCGTTGACCAATTGCACGAACAGGCGCGGAATGTCCTCGCGGCGTTCCGTCAGGTCCGGCACGCGCAGCGTGACCACATTGAGCCGGTAGAGAAGATCGCTGCGGAACCGGCCCGCCGCGGCTTCGGCCTCGAGATCGGTCTTGCTCGCCGCGACGAACCGGACATCGAGTTCGACCGGATCGTTCGAGCCGAGCCGGGTGATCGCGCGGTTCTGGATGGCGTGCAGCAGCTTTGCCTGCATCGGCTGGGGCATGCTCTCGATCTCGTCGAGAAAGACAGTGCCGCCGCGCCCGTGTTCGAACTTGCCGTAGCGGGCACGCGTCGCGCCGGGAAAGGCGCCCGCCTCGTGGCCGAACAGTTCGCTTTCGATCAGCGCCTCGGGCAGGGCGGCGCAATTGATATGCACGAACGGCCAGTCGCCGCGCGTGCTCGCCCGATGCAGCGCGCGGGCCGCCACCTCCTTGCCGGTGCCGGTCGCGCCGATGATCAGCACATCGGCTTCGGTGGCCGCGATCGCGCGGATCTGGTGGCGCAGGTCCACCATGGCCGCGCTGCGGCCGGTCAGACGGGCCTCGATGGCGTCGCGGCCGCCCACCTGCGAGCGCAGGGCCCGGTTTTCCAGCGTCAGCCGGCGCTTGTCGAGCGCGCGGCGCACCGTCTCGACCAGCCGGCTGGGCGCGTAAGGCTTTTCAAGGAAGTCGTAGGCGCCCTCGCGCATGCACTGAACGGCCAGTTCCACGTCGCCATGGCCTGTCACCAGAATGACGGGAAACTCGGAATCGATTTCCAGCGCCCGGCGCATCAGTTCGATGCCGTCCATGCCCGGCATGCGAATGTCGGTGACCAGAATGCCCGGAAAGTTGCGGCTGATCCGGGCCAGCGCCTTTTCGGCCTGAGCAAGGCATGTGACGGGCAGGTCGGCAAGTTGCAGCGCCTGTTCGGCGGCGAGGCGCAGATGCTCCTCGTCATCGACGAAAAGGATGGTCTCGCCGGTCATTCGGCTGCCACCTCATGCGTCATGGGCGCGGTCTTGCCCGGCGCCGCCGCGACCCTGAGGTCGATGGTGAAGACCGCGCCGCCGGCCGGGTCGTTGCGCGCTGAGAGCGTGCCGCCGAAATCCTTGACGATGTTGTAGGAGATAGAAAGCCCCAGCCCCAACCCGTTGCCCGGACCCTTGGTGGTGAAGAACGGGTCGAAAATCTGTCCCAGCATGTCTTCGGTGACGCCGGTGCCGCGATCGCGGATATCGAGCCGGCAAGTGGTTCGGTCGGCCTCGACGGCGATCCCGATCACGGGTTCGCTCTGGTCCTGCATCGCATCGAGCGCGTTGCTGAGCAGGTTGACGATCACCTGCTGCAGCCGGACATGGCCGCCCATAACCCATATGTCCCGCTCGGGACGGTCGAAGGAGACGCTCGCGCCGGAAGACTTCAGCCTTGCCTCCATCAGCGCAAGCGCATCGTCGACGGCATGCATAAGCGGCACCGGCCCGATCTTCTGCTGCGGCCGGCGCGCGAAATTGCGCAGGTGCCGCGAGATCGACGCCATGCGGTCGGCCATCTGCGAGATCCGGCCGACATTGTCACGGACCTCGTCCGTCCGCCCGCGCTGGAGGAAGGCGGCGGCATTGTCGGCATAGGATTTGACTGCGGCCAGCGGCTGGTTGAATTCATGGCTGAGCGCGGCGGACATCTGGCCGAGCGCGGCCAGCTTGCCCGCCTGCACGAGATCGGCCTGAGTCTTGCGCAATTGCTGTTCGGCCGCCTTGCGTTCGTCCACTTCGGCCCTGAGCTTGCGGTTGGCCGTGTTCAGATCGGCGGTGCGTTCGGCGACGCGCTGCTCGAGCAGTTCCTGGGTGGCGCGCTGGGCCTCGATCCGCTCGACGAGCCGGGCGCGGCGCTGGATGAAGATGGCGGCGATCAGGCCGGCAAAGAGGATGACAAGCACGACCATTGCCATCACCCAGAGCGCCTGGGTGCGTGCCGGACCGGTGGGCGTCAGGATGGTCACCTGCCATCCGGCTTCGGCGATCGGCGTCGTGCTGGCGACGAAACTCTCCGATGCGCCGTCCGCGCCGATGGTCATCAGACCGATCCGGCCGGCGAGCGGCTCGCGCGTGGTCGGCAGTTCGATCACGCGGTCGAGCGGATATTGCCGGTCGGCTTCGATGCGGCCCAACGCTTCGTCCGACAGCGGCGACAGGGCGCGGAAATGCCATTCGGGCCGGCTGGCCATGAACACCACATCGTTCTGGTCCTTGACGATGATGTCATTGTCGCCGGCGCGCCATGCTTCCTCGAACGCATCGACCGTGAACTTGACGGCGACGACGCCGATCGGCGCGCCGGCCTCCATGACCGGGGCGGCGAAGAAATAGCCGCGTTCGCCCGATGTCGTGCCCAGTGCGAAGTAGCGGCCGATCGTTCCGTCCATCGCCTCGGTGAAATAGGGCCGGTAATAGAAGGAGCGGCCGACGAAGGAGAGCTCCTTGTGGTGGTTGCTGGCGACCAGCGTCAGCCCGGTCGTGTCCATCAGATAGATGTCGGATGCGCTGACCGCTTCGGCGGTCTGCTGCAACTCGTCATCGATCCGGTCGCGCAGGGCCGTGTCGTTCGGATTGGCCAGCAATTGCCGCAGGACCGGGCGCTCGGCGACGAGCGCGGGCAGGGGCTCGTAGCGGCGCAGCGCGCCTTCAAGCCCCTGGACGGCCAGACGCAGCGTCGCTTCGCTGCGTTCGCCGGCGCGCAGCAGGAAGGTGCGCTCGAGACCGGGCAGTGCGGCAAGGCTGGCCGCCACCGCGCCCAGCACGATGACCGCCAGCCAAACGGCAGCGTTGGCGCGAACGCCCTTTTGCGTGGCTCCTCCCCACATGGTTCAATTATGGCGTGTGCAAAGGCGCTTGAGAAGATGATTCCGCCGCCATCGTTAAGCCGTTTTGATGGCGACGTTTTTCGTCTGCACGTAATTCCACAGTGCCTCGCGGCCCTTCTCGCGCCCATAGCCGGACTTGCCGTAGCCGCCAAACGGCGTTTCGACACCGCCAGCATACCATTCATTGACGAAGACCTGGCCGGCGCGCAGCCGGCTCGCGGCGCGCGTGGCCCGGTCGAGATCGCGGGTGAAGACGCCGGCGACCAAACCGTAATCGGTGCCGTTGGCGATCGCGATGGCTTCGTCGTGGCCCGAAAACGGCATCACCGAGAGGACCGGACCGAACACTTCTTCGCGTGCGATGGTCATATCGGGCGTCACGCCGGTCATCACGGTCGGTTCCATGAACCAGCCGGGGCGGTTGAGCTTGCGGCCACCCGCTGCCGTCGTCGCGCCCTCGCGTTCTGCGCCCGACACCATGGACACGGCCCGGTCACGCTGCCTTTCCGAGATCATCGCACCCATGTTGGCGCCGAACTCGCCCCGTTCGATGCCGGGACCAACGGACAGGGAGGCGGCGAGGGCGGTGACCCGGTCGATCAGTTCGTCATGGCGCTTTTCGTGGACGATCACGCGGCTCATCGCCGAACAGACCTGGCCGGCATTGAACCAGATGCCCCAGCGCACATCGTTCATGAACGCGTCGAGATCGGCATCGTCGTGGACGATCGCGGCCGATTTGCCGCCGAGTTCCAGGATGCAGGGCACGATGTTGCGCGCGGCGGCCGTCGCGATGGCGATGCCGGTCGGCACCGAGCCGGTAAAAACGATCTGGTCGATGCCGGGGTGGGCGCAAAGCGCTGCGCCGGCCTGGCTGCCCAGCCCGCACAGGATGTTGACCGCGCCGGGCGGAAAGCCTGCCCACTCGGCGGCGCGTGCCAGCCAGGCATTGGTGAGCGGGTCGAGTTCGGGCGTCTTGACCACGCAGGCATTGCCGGTGGCAAGCGCAGCGGACAGCGACCGCGCCGTCATCTCAAGCGGATAGTTCCAGGGTATGATCTGGGCAGAGACGCCATAGGGCTCGTGCAGGGTGAAATCGAGATAGCCGGCGCCGAGCGGGATGGAGCGGCCTTCCACGGTCTCGGCCTGATTGCCGTAATACTCGAAATAGCGGGCGGCCCCCTCCACCTCGATCCGGGCTTCCCATAGCGGCTTGCCCGCTTCGCGCGTCAGAACCGGTGCGATCTCGTCCAGATGGTCCAGAAGAAAGCGGCCCATGGCCTGAACCATGCGACCGCGCTCGACCGGGCGCATGGCGGTGAGCACGCCGCTTTCATGGACGCGGCGCGCCGCCGCGACGGCGCGATCGACATCGGCCTCATCGGCCAGAGCCTGCTCGGCCAGCGGCTCGCCGGTCGCCGGATCGTCAACGGTGATGCGTCCGGCACCGCCATCGGCCCACTTGCCGTCGATATAGTTGCGCCAGTAGGCGTCGATCTGCCCGGTCACGGCCTGCTCCCCGATGTTCGGGCCACAATGGCCGATCCCGATACCGCCCGCTGGGCAAAAACCGACATTGCGAGCCCGATCCTGCCCTCGATGCGTCGCCGGTGGAGCGCAGGCCGGGTTGATCGTCCGTCAGACGCGTTCCAGCGCGACGGCGATTCCCTGGCCGACGCCGATGCACATGGTGGCCAGAGCGCGGCTTGCGCCGCGTTCGACCAGTTCCAGCGCGGCGGTGCCCGTGATGCGCGCGCCCGACATGCCGAGCGGATGGCCCAGCGCGATCGCGCCGCCATTGGGGTTCACATGGTCGGCGTCGTCGGCAAGGCCGAGTTCGCGCAGAACGGCAAGTCCCTGAGCGGCGAAGGCTTCGTTGAGCTCGATCACGTCGAAATCGGCAGGCGTCATGCCGAGCCGGGCGCACAGCTTCCTGGTCGCAGGCGCCGGCCCGATGCCCATGATGCGCGGCGGCACGCCGGCGGTTGCGCCGCCCAGAATGCGGGCGACCGGCGTCAGGCCGTTGCGTTCGGCAGCCTTTTCCGAGGCGATGATCAGCGCCGCCGCGCCGTCATTGACGCCCGAGGCGTTGCCGGCGGTGACCGAGCCGCCTTCGCGGAAGGGCGCCTTGAGCGCGCCGAGCTTTTCGAGGGTGGTCGTGCGGGGATGTTCGTCCGTGTCGACAACGACCGGATCGCCCTTGCGCTGTGGGATGGTGACGGGCGTGGTTTCCTTCGCAAACCGTCCTGATTTGATGGCCCTGGCGGCGCGCTCCTGGCTCCTGAGGGCGAATGCGTCCTGATCGGCGCGGCTGATCCCGAAGTCCTCGGCGACGTTCTCGGCAGTCTCGGGCATCGAATCGATGCCGTACTGCGCCTTCATGACCGGGTTGACGAACCGCCAGCCGATCGTCGTGTCGTGGACCGCATTGGATCGGGAGAAGGCAGCGTCGGCCTTGGGCATGACGAAGGGCGCACGCGACATGGATTCGACGCCGCCGGCCACGTAGAGCTCGCCTTCGCCGGCGCGAATCGCGCGCGCAGCGGCGATCACCGCATCCATGCCGGAGCCGCACAGACGGTTCATCGTTGTGCCGGGCACGGTCTCGGGCAGGCCGGCCAGAAGCGCCGACATGCGGGCCACGTTGCGATTGTCCTCGCCGGCCTGGTTGGCGCAGCCATAGACGACATCGTCGATGGCGCCCCAATCCACGGCATCGTGACGCGCCATCAGAACCCTGATCGGCACGGCGCCCAGATCGTCGGCACGGACGGAGGACAAGGCCCCGCCATAGCGGCCGATCGGCGTGCGCACATAGCCGCAGATGAAGGCGTCGGTAATGGTTCCCATGTTTTTTCTTCTCCCCCTTGCGGTTCCGTCGGCCGCCGCAGCCGCTTGTGACTTGCCCCGGCGGACGGTTTCGTGCCCCATAGGGCATCACATCGGGCGGCTCACCCTTTTCGATCTGCGTTGATGGTTACAAAAGAACGGCGGATAAGTGCCGCCCAGTCGGCGGTATCGGCATCAGCATCGGTGAATGGCATGGATCGCATGATCGGTCTTCCGGGCTCCGGCCGCCGGCCCGGTATCGCCGGCGAAATCCGGCTAGCATGGTCAGAACCGGAATGCGATATTTTATTTATCGACCGGTCGGTGAATGAATTGCATTTTGCCGGCGATCGTGCTTTCGTTCCTTGCTCCGTCGTTTCCGAAGCGCCAGCGGAACGGGTGGGCCTGCCGAGATGATCGGTTTCCGGAGGATGCGCACGCAAAGCGTGATCGGGCCGGGATCCGGTTCCGGCGTCAAAATGGGGCTGGCGCTGTGATGCAATATATATCATAATTGGCACTATATTGCCATAGGCGATCGTTCGCCTCGAGTGTCTGAAAGGGAGGAACCACATGACAACTCGCAGAACTCTACTCGGACTTGCCGCCGGTGTGACGGCGGCGGCGATGTTGGCCGTTTCGGCGCCTGCGGCGCTGGCGCAGGAGGTCACGCTGCGCCTCCACCAGTTCCTGCCGGCGCAGGCGAACGTGCCCAAGCTGGTGCTCGATGTTTGGGCCGACAATGTCGAGGAAGCCTCCGAAGGCCGCATCAAGGTCGAGCGCTTCCCGTCCATGCAGCTTGGCGGCACGCCGCCGGAACTGATCGACCAGGCAATTGACGGCATCGCCGACGTGGTCTGGACCGTGGTTGGTTATACGCCGGGCCGCTTCCCCTCGACCGAAGTGTTCGAACTGCCGTTCATGGTCTCCGATGCGCGCGCCGCCTCGAGCGCCTACTGGCAGATGTTCGAAGAGCACATGAAGGATGGCGAGTTCGCCGACGTGCATATTTTGGGCACGTGGGTGCACGGTCCGGGCATGATCCATTCCAACAAGGAAGTCACATCGCCCGACGACATGCAGGGCATGCGCATCCGCGGCGCGACGCGTCAGGTCAATGCGCTTCTCGAACAGCTTGGTGCGACGCCGGTCGGCATGCCCGTTCCGGCCGTGTCGGAAGCGCTGTCCAAGGGCGTGATCGACGGTACGACCATTCCCTGGGAAGTGACCACGGCGCTGAAAGTGCCGGAGCTTGTCGACAATCACACCGAGTTCGAAGGGGCGCACCTCTACAATGTGACCTTCGTTCTGGCGATGAACAAGGACCGCTACGAGAGCCTGCCGGACGATCTGAAAGCGGTGATCGATGCCAATTCCGGTCATGACTTTTCGGTCTTTGCCGGCGGCACGCAATCCGATGCCGACGGTCCGTCGCGCCAGATCGCCGTCGATCTGGGCAACAACATCGTGACCGTGTCCGAAGACCAGGTCGCCGTGTGGCGCGAACGGTCCCAGCCCATCTACGATGCCTGGGTCGCCGAAATGAGCGAAAAGGGCATCGACGGACAGGCCCTGATCGACCAGGCCCGTGAGCTGATGGACGCTTACGACGGCGGCAACTGACGCCAATTGCATCGAGACCGCGGCGGGCTGAAACCCGCCGCGGCAAATGCGTTTGCCGTCAGGGGGGCAATCGTTCATGTATCGCTTCTTTTTCGGCCTTTCCCGCCTGATGGCGGTTTTTGGCGGCTTCATCCTGTCGGCGCTGATCGTCATGGTCTGCGTGTCGATCGCGGGCCGTTCGCTGAACGGTTTTCTGCATGCCGACATGGTGCAGGCAATGGTCCCGGGCCTTGCCAACTGGCTGCTCGATATCGGCATCGGTCCCGTCAATGGCGATTTCGAGCTGGTCGAGGCGGGCATCGCCTTTGCCATCTTCGCGTTTCTTCCCTACTGCCAGATCACGTCGGGCCATGCGACCGTCGCCATCTTCACCGACTGGCTGCCCGAGCGCCCGCAGCAGTTCCTGCGCATGGTGATCGAGATCCTGTTCGCCGTGGTGCTCATCGTCATTGCCGTCCAGCTCAAGGAGGGGATGGACAGCCGCATCCGCTCCGGCCAGACGACCTTCCTGCTGCAGTTCCCGATCTGGTGGGCCTATGCGCTGAGCCTGGCAGGCGCGGCGGTCGCCGCCTGCGTTGCGGTGTACATGGCCATCGTGCGGACGGTTGAGGCCTTCACCGGCTCGGTCCTGATCGCCGACGATTTGGGAGCCGAACATTGACGAATTTCGAGATCGGCCTCCTCTCGTTTCCGGCCCTGCTGCTGCTGATCTTCCTGCGCGTGCCGATCGGCCTTGCCATGTTCACGACCGGCTTTGTCGGCCTGTGGCTGACCAATGGCAGCGCCTTCATGGCGATGGCGCGCCTGAAGACCGAGACCTTCACCACCTTTTCCAGCTACTCGCTGTCGATCGTGCCGATGTTTCTGCTGATGGGCTGCTTTGCGACGCTCGGCGGCATGTCGCAGGCGCTGTTCAAGGCGGCCGAAGCCTGGATCGGGCACAGGAAAGGCGGCATCGCCATGGCGGCGATCGGCGCCTGTGCGGGTTTTGGCGCGATTTGCGGCTCGTCGCTGGCAACGGCGGCGACGATGGGCCGGGTGGCGCTGCCAGAACTGCGCCAATATGGCTATGCCGGCGGGTTCTCGACGGCGACGCTCGCAGCCGGCGGTACGCTGGGCATCCTCATTCCACCCTCCATCGTGCTCGTGATCTATGCGATCCTGACCGAGCAGAACATCGCCAAGCTGTTTCTGGCTGCCGTGATTCCCGGCCTTCTGGCGGCGGCCGGCTATGTTCTCGTCATCTCGATCTATGTGCGCCTCAATCCCGAGGCGGCTGGCGTTCGCGAAAGGGTGGGGTATGGCGAGCGCTTCCGGGCGCTGTTCAATGTCTGGCCGGTGCTGCTGGTTTTCATGGCCGTTGTCGGCGGCATTTATGCCGGCATCTTCACGCCGACCGAAGGCGCGGCCGTCGGCGCGCTCGGCACGGGCCTCATCGCCTGGTGGAATGGCGGGCTGACGCGGCAATCGCTGGTCAGCAGCTTTTTGTCGACGGGCCGGTCAACGGCGATGATTTTCTTCATCGTTCTGGGCGCCGGCTTCTATAACGGGTTCCTGGCGCTGACGCAGGTGCCGCAGGAACTGTCGAACTTCGTTGTCGAGCAGGGCTTTTCGCCATGGCTGGTGCTGGCGATCATCCTGGTCCTGTATCTGATCTTCGGATGCGTGATGGACAGCCTGTCGATGATCCTGCTGACCATCCCGATCTTCTTTCCGGTCATTTCCAGCCTCGATTTCGGCATGACACCGGAGCAGGTCGCCATCTGGTTCGGCATTCTCGTCCTGATCGTCGTCGAGGTGGGGCTGATCACGCCACCGGTCGGGATGAACCTGTTCATCATCAATGCAATGGATCGCGGCACGCCGATCACGGCAACCTACCGTGCGGTGATGTGGTTCGTCGCCTCGGACATCGTTCGCGTCATCGTCCTTGCCGCGTTCCCGGCGATCACGCTTTTCCTGATCAGTTGACGGCATGGCCGCAGGCCGGTTTGGCGGTGGTTTGGCACATGCCAAATTATGCATGAAAATGCAAAAATCGCTTGCGGCTATATGCATTATTATGCAACATAGTCTCGAGCGCAGCAGTGACGATCGGGGAGGAGTCGATGCCGGCGGAGGAGTTCAACGCACTTGTGGGCAAGGTTTCGGCGGAGATCGCGGACCGGCCGCTCGATGACGGTCTTGCCGCCCATCTGAACGCGACCTTTCCAAAGGACGGACCCGATTTCGAGCGTCTGGCCGCACTGTGCGCCGAGGGCGATGCGGAAGGCTGGCTGATGGCGCGCGAAGCGGGCGGCATCAAGTTCGGCCGCGCGGTGAAGCCGGGAACGGATGCGGGCCGGTTCAGCGTCGATGTCGTGCGCATGAAAGATGTGCGCGGACCGCACCATGTGCACACCCAGGGCGAGATCGGCGCTGTCCTGCCGATCGCGGGAGCGCCGAAATTCGATGATTTCGATGCGGGCTGGTATGTTTACGCACCGGGCACCGATCACCATCCGACCGTCAGCGGCGGCGACGCCTATGTGGTCTACTGGCTGCCCGACGGCGCCATCGAGTTCACCGGCAAGCCATAAGCCGGGCCAAGAAGACGATCATCGGGCAAGGAGGAAGCGCGATGTCAGCCAAAAATGACGTGATCGGGGGAAATGCGGCGCTCTGGTTCGTCGATCGTCATGTCGGCGAGGGCAGGGGCGATGGCATCGCTTTTCGTGAAGCGTTCGGCGACAACCGCGAGATCAGCTATGGCGATCTTGCCGAACAGTCGGCGCGTTTCGCCGGCGCCTGCCACCGCGCCGGCCTGAGGCGCGAAGAGCGCGCCATCATGCTGGTGCTCGACCAGATCGAGTTTCCGGTCATTTTCTGGGGCGCACTGAAGGCCGGCATCGTGCCGATCCCGCTGAACACGCTCCTGTCGACCTCGGTCTATGACGCGATCTTCCATGACAGCCGCGCCTCGGCGCTGTTCGTTTCCAATGAACTCTACGAGACCATCGCCCCGGCGCTGCCGCTCAACCCGTTCATCCGCGAAGTGATCGTCATCGGCGACAGCGCGCCAGAGGGCGCGCGCACGTTCAACGCGTTCATGGAGGGTGCCGAACCGGCCGAACCGGTGACGGTCTGCGACGACGAGGTCGCCTTCTGGCTGTATTCGTCCGGCTCGACAGGCCAGCCCAAGGGCGTGCGCCACGTCCATTCGAGCCTGAAGGCAACGGCCGACACCTATGGAGCACAGGTGCTCGGCGTCCGGCAGGACGACACGGTCTATTCGGTGGCCAAGCTGTTCTTCGCCTATGGCCTGGGCAACGGAATGACCTTTCCGATGGCGGTCGGCGCGACGACGCTTTTGTACAATGGCCGGCCCACGCCCGACAGCGTTTCGCAGATCCTTACCGAACATCGGCCGACCGTCTTTTGCGGCGTGCCGACGCTCTATGCGGCGCTGGTGCACAAATGGGAGAGCGAGGGCGCCCATCCCGATGCGCCGCTCAGAACCTGCATCTCGGCCGGCGAGGCGCTGCCAGAGGAGGTCGGCCGAAAATGGCAGGCGGTCTGGGGCGTCGACATCATGGACGGCGTCGGCTCGACCGAGATGCTGCACATTTTCCTCTCCAACCGGCCGGGCGACGTGGTCTACGGCACGTCTGGCGTGCCCGTGCCGGGCTACGAGGTGCGGCTCGTCGACGAGGCAGGCGCCGATGTCGGTGTCGGCGAAGTGGGCGAGCTGCTCGTGCGTGGCGCATCGTCGGCCGACGGTTACTGGAACCAGCGCGACAAGAGCCGCTCGACCTTCGAGGGCCACTGGACGCGCACCGGCGACAAGTATGAACTGACGCCGGACGGCCGCTACGTCTACTGCGGACGCACCGACGACATGTTCAAGGTATCGGGCATCTGGGTGTCGCCGTTCGAGGTGGAGCAGGCACTGGTTTCGCATCCGGCGGTGCTGGAAGCGGCAGTGGTCGCCAAGCGCGATGATGACGGGCTCGAAAAGCCCAAGGCCTTCCTGGTGCTCAAATCGGGACAGGCCGGCGATCCGGACGCGCTGAAGGCGTTCGTCCAGGACAAGATCGGCAAGTGGAAGTACCCGCGCTGGGTCGAGATCGTCGACGATCTGCCGAAGACCGCGACCGGCAAGATCCAGCGCTTCAAGCTCAGGGAGACGGCGTGATGGCTGACTGGAAGGCTGAAGGCACACTGGAAGCCGGTGGCAAGACACTCGAATATCGCTGCTTCGGACCGGCACCGTCAGAGGCGCCCACCATCGTGATGCTGCATGAGGGGCTCGGCAGTGCGGGTCTGTGGCGCGATTTTCCCGAAAAGGTCGCCGAGGCGACCGGCATGGGCGTCTGCGCTTATTCGCGCGCCGGCTACGGCCAGTCGGACCCGGCGGACCTTCCGCGCCCGCTCGACTATATGACGCGCGAGGCCGTCGATGTGCTGCCCGAGGTGCTCGATCGGATCGGCTTTCGGCGCGGTATTTTGCTGGGCCATTCGGACGGGGCGACGATCGCGGCGATCCATGCGGGCAGTGTCGAGGACTATCGGGTGCGGGGCATCATATTGATGGCGCCGCATTTCTTCACCGAACAGATGGGACTGGACGAAATCGCGCGCGCCAGGAAGGCCTATGAGGGCGGCAATCTGCGTGACCGGATGGCCAAACATCATCGCGATCCCGATCATACGTTCCGCGGCTGGAACGATGCCTGGCTCGATCCCGCCTTTGCGCGCTGGAATGTCGCCGAGGTCATCGACTATTGGCGCATTCCGGCGCTCGCGATCCAGGGCCGGCAGGACCAGTATGGCACGCTGGCCCAGATCGAAGAGATGGAGAGCCGGGCCTATTCGCCGGTGGAGGTGTCAGTCCTCGAGGACTGCCGCCACGCGCCGCATCAGGACCAGCCCGCAAACACGCTTGCGGCCATCGCGGAATTCGCCGCACGGCTCGAGCGGATCGAGGCCGCCGAGGTCGAGGCCGCCTGATGCACGCGCCGGTCCCGATGCCGCCCCATGCCCACATTCCTGGCCGGAATTGCCGGCATGATGAGGGGCGGTGGGACGATGTGCGGGCGACCGCCCAACCGGGCATGAGCGCCGAGGCGCTTGCCGCTTCGCCGGCCTTCACCGCCGGCATGGATTTCTTCGAGAACGGCTTCTTCTGGGAGGCGCACGAGGTGTGGGAGGCGGTGTGGATGGCCTGTCCGCCAAACTCGGCCGAACATCGTTTCGTTCAGGCGCTGATCCAGCTTGCCAATGCCGAACTCAAGCTTGCCATGGAAAAGCCCAAGGCGGCCATGCGGTTGTGCGGGATTGCCGCAGCGCACCTGTCAGAAGCCGCGCGCGGGGGGCACGAACAGGTGCTCGGCGTCGGCGTTGCATGGCTGGAGGGCGCGATTGGCCGATGCCGGCATCGTGCCGCAAGGTTGGCGATAAGTGCATTATAATGCATATAATGCATTGACCTTGGCCAGAATATTTGCATTATGATGCAAAATATGGTTTACACCGCCCGGCTCGGGCGATAAGACGCAACATAACGCATGTGGGAGAATGTCGTGCCCGACATCATCGACTTCCGGACCGATCCGTCGCACTACCGCCATTGGCGGGTCGAGTATGATGGCGACATCGCCAATCTCTACATGGATGTCGACGAGGATGGCGGCCTTTTCGACGGCTATCAGCTCAAGCTCAATTCCTACGATCTGGGTGTCGATATCGAACTGGCCGATGTGGTGCAGCGCATGCGCTTCGAGCATCCCGAGGTGAAGGTCGTCGTCATGCAATCGGGCAAGGACAATGTGTTCTGCGCCGGCGCGAACATCCGCATGCTGGGCGGCGCGGCGCACGCGCACAAGGTCAATTTCTGCAAGTTCACCAACGAGACGCGCAACACGTTCGAGGCGGCCGAAGCCGACTCGGGCCAGAAATACATCGCCGCGGTGAAGGGTGCCTGTGCCGGCGGCGGTTACGAACTGGCGCTCGCATGCAACCACATCATGCTGACCGACGATTCATCGTCCTCGGTGGCGCTGCCCGAAGTGCCGCTTCTGGCTGTCCTGCCGGGTACGGGCGGGCTGACGCGTGTCACGGACAAAAGGAAGGTACGCCGCGATCTGGCCGATGTGTTCTGTTCGATCGAGGAGGGCGTCAAGGGCAAGCGCGCCACCGAATGGCGGCTTGTCGACGAGGTGGTGCCCAACTCTAAGTTTGCCGACGCCGTTCAGGCGCGCGCGAAGGAATTCGCCGCCGCATCGCCCAAGAACGCCCCCGAAAAGGGGATTGCGCTCGACCCGCTCAATCGCACGATCGCCGAGGACGGTTCGGTCACTTATTCGCTGGTCGAGGTCGCCGTCGAACGCGATGGACGCCGCGCGACGATCACCCTCCATGGACCGGACGGTGACGCGCCGGCCGATGCGGCCGCGCTGACCGCGCTTGGCGACCGGAGCTATTTCCTGCGGCTGGCGCGCGAACTGGACGATGCGATCCTGCATCTGCGCCTCAACGAGATGGAGCTTGGGCTTCTGGCTTTCCGCAGCCAGGGCGACGCCGCCAAGGTGTTGGCTGAAGAAAAGCTTCTCTTCGACAATGCCGATCACTGGCTGGCCAACGAGATCCTTCAATACTGGAAGCGGGTGATGAAGCGTATCGACGTGACGTCGCGCTCGCTGGTCGCCTTCGTCGAGAATGGCTCCTGCTTTGCCGGCATGCTGGCCGAGGTGCTGTTTGCCGTCGACCGGACCTACATGATGGAGGGCGATTTCGAGGGCGACAACCGCCCCGTCGCCTCGATCACCCTGTCGCAGGCCAATTTCGGCCCGTTCCCGATGGCCAACGATCTGACCCGGCTCGAAACGCGCTTTTTGGGCGAGCCCGAACGGGTCGAGGCGGCGAAGGAACAGATCGGTGAGACCCTCGAAGCCTTCGATGCGAACGAACTGGGACTCGTCACCTACGCCTTCGACGATGTCGACTGGGAAGACGAGGTGCGCATCTTCCTTGAGGAGCGCGCCAGCTTCTCGCCCGACGCGCTGACCGGCATGGAAGCCAATCTGCGCTTTGCCGGCCCCGAGACCATGGAAACGCGCATTTTCGGCCGCCTGACCGCCTGGCAGAACTGGATCTTCCAGCGGCCCAATGCGGTCGGTGAGGACGGCGCCCTGCAACGCTACGGAACCGGCGTGCGCGGGCAATACAACATGCAGCGCGTCTGACGCGCGAACACCGGCGCCCCAGGCGCAACCCGGAGGAAGGACGACAATGCTCGATCTCATCAATGTCAGCTACGACACGCAAATCCCGAACAATGTCGGGCTCAGTTCGGACAAGCGCGTGCTCAAGGCGTTGGAAAAATGGCATCCGGGATACATCAACTGGTGGAACGACCTGATCCCGGACAATTTCCAGCAGTCGCTCGTTTATCTGCGCACCGCCGTCTCCGTCGATCCGAAGGGCTGGGCCAAGTTCGACTATGTGAAGATGCCCGAATATCGCTGGGGCGTGCTGCTGGCGCCGCAGGTCGAGGACCGGACCATCCCGTGCGGCGAGCATGCCGGCGAGGCGGCCTGGCAGGAGGTGCCGGGCGAATATCGCGCCATGCTGCGCCGGCTGATCGTCATCCAGGGCGACACCGAGCCGGCATCGGTCGAACAGCAACGGTTCCTCGGCAAGACCGCGCCGTCGCTCTACGACTTGCGCAACCTGTTCCAGGTCAATGTTGAAGAGGGGCGCCACCTGTGGGCGATGGTCTATCTGCTGCACAAATATTTCGGCCGCGACGGCCGCGAGGAGGCCGACGATCTGCTGCGCCGCTCGTCGGGCTCGGAGGAAGCGCCGCGCATGCTGGGCGCCTTCAACGAGGAAACGCCGGACTGGCTGTCCTTCTTCATGTTCACCTATTTCACCGACCGCGACGGCAAGATGCAGCTTGAATCGCTCGCCCAGTCCGGCTTCGATCCGCTGTCGCGCACCTGCCGCTTCATGCTGACCGAGGAAGCGCACCACATGTTCGTCGGCGAGACCGGCGTTGGCCGCACGATCCAGGCCACATGCGAAGCGATGGTGAAGGCCGGCATCGAGGATCCTTACGACACCGACGCGATCCGCGCGCTTGGCGTCATCGACCTGCCGACGATCCAGAAGAAGCTCAACCTGCACTACACGCTGTCGCTGGACCTGTTCGGCCAGGAGGTTTCGACCAATGCGGCCAACGCGTTCAATGCCGGCATCAAGGGCCGCTACATGGAGAGCCGGATCGATGACGATCACAAGCTGCATGGCGACACCTACGAGGTCTGGGACTTCGAGGACGGCAAGCTGGTGCGCAAGGAGGTGCCGGCTCTGACGGCGATCAACATGCGCCTGCGCGATGATTATACGCGCGACGCATCGGGCGGTGTCGGCCGCTGGAACAAGATCATCGAGAAGACCGGCATCGATTTCCAGATGAAGCTGCCGCATGAATCCTTCAACCGGAAGATCGGCGTCTTCGCCGACAAGCTGTTCGACCCGGACGGCAAGCTTCTGACCGGCGCCGAGTATGATGCGGGCATGCCCGACTGGCTGCCGACCCATGCCGATGGGGATTTCATCCAGTCCCTGATGGTGCCGGTCTACGAGCCCGGCCAGTATGCAAGCTGGATCGCGCCGCCCAAGGTCGGCATCGACAACAAGCCGGGCGACTTTGAATATGTGAAGCTGCACATGGCCTGACGGGTCCACGTCAAGCATCGCCGGCGCGTCTTTGGGCCGCGCCGGCCGCTCTCTTCAATTCGGGAGGCATCGATGGATATCAGCAGAAACGCCAAAAAGCCTGACACCGCCGCGCGTTGCGGCGACGTTCCGAGGATTTGCCTTGGCTGCAAGGACTGTCAGGGACCGTGCCTGCTGTTCGCCGAGCTTTACGGCGGCATCGCCATTGAGAGCCCGGGCCGGGAAGCGGCGGCATGAACAAGCCGGTCAAGCAGCATCTGATCGACCCGGAAATCTGCATCCGTTGCTACACATGCGAGATGACGTGCCCGATCGGCGCCATCACCCATGACGACAACAATGTCGTGGTCGATGCCGCCCGGTGCAATTTCTGCATGGACTGCATTCCGGTGTGTCCGACCGGGTCGATCGACGAGTGGCGGATCGTCAACGAGCCCTATTCGCTGGACGAGCAGTTCGGCTGGTCCGAGCTGCCGCCCCAGGAGGAGATCGCGGCCGACGGCGATGGCGCCGACACCTCGATCGAAGCGTTCGACGATGCCATCGCCGCGCTCCTGGCCGAGGCGCACAGCGGCGCGGGCGGCAAGGCCAGGGCGCCGGCGAGCGCGGCCAAGCCTTCCATCAACCTCTACAACTTCGCCAAGCCGGCCGAGGCGACCGTGACCGGCAATTTCCGGCTGACCAGCGAAGATGGCGACAGTGACGTGCGCCACATCATTCTCGATTTTGGCGCCACGCCATTTCCCGTTCTGGAGGGCCAGTCGATCGGCATCATCCCGCCGGGGACCGACGAGAAGGGCGAGGCGCACCTGCCGCGGCTTTACTCGGTATCGAGCCCGCGCGACGGCGAGCGACCGAACTACAACAATGTGTCGCTGACGGTGAAGCGGGAACCCAACGGCGTCTGTTCCAATCATGTCTGCGACCTCAAGCCGGGCGACATTGTCAAGGTGACCGGGCCCTTCGGCTCGACCTTCCTTTTGCCGTCCGATTCCGACGCGCATCTGATGATGATCTGCACGGGCACCGGCTCGGCGCCCTTTCGCGCCTTCACCATGCGCCGGCAGCGCGAAAATCCGCGTCTCAAAGACACGATGTCGCTCTATTTCGGCGCGCGCACGCCCGAAGACCTTCCCTATTTCGGGCCCCTCAAAAAGGTGCCCGAGAGCTTCATGAAGAAGGTCTTCGCCTTTTCGCGCCAGCCCGAAAGCCCCAAAAACTATGTGCAGGACAAGCTGCGCGAGAACGCGGACGATGTCGCCGCGCTGATGCGCAATCCCGACGGCTACATCTACATTTGCGGGCTCAAGGCGATGGAGCATGGCGTCGAGGAGGCCCTGTCCGACATCGCCCGAAGTGCCGGGCTCGTCTGGACCGAGGTGCGCGACACCATGCGCGACGATGGCCGCTATCATGTCGAGACCTATTAGGCCATAGATGCCGCCACAGGCGAATCGGGCGGGGTGACGACATGGATGACGAGGTCTTCGAACACGAAATCCGGGTGGGCTGGGGCGACTGCGATCCGGCGCGGATTGCCTATACCGGCAAGCTGCCCATGTTCGCGCTCGAGGCCATCGAAGCCTGGTGGGAACACCATTTGGGCGGCGGCTGGTACCAGATGGAGCTCGACCGCGGCGTCGGAACGCCCTTCGTCCATATGAGCCTGAACTTCCGGTCGCCGGTCACGCCGCGCCACCGGCTCAAGTGCAAGGTCCGGCCGACGCGGCTGGGCGAAACGTCGATCGCCTTCAGGGTCGAGGCATTCCAGGACGGCACATTGTCGTTCGAGGGCGATTTCGTGTGCGTGTTCGCCGTGCCCATCGAATTGAAGAAGACCCCGCCGCCCGACGATATCCGGGCCATTGTCGAGGAGCGGATCCGCGCCGGCGCCAATGCTGCGGCCGGGCAGTAACCGTCTGCGCAGGCAGCGCGATTGCAGGCATTGAGAAATACCCGCGCTGGGGTATTTTGTGCACTATTGTACACATTGCGGCGGCCAGCATGAGCGAGATCACCAACTTCAAGGGCGTGGCGCAAAAGACCACCGCCGAGAGCCAGTCCGACGCGATGGTGGCGACGCTGCTCAAGCGGGTCGGCGAACGCGTGCGCAAGGCGCGCGAGCTCAAGGGCATTCCGCGCCGCGTGCTGTCGGAGATTTCCGGCGTGTCGCCGCGTTATCTGGCGCAGCTCGAATCGGGCGAGGGCAACATTTCGATCGGCCTGTTGCAGAAGGTGGCGGTGGCGCTCGACTACCGGATCGAATGGCTTGTCGGCGCCGAAGACCCGTGGTCATCGGACACGATGCGGGTGGCCGATTTGTTTCGGCGGGCGGGCTTTCACACGCGCCAGAAGGTGATCGATCTTCTGTCGCCAGACACCGAGACGGACATGCGCGCCAGCCGCATCTGCCTGATCGGGCTGCGCGGCGCCGGCAAATCGACGCTTGGCGCGATGGCCGGCGAACGGCTCGGCGTGCCGTTCGTCGAACTCAATCGCGAGATCGAGGAGCAGAGCGGCATGCCGGTCAACGAGCTGCTCGCCTTTTACGGGCAGGAGGGCTACCGCAAGCTGGAGGCCCAGGCGCTCGAACGGGTGATCGCCACCCATGATGCGATGATCCTTGCCGTTGCCGGCGGCATCGTCGCCGACCCGCAGACCTACAATATGCTGCTGGCGCATTTTCACACGGTCTGGCTCAAGGCGGAGCCCGAGGACCATATGGAGCGGGTGCTGGCGCAGGGCGACACGCGGCCGATGGGCGGCAATCCCGAGGCGATGGATCAGCTCAAGTCGATCCTGACCAGCCGAGAGGCGTTATACGGCCGTGCCTCGTCGCAGGTCGACACCAGCGGCCGCAGCCTCGAGGAGACGCTCGACGACTTGATCGGCGTCATCGGCGAGCGGGGATTTTTGCGGTAGGACCTGCCGGCCGGGCAGGACCATGTTCGAACACAACGTTTTTCAGGAACATCCGATGACAGTGACGTGGAGGCGTGAAGGCGACGCCGGGCTGGTCGAACTCGCCAATCCGCCGGTGAACGCAATGGGTCTGGCCGTGCGGCAAGGGCTGCTGGACGCCGTCAGATGGGCGGAAAACGAACCCGGTCTTTCGCGCGTCATCGTCTCCGGCCAGGGCAGGGCTTTTGCCGCCGGCGGCGATGCGCGCGAGTTCGACGGCGATCCCGTTCCGCCGCATCTGCCCGACGTGCTCGATGCCATCGAAGCCAGCACGGTGCCTTGGATCGCCGCGGCCCATGGCGTGGCGCTTGGCGGCGGTGCGGAGCTGATGCTCGCCTGCCGCTACCGCATCGCGGCGCCGGAGACCAAGATCGGTCTGCCGGAAGTCACGCTGGGCGTGGTGCCCGGCGCGGGCGGCACGCAACGCCTGCCGCGCCTTGTCGGTCTTGATACGGCGCTCGACATGATCGCCAACGGCAAGCCGGTCGGCGCACTCGACGCGCAGGAGATGGGATTGGTGGATGCGGTGGCCGACGATCCGGTTGCCCATGCGATGTCGCTCGATATGACCTCAGTGCAGGACCGGCCGATCCTGTCGGCGCTCGACGGTCCGGCGCCCGACGATGACGCCGTCCAGAAGGCACGCGCGACGGCGCACAAGCGCATGCGCGGGCAGATCGCACCGCAAAAGGCGATCGACCTTGTGGCCTTGTCGGCCACTACAGCATTTCGCGACGCGCTGGCCCGGGAGCGCCAGACGTTCATCGAGCTGCGGTCGACGGAACAGGCAAAGGCGCTGCGCCATATCTTCTTTGCCGAGCGGGCGGCGAAGGCGCCAGGCTGGCTTGACGCCGAACCGCTGAAGGTCGAGCGCGCGGCGGTTGTCGGCGGCGGCACGATGGGTGCGGGCATCGCTTATGCGCTGCTCCTGGCCGGCATCGGTGTGACGCTTCTTGAGACCGATGCCGACGGGGTCGAGCGCGCCAAGGCCAATATTGGCCGGATTATGGATGCAAGCGGCAGGCGCGGGCTCCTGTCAGATGACAAGCGCGCAGGGATCGAAGCGGCGCTGACGGTCACGGACGATTATCGTGCGGCGGCCAAGGCGGATCTTGCCATCGAGGCGGCATTCGAGAGCATGGAGGTCAAAAAGACCGTGTTCGGCGCGCTTGAAAAGGCGCTGCCGGCCGATGCCGTGCTCGCCACCAACACATCCTATCTCGACGTCAACGAGATCGCCGCCGGCCTTGCCGATCCGTCGCGGCTGATGGGCCTGCATTTCTTTGCACCGGCGCACATCATGAAACTGCTCGAGATCGTGCAGGGTGATGCGACGAGCCATCGTGCGCTGGCGACCGGCTTTGATCTTGCCAAGCGCCTGCGGAAGGTGCCCGTTCTGTCCGGGGTCTGCGACGGCTTCATCGGCAACCGAATTCTGGCCCGCTATCGCGAGGCGGCCGACACGCTCCTGATGGACGGGACCAACCCCTGGGAGCTTGACGAGGCGATGGTCGAATTCGGCTACGCGATGGGACCCTATGAAGCGCAGGACCTGTCCGGCCTCGACATCGCCCATGCCAACCGTCAGCGCCAGGCCGCGACCCGCGATCCGGACCGGCGCTACATTCCGATCGGCGACCGCATGGTTGCCGAAGGGCGCCTTGGCAAGAAGGTCGGCGTCGGCTGGTATCGCTATCCGGGCGGGGGCGGCAAGGTCGTCGATCCGCTGATCGAGGATCTGGTTCGCGAGGAAGCTCATTTCGCCAAGGTCGAGCGGCGCGAGTTCACGGACGATGAAATCCGCCGCCGGCTGGTGCTGGCGATGATCAACGAGGCGGCCGACATCTTGGCCGAAGGGATCGCGCAGCCGGCGGCCGACATCGATCTGGTGACGGTGTTCGGCTACGGCTTTCCGCGCTGGCGGGGCGGGCTGATGCACTATGCCGACACGCTCGGCGTCGATGCCATTGTCGCCGACCTGCGGGCTCTGGAGGCCGAAGACCCGATCGCCTGGAAACCGAGCGCGGCGCTTTTGGCCTGTGCCCAGCAGGGCATTGCGCTGCGCGACTATCGTCCAAACCCTTAGCGGTGTGAAACGCAATGCCGGCCCTTTTCAAACCGGCGCGGATGTATTATAAACCGACCGATCGGTTAATTAATTCCGGCGCGCGTGCCGGACGGTCGAGGCGGAGGAGGCGCAGCGCATGTATGCCCAGATGGTGAAATCCACCGGCACGATGAAGACTCGTGAGGAAATGGATGAGCGCGAGCGCGCCTTTCAGGACCGTATCGATGCGGGCGAGAAGATCGAGCCGCAGGACTGGATGCCGGAAGGCTATCGCAAGACGCTGATCCGCCAGATCGGCCAGCATGCCCATTCGGAAGTTGTCGGCCAGCTGCCCGAAGGCAACTGGATCACCCGAGCGCCGACGCTTGAGCGCAAGGCAATCCTCCTGGCAAAGGTGCAGGACGAGGCCGGGCACGGCCTCTACCTTTATTGCGCCGCCGAGACGCTCGGCGTCAGCCGCGACGAGATGACCGAAAAGCTGCATGACGGCAAGATGAAGTATTCCTCCATCTTCAACTATCCCACGCTCACCTGGGCCGATATCGGCGCGGTTGGCTGGCTGGTCGATGGCGCGGCGATCATGAACCAGGTGGCGCTGCAGCGCACCTCCTACGGCCCTTATTCGCGGGCGATGGTGCGCATCTGCAAGGAAGAGAGCTTCCACCAGCGCCAGGGCTATTCGATCATGATGAAGATGGCGTCCGGAACGCCCGAGCAGAAGCGCATGGCGCAGGATGCGCTGGATCGGCTTTGGTATCCTTCGCTGATGATGTTCGGTCCGTCCGACAAGGACAGCGTGCATTCGGCCCAGTCGATGGCCTGGAAGATCAAGGTCAGCACCAATGACGAGTTGCGCCAGAAATTCGTCGACCAGACGGTGCCGCAGGCCGAATATCTTGGCCTGACGATCCCTGACGACAAGCTTGCCTGGAACGAGGAGAAGGGTGGTTACGACTTCTCCGAACCGGACTGGCAGGAGTTCCACGATGTGCTGGCCGGCAACGGGCCGTGCAATGCCGACCGGATGGCCGCGCGCCGCACCGCCTGGGAAGACGGCGCATGGTACCGCGACGGTCTCGTCGCCCACGCAAACAAGCGCGCCGCACAGCGCATGGCAGCGGAGTAATCGAAAATGTCTTCTGAATGGCCCCTGTGGGAAGTCTTCATTCGCGGCCAGCATGGCCTGAACCATCGCCATGTCGGCTCGCTGCACGCGCCGGACGCCGAAATGGCGATCAGACACGCCCGCGACGTCTACACGCGCCGCAATGAGGGCGTGAGCATCTGGGTGGTGCCGTCCAACCAGATCACGGCCAGCGTGCCGTCGGAGAAGGGCCCGATGTTCGACCCTTCCAAATCGAAGATCTACCGCCACCCGACCTTCTATGACATTCCGGACGAAGTGGGGCACATGTGATGAGCGCGCTCGTCGAATTTGCGCTGCGCATGGGCGACAATACGCTGGTGCTCGGTCACCGCGTGTCGGAATGGTGCGGCCATGCGCCGGTGCTTGAAGAGGACATTGCGCTCGCCAACACGGCGCTCGACCTGATCGGCCAGACACAGATGTGGCTCGGCCTTGCCGGCGATCTGGAAGGCAAGGGCCGGACGGCCGACGATCTGGCCTACAAGCGCGATGCCTGGGACTTCCGCAACCTGTTGCTGGTCGAACGCCCGAACGGCGATTTCGGCCAGACCCTGATGCGCCAGTTCCTGTTCGATGCCTGGCATCATCCGATGCTGACATGGCTGTCGGAGAACTCGAAGCATGAGCGCGTCGCCGACATCGCCCGCAAGGCGGAACGCGAGGCGGCCTATCATCTGGAGCGGTCGACCGATCTCATCATTCGCTTGGGTGACGGCACGGATGAAAGCCATCGCCGCATGCAAGACGCACTTGCCTATCACTGGACCTATACGGGCGAGATGTTCGAGGCCGACGCGGTCGATCGCGAACTGGCCGACGCCGGTGTTGCGCCCGACCCGGCGGCGATGAAGCCGGGCTGGGATGCGCTGGTCGGCGATGTGCTCGCCGAGGCGACCCTCGAGGTGCCGGACAATCATTTCGTGCACAAGGGCGGCCGCAAGGGCCAGCACACAGAGCATCTGGGCCATATCCTCGCCGCCATGCAGTTCTTGCCGCGAGCCTATCCCGATGCACGCTGGTGAGACGCTTCCGAGCCGCGACGATGTGATGGGCTGGCTCGCCGACGTGCCGGACCCGGAAATCCCGGTCGTGTCCGTCGTCGATCTGGGCATTGTGCGCGATGTGGCGTGGGAGGACGACACGCTGGTGGTCACCATCACGCCGACCTATTCGGGCTGTCCCGCAACGTCCGTGATCGCGTTCGAAATCGAGGCGGCGATCCGCGGGCACGGCATCGACAATGTCCGGCTGGAAAACCAGATATCGCCGCCCTGGACGACAGACTGGATCGGGCCAACGGCGCGCGAGAAGCTGCGCCAATACGGCATCGCGCCGCCGATCGATGGCACCGCCGCCGATGGCAAGCGCGTGGCGCGGCTGCTTGGCGAGGGCAACGCCAGGGTGGCGTGTCCGCGCTGCGGCTCGGCCAATACGCAGGAAGTCAGCCGTTTCGGCTCGACGCCCTGCAAGGCCGCTTGGCGCTGCAACGATTGTCTGGAACCGTTCGACTATTTCAAATGCATTTGAGGGCCGACCGATGGCGCAGTTTCATTCGCTCACTGTCACCGATGTGAACCACGACACGCGCGATGCGGTTGTCGTCACGCTCGCTCCCGGCGAAGCGGACCGCAAGGCGTTCGATTTCACGCAAGGCCAATATCTGACCTTCCGCCACGATTTCGACGGCACGGAGGTGCGCCGCTGCTATTCGATCTGCGCCGGCAAGGATGATGGGGTGCTGCGCGTCGGCATCAAGCGCGTCGATGGCGGCGCCTTCTCGTCCTGGGCAAAAGAGAACATCAAGCCCGGCGATGTGATGGAAGCCATGCCGCCGATGGGCAACTTCTTCGTGCCGCTCGATCCCGATGCCGAGCGCCACTATCTCGGCTTTGCCGGCGGTTCGGGCATCACGCCTGTCCTGTCGCTGATCAAGACCGTCTTGGCGCGTGAGCCGAACGCGCGCTTCACGCTGGTCTATGCCAACCGCGCCGTGAACACGATCATGTTCCGCGAGGAGCTCGAAGACCTCAAGAACATCTATCTGGGCCGCTTCACCGTGCTGCATATCCTCGAAAACGATGCGCAGGAGATCGATCTGTTCACCGGCCGTGTCGATGCGGACAAGCTCGATGCGCTGTTTACGCACTGGATCGATGCGGCGTCGGTCGATTACGCCTTCATCTGCGGCCCCGAGCCGATGATGCTGACCATCGCCGAAGGGCTGAAGGCCCGCGGGCTGCCCGAAGACCGGATCAAGTTCGAACTGTTCAAGAGCGCCCAGCCGGGCCGGCTGCCGAAAAAGGCCAACGGCCATGCGGCGGGCAAAACCGGCGACAGCGTCAAGGCGACCCTGTTTCTTGAGGGCGTGACGCGCACGATCGAGGTGCCGAAGGATGGCACGACGCTGCTCGACGCCGCGCTCGATGCCGGGCTGAACGTGCCCTATGCGTGCAAGGCGGGCGTCTGTTCGACATGCATGTGCAAGATCACCGAGGGCGCCGGCGAGATGCTGTCGAACAATGCGCTCGAGGATCACGAGGTCCGCGACGGCTTTACGCTGAGCTGCCAGACGGTGCCGACGACGGACACGATCAGCGTCACCTACGACGTCTGACGACAAGAACCGATTGGGAGACATCCGATGAACGTTGCCACCGCGACGACGCGCCGGCTTGAAAGCTATGTGAAGGGCCAGTGGGTTGCCGGCAGCGGCGATGGCGCGCTGCTGACCGATGCGGGCACCGGCGAACCGGTGGCGGTGATCAGTTCGTCGGGCCTCGATTTCGCCGGCGCGCTCGCTTACGGGCGCGAAAAGGGCGGCCCCGCGCTGCGCGCGTTGAGCTTTCACGAGCGCGCGCTGATGCTCAAATCGATCGCGCTGATGCTCAATGGCGAGCGCGATGCGTTCTATGCCGAAAGCTATCGCACCGGGGCGACGAAGACGGATTCGATGATCGATATCGACGGCGGCATCGGCACCTTTTTTGTCTATTCTTCCAAGGGCCGGCGCGAACTGCCCAACACGCGGGTGCTGCTTGATGGCGATGTCGAGCCTCTGTCCAAGGACAATTCGTTCTCCGCGCAGCACATCATGACGCCGCTGCAAGGCATTGCCATCCACATCAACGCATTCAATTTTCCCTGCTGGGGGATGCTGGAGAAGCTGGCGCCGACACTGCTCGCAGGCATGCCGGCCATCGTCAAGCCGGCCAGCCAGACCGCTTATCTGACCGAACTGATGGTCAGGAAGATCGTCGACAGCGGCATCCTGCCCGATGGCGCGCTGCAACTGGTCAGCGGTTCGGCGGGCGACATGCTCGATCATGTGACAGACCAGGATGTGGTCACCTTCACCGGTTCGGCCAGCACCGGCCGGATGCTGCGCACCCACAAGGCAATCGTCGGGAACTCGACGCGGTTTTCGATGGAGGCCGACAGCCTCAACTCATGCGTTCTGGGCGCCGACGCCGAACCGGGAACGCCGGAGTTCGACCTGTTCGTCAAGGAAGTGGCGCGCGAGATGACCGCCAAGGCGGGCCAGAAATGCACCGCCATCCGCCGCGCCTTCGTGCCGCGCGGCCAGGTCGATGCGGTGATCGAGGCGTTGCGCGCGCGGCTTTCAAAGACCGCCGTCGGCCTTCCGGCGGACGAGGGCACGCGCATGGGCGCGCTCGCCAGTCAGGACCAGCGTGAGGAAGTGCGCGCGCGCATCGCCGATCTGGCCGCCGATGGCGAGATCGTCGCGGGCGATCCGGACAATCCGGTGCTCGCCTCGGGCAATCCCGAGGCCGGCGCGTTCCTCAACCCGGTGCTGCTGCATTGCGCCGATCCGCACGGTGCCGAAAACGTGCACGATGTGGAAGCGTTCGGGCCGGTTGCGACCGTCATGCCGTATGACGATGCCGAAGAAGCGGTTGCGCTGACGCAAAAGGGCAAGGGCTCACTGGCCGCGTCAGTCTTCACCAATGACCCGGCTTTCGCCGAGCAGGTCGTGATTGGCATGGCGCCGTTCCATGGCCGCATCCTGATCGGCAACCGCGACAGCGCCAAATCGTCGACCGGCCATGGTTCGCCCATGCCGGGGCTTGTTCATGGCGGGCCGGGCCGCGCCGGCGGCGGCGAGGAACTGGGCGGCATTCGCGGCGTCAAGCACTTCATGCAGCGCACGGCCATTCAGGGCACGCCGCGCCTTCTGGCGCCGGTGACCGGTCGCTGGATGGAGGGCGCAGATGCGGGCGACACATCCGTCCACCCGTTCCGCAAGTCGCTGGCCGATCTGCAAATCGGCGATCAGGTGGTGACGAAACCGCGCGAGGTGACGCTCGCCGATATCGAGCATTTCGCCGATTTCACCGGTGACACGTTTTACGCGCATATGGACGACGACGCGGCCAAGGCGAACCCGTTCTTCGACGGACGGGTGGCACATGGCTATCTGATCGTCTCGTTCGCGGCGGGCCTGTTCGTCGATCCGGCGCCGGGGCCGGTGCTCGCCAATTACGGCGTCGACAATATGCGCTTCATGACGCCGGTCTATCCGGGCGATGAGCTCAAGGTCCGTCTGACGGCCAAGGAGATCAACCCGCGCGCCACCGCCGACCATGGCGAGGTGCGCTGGGACGCGCAGGTGACCAACCAGGACGCCGATGTTGTCGCGCAGTATGACGTCTTGACCATGGTCGCCAAACAATGGCCACTGCCTGCGGAGGGGTGACGCGCCTCAGGCGGCCCATGGATCGGTAAACGCGACATCCATGGCCTCGAATGGGGCGGTGTCGCGGGATGCGACGATCATCCCTTTGGCGGCCGCTATGGCCGCGATCTGGCCGTCCGCGAAGCCGACACCCCGGCCAGCCTTGCGCGCGGCGGCCATGCGTTCGGAAAATTCAGCGGCGGCCGTCCGGTCGAAGGCCAGAATGCGGTCGCCGAAAACGCGGTCCTCGGTTGCTTCCAGCCTTGCCTTCAGTTCATTTTTCCGCCGCCCGTCGGGCAGGGCTGCAATGCCATAACCGAGTTCCGCGAGGCTGATTGTCGAAAGGTGCAGCGTCCGCAAATCCTGCGCATTCAGCCAGTCGACAACGCGCCTGTTCGCGCCGCGTCGCATCGCCTCCGAGACAACATTGGTGTCGAGAAGGATCATTCCAGGTTGGGCGGCTCATGCGGAGTGCGATCGCGCTTTATATCGACCCCGGTCAGGTCCGCTCCGGACCAGATATCGGCGATCATGTCGCCGGCCTTGGGCCGCTCGTCCCCATTCAGGCTTTTGGCAAGAATGGCGCGGGCTTCGGCCTCCGCACTGCGGCCATGGTCGCGCGCCTGCGCCTTGAGCGCGCGGTGCACCTCGTCGGGCAATTGGCGAATTATGATCTGGGCCATGGATGCCTCCAAACATGAAAACCCATGATATCAAAATGATATCGTGATATCAATACCGCTATGGCTTAACGCCGCCGACGCCGTCGAGGATGATGCGCGTTGCGATGCGCGCATAGTCCTCGCGGGTAACCGGGCCGTCTTCCTTGAACCAGGTGTAGACCCAGTTGAGCATGCCGAAGAGGCTCATCGTCACCGGCGTCAGAAGATGGGTGCCGGGCTCGGCGAGCCTGGGGTTCAGCTCTTTCAAAACATTGGCAAAGCGGGCGACGATGCGTTTTTCGGTATCGCGCAGCTGCGCGCGCTGGGCGTCCGACAGCGCGCCGAAAGCGTTGAGCTGCACCTTGTGGGCATTGTCGGCGCCGCGATAGGTCTCCAGCACTGCGCGCACCAGCCGTTCGAGCCGGTCGCCGGGCGCGAGCGAAGGATCGTCGGCGGCAATCACCGCCTCGTCCAGATGGCTGATATGTGTGTTGACGATCGCAAAGATCAGCGCGTCCTTGGACGGATAATAGTGATAAAGCAAGGCCTTGGAGACACCGCATTCGCGCGCGATCTGCGACATGGACGCCTTGTCCATGCCCAGTTCGGCAAAGACGGCGGCGGCACTGTCGAGAATATGTGCCTGCTTTTCGGCGAAATCGGCGGCGCGGGGACGGGCCATCGGGCCTCTCTTTCTAGCCCTTGGGCCGGTTGTCGACGACGCGTTTGGCCTTGCCTTCAGAGCGCGGGGCCGAACCCGGCTCGCCGACATTGATCTTGGCGGTCACGCCGATCACGGATTTGATGTGATGGGCAAGCTCGTCGGCGCTCGCCTTGCGCGCCTCCTCACTGGCCGCATTCTCCAGCGCCTCGAGATGCACGGTCATCGTGTCCATCCGGCCTTTGCGAGCCAGTTCGATCTGGAAGTGCGGCGCAAGGCCGGCGCATTTGAGGATCTGTTCCTCGACCTGGGTCGGGAAGATGTTGACGCCGCGCAGGATGATCATGTCGTCGGAGCGGCCGGTGATCTTGTCCATCCGGCGCATCGACCGCGCCGTGCCGGGCAGGAGCCTGGTCAGGTCGCGCGTGCGGTAGCGGATGATAGGCAGCCCCTCCTTGGTCAGCGTGGTGAAGACGAGTTCGCCCATCTCGCCGTCCGGCACCGGCTGGCCGGTCTCCGGGTCGATGATTTCGGGATAGAAATGGTCTTCCCAGATGTGCAGCCCGTCCTTGGTCTCGACGCACTCATTGGCAACGCCGGGGCCCATCACTTCCGACAGGCCGTAAATGTCGACCGCGTGCATATCGAAGGCCTGTTCGATCTCGCCGCGCATGGCGTTCGTCCACGGCTCGGCACCGAAAATGCCGACCGCGAGCGACGAGGCGCGCGGGTCCTTCCCCTGGCGGCGGAACTCGTCGAGAATCGACAGCATGTAGGAGGGCGTGACCATGATCACGCGGGGCTTGAAATCCTCGATCAGCATCACTTGCCGCTCGGTCATGCCGCCCGAGACGGGAATGACGGTGCAGCCGAGCCGCTCCGCGCCATAATGGGCGCCCAACCCGCCGGTGAACAGGCCATAGCCATAGGCCACATGCACCGGATCGCCCGGCCGCCCGCCGGATGCGCGGATCGAACGGGCCACCATGTCGGACCAGATGGAGATGTCCTTTTCCGTGTAGCCGACGACGGTCGGCTTGCCCGTCGTGCCCGAGGATGCGTGCAGGCGCACGATCTTCTCGCGCGGCACGGCAAACATGCCGAACGGGTAATTGTCGCGCAAATCCGCCTTGGTGGTGAAGGGGAACTTCGCCAGATCGGCCAGCGATACCAGATCGTCCGGGTGGACGCCCGCTTCGTCGAAGCGCTTGCGGTAGAACGGTGCGTTCTCATAGGCATGGCGCAGCGACCATTTCATGCGCTCGAACTGAAGCGCAGCGATCTCGTCGCGCGATGCGGTTTCGATCGGCTCGAGATCGCCGGGCTTGGGGGAAAGGTCTTCCATGGTCTGTCTCAGATGTCTTCCAGAATTGTGCCGGGTATGGTGCGCGAATGGCCGCGGAATTCGCCGATCACGTCGCCGTCCTGGTTGGTGACGGAAATGTCGTAAATCCCCGACCGGCCGGTGCGCGATAGCTCGCGGCCGGTGGCGGTCAGCCGGTCGCCTTGCTTGCCGGGGCGGATGAAGGTGAGCGAAGTGTGCTGGGCGACCGTGCGCTGATTGTATCCGTTGCAGGCAAACGCGAACGCGCTGTCGGCGAGGGTGAAGATGTAGCCGCCATGGCAGGTGCCGTGGCCATTGACCATTTGCGGGGTGATGGTCATCGCAACGGTCGCCTGGCCGGGCGCGACGTGCTCGATCTCCATGCCCAGATGCCGGCTGGCATTGTCGTCAGCCCACATGGCGTCGGCGCAGGCGCGGGCGAGTTCATCCGGCGTCATCATTGCCCCCGAAAGTCTGGTTTGCGCTTGTCGAGAAAGGCGGTGACGCCCTCGGCATAGTCGGCCGTGCGGCCGGCAACGCGCTGCGTGTCGCGCTCATGGTCGAGTTGGGCGTCGAAGCTGTTCGTGCTCGCCGCCTGGATCGACTGTTTCGTCAGGCCGAGGCCCCGTGTCGGGCCGGCGGCGAACTGGCGGGCGAGGGCGTTCGTCTCGTCCATCAGCGCGTCGTCGTCGACCGCCTTCCAGATCAGGCCCCAGTCGGCGGCTTTCTCGGCGGGCAGCGGTTCGCCGGTCAGCGCCAGCCCCTTCGCGCGCGCTTCACCCAGAAGCCGCGTCAGCATGAAGCTGCCGCCCGCATCGGGTGTCAGTCCGATCTTGGCAAACGCCTGGATGAATTTGGCGGATTTGCCGGCCAGCACGATATCGCAGGCGAGTGCGATGTTGGCGCCCGCTCCAGCGGCCACGCCATTGACTGCGACGACAATCGGCTTCTCAAGCGACCGGATCAGCCGCAGTGTCGGGTTATAGAAGGTTTCGAGCGTATGGCCGAGGTCTGGCGGTCCGTCCATCGTGCGCGGATCGCGGTCGCCCAGATCCTGACCGGCGCAGAAGGCGCGGCCGGCGCCGGTGATCAGAACGCAGCGCACTTTGTCCTCGTCATGGGCGCGCTGGATCGCCGCGCGGAAGGAGCGATGCATGTCCTCGTTGAATGAATTGAGCTTGTCGGGCCGGTTGAGCGTAACGTGCAAAATGCCGTCATCAAGCTCGCAGAGCACGGTGGCGTCCTGCGCCATATGATCCCTCCCTTGCGCCCGGTCGGAACGCCAATCCAGGGCCGACAAAACCATAAACCGACCGGTCAGTCAATGAATTCGGTCGATGAATTTCCGGGATCGGCTGGCGGCGGGGCTTGCCCTTGAAGTCAAGCGCGCGGATATTCCCATCATGATTCAAGCAGCGACCGCATCTGTCTGGCATACATCGCTTTTCGGCGACGACGCGTTGGCGGCGCTGTTTTCGGAAGAGGCGTTACTCGAGCGCTTCGGCGCATTCGAGATGGCACTGACGCGGGCGCTTGGCGCCCATGGTCTGGTCGATGCGGGCATGGCCGACACGGCCATCGCGGCGATGCAATCATTCGAACCCGACGCCAATGCGATCCGCCGGGCGATGGAAACCGACGGCGTTCCGGTTCCCGCCTATGTGCGGCAACTGAAAGCAGCCGCCGGCGATGCCGCCGGGGCGATCCATGCCGGTGCGACCAGCCAGGATCTGATCGACACGGCGACCGCCATGGCGCTGCGCGACGCAGGCACGCTGCTTGCCGGGCGGATCGAAGCGGTGCTGTCCGCGCTGGGGGATCTGGATGCGCGGTACGGCAGTCATCGATTGACCGGCCGGACGAGGATGCAGGCGGCTTTGCCGATCGGTGTCTGCGACCGCCTGTCGGCATGGTCGACGCCGGTCACCGGCAGTCTCGACCGGCTCGCGCGCGTGCGCGACGATGCTGCGCAGTTGCAGTTCGGCGGACCGGTCGGGCTGGGCCCCGAAACGCTCGGCGAAGCCGGCCCCGCGGTCGCCGGCGCGATGGCCGCCGAACTCGGGCTGCGCCTGCCGGCCCGGCCCTGGCACACGGATCGCAGCGCATTCGTCGCCTTCGGCAACTGGCTGTCCATGGTCACCGGTGCGGTGGGCAAGATCGGCCAGGATGTGGCTCTCATGGCCCAGCAGGGAATCGACGAGATCGAACTGTCGTCCGGTGGCACAAGCTCGGCCATGCCGCACAAGCATAATCCCGTGGTTGCCGAAAAGCTGGTGACGCTCGCGCGCTACAACGCCGTCCAGATCGGCGGGTTGCATCAGGCGATGGTGCATGAACAGGAGCGTTCCGGCAGCGCCTGGATGCTGGAATGGATGATCCTGCCGCCGATGGTCGAGGCCACCGGACGGGCGCTGACCGATGCCGATGAACTGCTGCGGTCGGTGACGCGGATCGGTGCCGCCGTCTGATCAGGCCGCCTGGCGCAGGCCGAGCATCTGGCGGGCCTGCTGCCATGTGGCGACGGGGCGTTCGTGACGCTCGCAGATATCGACGACGCGCCTGACAAGCGCGGCGTTGGATGGCGCCAGCGTGTCCTTGTCGAGGCGCACATTGTCCTCAAGGCCCGTGCGGGCATGACCGCCGGCCGCCACCGACCATTCATTGACGGTGATCTGGCCGGGGCCGATGCCTGCGGCGCACCATTCGGCGTCGGGAACGAGGCGCTTGACCGTCTCGACGTAGAAGTCGAACACCGGCTTATCGACCGGCATGGCGTTTTTCACGCCCATGACGAACTGGATGTAGGGCGTGTCGGGGATGCGGCCGTCGCGCCACATGGCGACCGCCTGGAAGATATGCGAGGCATCGAACGCCTCGATCTCGGGCTTGACGGCGTATTTGCGCATTTCCGCGGCGAGCCAGTCGACCAGATCGGGCGGGTTTTCGTAGACGCGGGTCGGAAAGTTGTTCGAGCCGACCGAAAGGGACGCCATGTCCGGCCGCAGCGGCAGCATGCCGCCGCGCTCGGTGCCGGCACCCGAGCGACCGCCGGTGGAAAACTGGATCACCATGCCGGGGCAGTGCTTTTCCAGCCCTTCCTTCAGCCGCGCGAACTTTTCGGGATCGGAGGTCGGCGTTTCGTCGGCGTTGCGGACATGGGCGTGGACGATCGATGCGCCCGCCTCGAAGGCTTCGTGGGTCGATTCGAGTTGCTCGTCGATCGTGACGGGAAGCGCCGGGTTGTTGGCTTTCGTCGGCACCGAGCCGGTGATGGCGACGCAGATGATGCAGGGCTTTGTCGTCTCGGTCATGAACCGTCACATATCGAAGAAAATCGTCTCGTTCTCGCCCTGGAGCCGAACGTCGAAGCGGTATAGGCCGTCTGCCGTCCTGGCCGCAAGGAGCGTCGGAACGCGGTGCTGGTGCTCGATCCGGGTCAGCACGGGGTCCTCGGAGTTGGCCTCGGCCTCGTCGTCGAAATAAAGCCGCGTGTGCAAGCCGATATTGATGCCGCGCGCGACGATCCACATCGAAATGTGCGGCGCCTGCAGGCGCCCGTCGCGCCATGGCACGCGACCGGGCTTGACCGTGTCGAAGCGATACTCGCCGGTCTGCAAATCCGCAGCGGCCCGGCCCCAGCCGGAGAATTCGGGGTCCGCCACGCCACGGGTTTCGCCGGGTGCGTTGAAGAGCCCGTCCGCGTCGGCCTGCCAGATTTCCAGGACCGCGTCCTTGAGCACGCCGCCCATGCCATCGGTGACCGTGCCCGTGACAGTGATTTCCTCGCCGCGCACGGCGCCGGTCTTCATCGTTGTGCCGAGATCGGTCTCGTAGACGCCATGGATGCCGGTGACGTTGGGGTTCATGCCGATATGGACGTAGGGGCCTGCGGTTTGCGAGGGGGTTTCCTTGAGGGTCGGATAGCGCCGGGTCATCTCAAAGGCCCTCCAGCCGGTTCTCGAACAGGGTCTGCCGCTTGCCGCGCAGGACGATGTCGAACCGCCAGGCGCGGGCATCCATCGGCACGGTGCGGCTCATGTCCAGTTCGGCGATCAGGCTTTGGACGGCGTCCTTTTGCGGGATCGCGCCGACGATCGGGCAGAGCGGGATCAGCGGATCGCCCTCGAAATACATCTGCGTGATCAGGCGCTGTGCGAACGCGGCGCCGAAGATCGAGAAATGGATATGCGCGGGGCGCCAGTCATTGCCGCCATTGGGCCAGGGGTAGGCGCCGGGCTGAATGGTGCGAAACTCGTAATGGCCGTGCTCGTCGGTCAGGACACGGCCGCAGCCGCCGAAATTGGGGTCGAGCGGGGCGAGATAGCCCTCCTTCTTGTGCCGGTAGCGGCCGCCGGCATTGGCCTGCCACACTTCCAGAAGCGCATTCGGAACGGGCCGTCCCGCTTCGTCGGTGACCCGGCCATGGACGATGATGCGCGGGCCGATGGCGCTCTCGCCGGGCTCGGCAAAATTGTGCACCAGGTCATGGTCCATGTCGCCCAGAATGGCGTGGCCGAATACGGGGCCGGTCTCCTCGCCAAGCGATGTGGGCAGCGACAGGAGCGGGGCGGAAGGCGCGCGCATGACCGAGGTCTTGTAGGGCGGATGGAGCGCCGGCGGATGCCATGCGCGGTCGCGCGCGGCGTAGCCCGCATGCGGTTCGGGCGTGTTTTTCATGTCACCGTCTCCTCCTGTTCCATCGCGCGATAGGTCTCCTTGGCGATCTTGATCGCGCGGTTGGCGCGCGGCACGCCTGCATAGACCGCAACATGCATGAAGGCTTCCATGACATCGGCCTTGCTGGCGCCGGTGCGCTTGCAGGCGCGCACATGCATGGCGATCTCGTCGAAATTGCCGGTCGCGGCGAGCAAGGCCAGCGTCAGGATGGACCGCTCGCGCAGCGAGATCGTGTCGCGCGCCCACAGATTGCCCCAGGCGGTCTCGGTGATCATGGTCTGGAAGGGCGCGTCGAACTCGGTCTTTTCGGCTTCGGCGCGGTCGACATGATCGTCGCCCAAGACGCGTCGGCGCATCTTCATGCCGTTCTGCAGGCGGTCCGTGTCCATGCGGTCGCTCATCATCGGGCTCCCATCGTCATCGTTGCACACCCATCAATAGGGCAGGCCGACATAGTTCTCGGCCATCGCCTTTTGCGCCGCCTTGCTGTCGCGCAGGAATTCCAGTTCGGCGACCTGCATCTTGTGGTCGAACTCGGACTGGTCGGGAAATCGGTGCATGAGCGACGAAAACCACCAGGAGAAGCGCTCGGCCTTCCAGATGCGTGCCAGCGCTCGGTTCGAATATCTGTCGAGCCCCTCTTCATCGTTCAACTCGTAGAACTGCGTCAGCCCCCTGAACAGGTAATGGACGTCCGAGGCGGCCGTGTTGAGCCCCTTGGCGCCGGTCGGCGGCACGATGTGGGCGGCATCGCCGCACAGGAACAGCCGGCCCCAGCGCATCGGCTCGGTGACGAACGAGCGCAGCGGCGCAATCGACTTTTCGATCGAAGGGCCGGTGACCAGCTCCTCGGCGACATGGCTCGGGATGCGGCGCTTGAGCTCGGTCCAGAATTCGTCGTCCGACCAGTTCTCGACCTTGTCGTGCGCCGAGCACTGCACATAATAACGCGACAGGTTCTCGTTGCGCATCGAGCACAGCGCAAAGCCGCGTTCGGAGTTGGCGTAGATCAGCTCGTGGTTGACCGGCGGGGTCTCCGACAGGATGCCGAGCCAGCCGAACGGGTAGACCTTTTCATATTCGCGCCGGGCCTCTTCGGGGATCGATCTGCGGCTGACGCCGTGAAAACCGTCACATCCGGCGATGAAATCGCAATCGATGCGCCGCTCCATGCCCTTGACCGTGTAGGTGACATGGGGGTTGTCGCGGTCGGCATCGTGGATGGCGACATTGCCGACATTGAACTCGACTGCGCCGCCGCTTGCCTCGCGGGCATCATAGAGATCGCGCGTGACCTCTGTCTGCCCGTAGACCATGACGGGCGTTCCGGTGTGCTCGACAAAATCGATGCGGAACATCTCCTCGCCGTAGGAGATCAGCGTGCCGGCATGCTCGAAGCCTTCCTTGCGCATCCGGCGGCCGACACCGGCCTCCTCGAGCAGCCGCAGCAGCCCTTCCTCCAGAACGCCAGCGCGTATGCGCCCAAGGACATAGTCGCGCGTCTGGCGCTCCAGCACGATGGAATCGATGCCGCGCGTGTGCAGAAGCTGCGACAGCAACAGGCCCGAAGGGCCACCGCCAATGATGCAAACCTGTGTGCGCATGGGTGCCTCGTTTGGTGAACCACCATCTTGTTTGCACAAAATCGGTATGTAAAATCATATTTTCGGCAATTTGAGTAACGGAAACGGTATGAATTTGGAGAAACGCATCAAGCTTCGGCATCTCAAGACGTTTTGCGAGATCGCCAGGCTTGGCAGTTTCAAGAAGGCGGCGTCGGCACTTCATGTCACCCAGCCGGCCATCTCGCGCACACTGGCCGAACTTGAACAAATGGTCGAGGCGACGCTGTTGGTCCGCGATCGCGGCGGTGTGGCACTGACGCCTGAAGGTGCGATCTTCCTGCATTTCGCGCAGATGGGGCTCGACGCGATCCAGCAGGGGGTCAATCGCCTGAGCCGGTTGCGGTCCGGCGACGCCGGGCGGGTGCGGATCGGCGCGCTGCCCAGCGTTGCGGCGCGGCTGCTGCCCGATGCGGTCCAGGCGTTCGCCGTTCTTTCGCCGGGCACGGCGGTGATGGTGGAGGAGGGGCCGCACGAGTTTCTCGTCAATCGCCTCAAGGCCGGCGAACTGGATCTGGTTGCCGGCCGGCTGGGGCCGCCGGAGACGATGGCCGGCCTGTCGTTCACCCAGCTCTATCTCGAACATGTGGTGTTGGCGGCGCGGCCCGGCCATCCGCTGGCCGGCTCGTCCGACCTGGCCGCCGTCGCCGACTATCCGGTCATCTATCCGGCGCCCAATTCGGCAATCCGTCCGCTGGTCGACCGGCTGATGATCGCCGGCGGGGTCAGCGATCCGCCGCGTGCGATCGAGTCGGTGTCCGGATCGTTCGGCCGCAGCCTCGTTCTGTCGTCCGACGCGGTCTGGATCATCTCCGCCGGCGTCGTGGCGCAGGACCTTGAAGCCGGCCGGCTGATCAGCCTGGAAGTCGACACGCAGATGACATCCGGCCCCGTCGGCATCATGGTGCGGGCCGACGAGCAGAGCCCGGTTTTGGTGCGTCTTTTCTCGCGCGCGATCGGCCAAGTGCTGGAGACGCGGACCTGAACGGCAAAAAAAGAGACCGCGCCGAGCGATGCCGGGCGCGGTCTGATGGGTGAAGCGGAGCCTTGCGGCTCCGCGTCGTCGGTTCAGTTGCCCCAGGAGGCGACCAACTCGTCATAGCTGATGGTGATCGGCTCCTCATCCTCGTTCTCGAGCTTGGGGAACGGTGCGCCGGGCTCGGCCAGCCACTCGGCCGGATCGCGCGGCTCGTTCATCACCGGGCCGAGATCGCCCTGGACGCCGGCCCGTTCGAGGCGCTCAAGCACGCTCTCCTGATCGGCGCACAGTGCGTCGAGCGCTTCCTGCGGCGTCTTCGCACCGGACATGGCGTCGCCGATGTTCTGCCACCACAACTGCGCCAGACGCGGATAATCGGGCACGTTGGTGCCGGTCGGCGACCAGGCGATGCGGGCCGGCGAACGGTAGAACTCGATCAGACCGCCAAGACGCGGCGCGCGCTCGGTGAAGTGATCGGAGTCGATCGTCGACTCGCGGATGAAGGTCAGACCCACATCGGCCTTTCTCAGATCGACCGTCTTGGAGACGACGAACTGCGCATAAAGCCAAGCCGCCTTGGCGCGGTCGACCGGCGTCGACTGCATCAGCGTCCAGGACCCGGCGTCCTGATAGCCGATCTTCTGGCCTTCCTTCCAGTAGACGCCGTGCGGGGAGGGCGCCATGCGCCATTTCGGCGTGCCGTCCTCGTTCATCACCGGCAGGCCGGGCTCGACCGTGGCGGCGGTGAAGGCCGTGTACCAGAACATCTGCTGGGCGACATTGCCCTGGGCCGGGATCGGACCGGCTTCCGAGAAGGTCATGCCGGCGGCTGCGGGCGGCGAGTATTTCTGCAGCCATTCGATCGCCTTGGTGACGGCATAGACGGCCGCCGGCGAATTGGTGGCGCCGCCGCGCGCGACGCACGAGCCGACAGGCTGCGAATTCTCGTTGACGCGAATGCCCCATTCGTCGACCGGCAGGCCGTTCGGCTCGCCGACATCGCCCATGCCGGCCATCGACATCCAGGCATCGGTGTAGCGCCAGCCGAGGCTCGGATCCTTCTTGCCGTAGTCCATGTTGCCATAGACTTCGCCTTCGACGCCCAGATGGCTCAGGTCGCGGCCGGTGAAGAATTCGGCGATGTCCTCATAGGCCGACCAGTTGACCGGCACGCCCAGCTCATAGCCATATTCGGCCATGAAGTCGGCCTTGTTCTTCTCATCGTTGAACCAGTCGTAGCGGAACCAGTAAAGGTTGGCGAACTGCTGGTCGGGAAGCTGGTAGAGTTTGCCGTCGGGACCTGTTGTGAACGAGGTGCCGATGAAGTCGTCGATGTCGAGCGTCGGCAGCGTCACGTCTGCGCCTTCGCCGGCCATCCAGTCGGTCAGGTTGCGCACCTGCTGATAGCGCCAGTGGGTGCCGATCAGGTCGGAATCGTTGATGTAGGCGTCATAGATGTTCTCGCCGGACTGCATCTGCGTCTGCAGCTTTTCGACGACGTCGCCTTCACCGATCAGATCGTGCGTGACCTGGATGCCGGTGATCGCGGTGAAGGCGGGCGCCAGCACCTGGCTTTCATATTCATGGGTGGTGATGGTTTCCGAGACCACCTTGATCTCCATGCCGGCAAACGGCTGGGCGGCGTCGATGAACCACTGCATCTCCGCTTCCTGCTCTTCGCGGGACAAGACCGACAGGCCATTGATCTCCGTGTCGAGGAAGGCGCGGGCTGCCTCCATGTCGGCATGGGCCGCCGTCGACATCATGCCGAGTGCAAGCGCCATGGCCGTTGTGGTCGTGAGGTATTTTCTCATGTTTTCCTCCCAGAAAACTGCAGGGGGACGGTGCGTTTGCAACGTCCGGTGAAGCCTGTCAGACCCAGCGGAAGACCACTGCGGCAAAGACAAGGCAGACGATCAGCGCACCCCATTGGGGGCCGCTGACCAATCCGAGCCAGGCCAGGTTGATGAAGGCCGAACCCAGAAGGGTGATGAAGAGCCGGTCGCCGCGCGTCGTCTCGATGCGCAGCACGCCCACGCGCGGCGTTTCGGGAAAGCGGATCGCGAGCACCGTGAAGACGATGAGCAGCAGCGCGATCGTTGCGAAGAACAGGGCGGTCGGCCACGTCCATGCCATCCAGTCCATGATGACGCTCCCTCAAACCCGGCCCAGGGCAAAGCCCTTGGCGATGTAGTTGCGGACGAAATAGATGACGAGCGCGCCCGGAATGATCGTCAGGATGCCGGCGGCCGCCAGCACGCCCCAGTCGATGCCGGCGGCGCCCTGCGTGCGGGTCATGATCGCCGCGATCGGCTTGGCATCGACCGTGGTCAGCGTGCGCGACAGCAAAAGTTCCACCCATGAGAACATGAAGCAGAAGAAGGCGGCGACGCCGATGCCCGACGCGATCAGCGGCATGAAGATCTTCACGAAGAAGCGCGGGAACGAGTAGCCGTCGATATAGGCAGTTTCGTCGATCTCCTTGGGCACGCCGCGCATGAAGCCTTCGAGGATCCAGACCGCCAGCGGCACGTTGAACAGGCAGTGCGCGAGCGCGACCGCGATGTGCGTGTCGAACAGGCCGACCGACGAATAGAGCTGGAAGAAGGGCAGGGCGAAAACCGCGGGCGGCGCCATCCGGTTGGTCAGAAGCCAGAAGAACAGGTGCTTGTCGCCCATGAAGTGGTAGCGGCTGAACGCATAGGCGGCGGGCAGCGCCACAGCGAGCGAAATCACCGTGTTCATGACCACATAGATCAGCGAGTTGACGTAACCCATATACCAAGCCGGGTCGGTCAGGATCGTGCGGTAATTGTCGAACGTGATGTCGTTCGGCCAGAGCGTGAAGGTGTTGAGAATTTCGGTGTTGGTCTTCAGGCTCATGTTCAGGAGCCAGTAGATCGGCAGCAGAAGAAACGTCAGATAGGCGATCATCACCAGGGCGCGGCCATTGATGCGCGGCAGCGCGATGGTTGTGGCTCGCGCGGCGGAGCCGGTTGTGGCGGCGGTATGGGCCATCACGCGCCCTCCCTTTTGTCGAGATTGGTCATGACCGTGTAGAACACCCACGAAATCAGCAGGATGACCAGGAAGTACATGATCGAGAACGCGGCGGCGGGGCCGAGATCGAACTGGCCGAGCGCCATTTTCACCAGATCGATCGACAGGAAGGTCGTCGCGTTGCCCGGCCCGCCGCCGGTGACGACGAACGGCTCGGTGTAGATCATGAAGCTGTCCATGAAGCGCAGCAGAATGGCGATCAGCAGCACGCCCTGCATCTTGGGCAGTTCGATGTAGCGGAACACGGCCCAGCGGCTCGCCTGGTCGATCTTGGCGGCCTGGTAGTAGGCTTCCGGGATCGACTGCAGCCCGGCATAGGCCAGAAGCGCGACGAGCGATGTCCAGTGCCAGACATCCATGACGATGACGGTGACCCAGGCGTCGAATGCATCCTGGGTGTAGTTGTAGTCGATGCCCATGGCGGCGAGCGTGTGGCCCAGAAGCCCGATATCGACGCGGCCGAAGACCTGCCAGATGGTGCCGACGACGTTCCAGGGAATGAGCAGCGGCAGCGCCATCAGGACCAGACACACCGATGCCCAGATGCCGCGCTTGGGCATGTTGAGCGCGATGAAGACGCCGAGCGGGATTTCGATCGCGAGAATGATCGCCGAGAACATGAGCTGCCGGCCCAGCGCGTTGTGGATGCGCTCGGAGGTCAGGATTTCCTGGAACCATTCGATACCCACCCAGAAGAACTGGTTGTTGCCGAACGAGTCCTGCACCGAATAGTTGACCACCGTCATCAACGGGATCACCGCCGAAAAAGCGACCAGCACAAGAACCGGCAGGACGAGGAACCACGCCTTGTGGTTGACAGTCTTTTCCATCACGCAGCCCCCCCGGTGACGCGCCAGTCGTCGACATAGACGCCGATCTTGTCGGGCCGGAAGGTGACCCGGTTCATATCCGCGCTGACGGGCGTTTCCTCGCCGGCGATGATCGAGATGTCGGTGCCGAAGAAGTCGGCGCGCACGATCCTGTGCCGGCCGACATCCTCGATGCGGCGGACATTGACCGGTAGGCCGTCCCGGTCAGCGGTCAGCGACACGAATTCGGGTCGCACGCCGATCTGCACGCGTCCGCCCAATTCGCCATAGCCGCGCGACAGCGGGATTTCAGCGCCGTTGATGTAGGCCCGGTCGCCCTCGATGTTGGCGTCCAGCACATTCATACCGGGCGAGCCGATGAAATAGCCGACGAAGGTGTGGCCCGGCGCCTCGAACAGCTCCTCGGGCGTGCCGATCTGCACCACGCGACCGTCATACATCACGACGACCTTGTCGGCGAAGGTCAGCGCCTCGGTCTGGTCGTGGGTGACGTAGATCATGGTGTGGCCGAACTCGCGGTGCAGCGATTTGAGCTGCGTGCGCAGGGCCCATTTCATGTGCGGATCGATGACGGTCAGCGGTTCGTCGAACAGGATCGCGTTGACATCCTCGCGCACCATGCCGCGGCCAAGCGAAATCTTCTGCTTGGCGTCGGCCGTCAGCCCGCGCGCGCGCCGGCCAAGCTGGTCTTCCATGCCGATCATCTCGGCGATCTGGGCGACGCGGCTGGCAATGTAGGCGGGTTCGGCGCCACGGTTCTTGAGCGGGAAGGCGAGATTGTCGCGCACGGTCATCGTGTCGTAGACGACGGGGAACTGGAACACCTGGGCGATGTTGCGCGCTGTCGTCGGCGCCTCGGTCACGTCGGTGTCGCCGAAAAGGATGCTGCCCTGGGACGGGTGCAAGAGCCCCGAAATGATGTTCAAAAGCGTGGTCTTGCCGCAGCCGGACGGGCCGAGCAGCGCGTAGGCCGCGCCGTCCTCCCAGACATGGTTCATTTCCTTGAGCGCGAAATCGTCCTCCGATGCCGGATGGGGCAGGTAGGAATGGGCGAGATGCGACAGTGTGATCTTTGCCATGGGATTTCCTCACGCCGCCTGCGCATAGGCCGCCGGAGCGACAAGCGCGCCGTCATCGGCGAAGATGTAGACATGGGCCGGGTCGAGATGGACCGTCAGCGGATCGCCGATCGTCAGGTCGCGCACGCCGTGAATGACACCGACCCAGCGCTCTCCATGATGGTCGAGATGCACAAAGGTCTCCGAGCCGGTGATCTCGGTGACGGCCAGATTGCAGTTGAATTCGAGCGCGTCGGGCACGTGCTGGTCGAGTTCGAGATGGTTGGGCCGGAAGCCCGCCAGATAGCGGCCATCGTCCAGTTCACCCAGCCGGCCCGTTGCCGGGCAGGACTGGCCGTCGCCGAACAGAAGCTTCGGCCCGGCCTTGGAAATGCGCAGGAAGTTCATCGGCGGATCGGAGAAAACGCGCGCGGTGGTCGCGTCCTGCGGATTGCGGTAGACCTCGGGCGTCGGGCCGAACTGGGTGATGCGGCCCTCCCACAGTGTCGCCGTGCTGCCGCCCAGCAGCAGCGCTTCTTCCGGTTCGGTCGTCGCATAGACGAAGATCGCGCCGGACTCCTCGAATATCTTCGGGATCTCAACGCGCAGTTCCTCGCGCAGCTTGTAGTCCAGATTGGCGAGCGGCTCGTCGAGAAGCACAAGGCCCGCATCCTTCACCAACGCGCGGGCGAGCGCGCAGCGCTGCTGCTGGCCGCCCGACAGTTCGAGCGGCTTGCGCTGAAGCATCGGCGTCAGCTTCATCAGGTCTGCCGCCTTGTGCACTGCGGCGTCGATTTCCGCTTTGGTCTTGCCCAATAGCCGCATGGGCGAAGCGATGTTGTCGTAGACCGTCATCGCCGGATAGTTGATGAACTGCTGGTAGACCATGGCGACGCCGCGCCGCTGGACGGGCACGCCTGTAACATCGTCGCCCTGCCAGAGGACACGCCCGGCGGCGGGGCGGTCGAGGCCGGCCATCAGCCGCATCAGCGAGGTCTTGCCCGAAAGCGTCGGCCCGAGCAGCACGTTCATCGTGCCTTTTTCCAGCGTCAGGTCCGTTTCGTGGATGTGAACCTGACCGTTCACCAGCTTGGTGACGCCATCGAGTTGCAGCGTCATCGTCCGATCCTCCCGCGCGCCGGCATCATTCGGCCGCCGCGTTGTTGTTGCCCATGACGTGCTGGGCCCGCATGAATGCGTCGATGGCGGCCTGCTGCTGCGCATCGAGCCGCAGGCCGAGCTTGGACCTGCGCCAGACCACATCGTCGGCCGTGCGCGCATATTCCCGGTCGATCAGCCAGCATATTTCCGCTTCGGTCAGCGTGGCGCCGAAATCGGAGCCGAGATCCTCGTTGCGCCTGGCATCGCCAAGAAGCTTCCGCGCATCGGTGCCATAAGCGCGCACGAGGCGCCGCGCCCAGCTATCGTCCAGGAACGGATAGTCACCCGACACCTGCGCGACCAGGTCGTCGAACCCGTCGACGGGAAAGTCGCCGCCGGGCAGCGGTGCACGTGCCGTCCACGGCTCGCCCATCTGCGAAAGGTGCGGCTTGAGCTTGGCTAGCGCACCTTCGGCCAGGCGCCTGTAAGTGGTGATCTTGCCGCCAAACACGTTCAGCAGCGGGGCGCCGGGGGCATCGTCCAGCGACAGGACATAGTCGCGGGTCGCGGCGGTCGCCGACTTGGCGCCGTCATCATAGAGCGGACGAACGCCCGAATAGGTCCAGACGATGTCGTCGCGCGTCACCGGCCTCTTGAAATAGCGCGATGCGAAGGCGGTCAGATAATCCTGTTCCTCGGGCGTGCAGACCGCATCGTGCGGCGCGCCGTCATGCTCCTGATCGGTGGTGCCGATCAGCGTGAAGTCGGTCTCGTAGGGGATGGCGAAGATGATCCGGCCATCCTCGCCCTGGAAGAAATAGCACTTGTCGTGATCGTAGAGCCGTTTGGTGACGATGTGGCTGCCGCGTACCAGCCGCACGCCTTCGGACGTGTTCAGGCGCACGGTGTTGCGGACCACGTCCTCGACCCACGGCCCACCCGCATTGACCAGCGCCCTTGCATAATGGACTTCGGTCGCACCCTGTTCGTTCCGCGTGGTGACCGCCCACAACTCGCCGTCGCGTTCGGCCGAGATGACGCGGCTGCGCGTCATGATCCGGGCGCCCTTGTCCTCGGCGTCTCGGGCGTTGAGGACGACAAGCCGCGAATCCTCGACCCAGCAGTCGGAATATTCGAACGCCTTGGCGAATCGGTCCTGAAGCGGTGCGCCGGCCGGATCGCTGGTCAGATCGAGCGTCCGGGTGGCAGGCAGCACCTTCCGCCCGCCCAGATTGTCGTAGATGAACAGGCCAAGCCGGATCAGCCATGCCGGGCGGCGGCCCTTCATCCAGGGCATGATCGCCGACAGAAGCTTGGATGTCGGTGTCTCGCTCTCGAACCGCATGTCGCGGTGGAACGGCAGGACGAAGCGCATCGGCCATGAAATGTGGGGCATCGCCGCGAGCAGCGTCTCGCGTTCGATCAGCGCCTCGCGGACCAGGCGGACCTCGAAATATTCGAGGTAGCGCAGGCCGCCATGGAACAGCTTGGTCGAAGCCGAGGAGGTTGCCGATGCCAGGTCGTTCATCTCGGCCAGCGTCACCGACAGGCCGCGGCCAGCGGCGTCGCGCGCGATTCCGCAGCCATTGATGCCGCCGCCAATGACGAAGATGTCCACCGCGGCGTCGCGGCGTTGATCCGTGGGCATGAATGATGTTCCTCCGCGTTCAAGCACACCACAAGGTAGGGCGGCACGCAATCGAAATTTTCGTTTTTTTGCGTTTTTTTCGAAATTTCACATTTTCATGTTCGTTTTGCATTTCGATAGAAAATGTGGGAAAACAAGCATCCAAATCGCTTTGGGCCGCCGGAAACAGCGAATATGCGGGCCGGACGGGTGGGTCAGGGCCGGTTCGGACCAGTTCAGACCGGTGATTGTTTTCTGTGCGGGTCTGCGGCACGGTTCGCAAAAACGGAGGAGAGCCGGTGGGATCGGGGCTGAGGCGCAACGAGATTCTCGCGTTAATGCGGGCGGAGGGGAAGGCGTCCGTCGAGGCGCTGGCCGAGCGTTTCGACGTTACGGTGCAGACAATAAGGCGCGATCTGGGCGAGCTTGCCAATGAGGGCAAGATAGACCGGGTGCATGGCGGCGCGACGATCCGCCAGGGCGTCACCAACATCGTCTATGAAGAACGCCGCAAGCTCAATGCCGAGGCAAAGGAGCGCATCGCGCGGATGGTAAGCGACCATGTGCCCACGAACGTATCGCTGTTCATCAATATCGGCACGACGACCGAGGCGGTGGCGCACGAACTGCTCGATCACGAGAACATCACGGTCGTGACCAATGACATCAATGTCGCAAACATCCTGTCGGCCAACGAAAGCTGCGAGATCATCGTGTCGGGCGGCACGCTGCGCCGCTCCGATGGCGGGCTCGTCGGCGATCTGGCGACGCAAATGATCGAGCAGTTCAAGGTCGATATCGCCATCATCGGCGCGTCGGCGCTGGACGAGGAGGGCGATCTTCTGGATTTCGACCTGCGCGAGGTGCGAGTGTCGAAATCGATAATTCGCCATGCGCGCAAGGTCTATCTGGTGACGGACGCCTCGAAGTTCGAGCGGACCGCGCCCGTGCGTATCGCCTCGTTCGCCGAACTGGACGCCATCTTCATCGACAAGCCGCTGCCGCACGGACTGCAGGCGCGCTGCCGCGAGTGGGGCACGGACGTTTTCGTCGCCGACTGACCGCTCTGTTCCACGGGAGCCGATACGGCGCTTTGCACGGCCAATTGTTCAGGCGACGAACAGCTTGACGAAAACGATGGCCATGGCGAGCAGGAGCGCCGTCTCGGCGACGACCAGCATGATGTAGCCGCCGCCGAGATCGGCCATCTGCTTGAGCGCGGTCTTCACGCCCAGCGCGGCGATGGCGGTGATCAGCAGGATGCGCGAGGCGGATTCGGCGGCCGACGCAACCGGTGCGGGGATCAGACCAAGGGTGTTGATCGCGGCCAGCGCGATGAAGGCGACCAGAAACCAGGGCAGGGTGATCTTGCCGCCATCGGCCTTGCCGTTGGCGAGCGCGACGATCACCGCGAGAAGCACGACCGGCAAGAGCGCCACGCGCATCAGCTTGACCATGACGGCGGTATCGCCCGCTTCCCGGCTGACCGAATATCCGGCACCGACCACCTGCGCCACATCGTGGATCGTCGCGCCGATCAGCATGGCGGTCTGCGCGTCCGTGGCATCGAGCGCGGCAAACAAAAGCGGATAGGCGACCATGGCGATCGTCGACAGCGTGGTGACAGCAACGACCGTGAACAGCGTGTCGCGTTCCAGGCGTGCGTCGCGGGGCAGGACGGATGCGAGCGCCAGCGCCGCCGACGCACCGCAAATGGCCACCGATCCGCCTGTCAGGATGCCGAGCCGCGCGCCGCGGCCCAGAAGGCGCGACAGGGCGATGCCGGCGAGGATCGTCAGCGCGACCAGCGCGATGACGGCGATGACGGGGTAGAGGCCGAGTGACTGGAAATCGGCCCAGCTGAGCCGCACGCCGAGCAGCGCGACGCCGAGGCGCAGGCAGGCGGAGGCGGCAAAATCGACGCCGGGCTTGATGTGGCTCTCATGTGCCAGAAAGTTGAACGCCATGCCGATCAGAAGCGCGAACAGCATGGCCGGTGCGCCGTAATGGGCGCCCAGGAAGGCCGCGGCGGCGGCAATCGTCAGGGCCAGGCCGAGACCGCGGAAGATCGTGGCCGCCTGTCCGTAGCGTTGGCGGATCAGGCTTCGCATGTCTTTGTTCCGCTGCGGCGCGTGCCGGGCTTGGTCGGCCGTGGAGCGGGCTTTCGATCGGGTGTGTCGGCCATCAGCATCCCGCTAGCACAGACAATGAGGGCGGCGCAGCAGCATCGCAGCGTTGCGCCGTGGCGGCGGCGCCCCGATCCGTCAGGCGGGCAGGCCCCGTCTTTCGGCGTTTCGGGACGCCGGCGCGTTGGGCGAGTGCGCGTCGAGCAGCCGTCCGGCCGTGATCTCGTCAGTGACCAGGACGCTTGGCGCCATCGACTTCAGAAGGGCGAGCATGATCTCGGTCTTTTCGGGCCCGCCGCTGATCAGAAGCTTGTTTTCGATGCGGGCGAGCCGGTCGATCGGCATGGAGATGGCGCGGCTGTTAACCGGATGGTCCGCCGGATGACCGCTCGCGTCGACGAAGTTGTAGAGTAGATCGCCGATGATGCCCGCCTCGATCATCGACTGGCGGTCGGCTTCGGAGACATGGCCGACGCGATAGGAGGTGGTCAGAGAGGTGATGCCGCCGCACGACAGGAGCGCGACATCGCAGGTTTCGGCCATCTGGAAGATCTGTTCGAGGCCGCAATGCTCGAGAAGCGCATGCTTGGTCTGCGCCGAATCGACGACGGCCGGCGCGGGAATGAGATAGCCCTCGGCGTTGAACAGTTCGGCGAACTGCCAGGCGAATTCGGCCGGGTTGAAGCGCCGCGCCTGGGCGATCCCGCCCAGAAGCGAAACGACACGCGTGCCCTCGGTTGCCCGGCCTTCGATGAACGGCAGCATGGTGTGCAGCGTGCGGCCCCAGCCGACGCCGACGGTCATGTTGTTTTCGATCAGTTGCGAGACATAGGCGCCGGCCGCCGAGGCGATCGCGCGGGTCGGGTCGCCGCCCGCGTCGGGGAACGGGGCGACGATCGCCCGGCTCAGCCCGAACGTCTCCTCGAGATCGCGCTGCAGCGCGACGACCGGAGCGATGTCCGACTTGATGCGGATGTTGACCTCGCCGCGCGCGCGGGCCTCAGACAGGAGCCGCGTGATCATCACCCGGTTCACGCCGAGCTTCTTGGCCACATCGGATTGCTTGAGGCCCTCGACATAATAGAGCCAGGCCGCGCGGATGCGAATGTCGCGGTGCATGTCTCGCGCGTGCCGTGAACCGGCGCCGCGCGGTTCGTCCATTGCGTGTTCCGGCATCAGCCTGATCCCTTGCCCGGTCCTCCTTGCTCATAAGGTCGCGGCGATGAGTTGTCCAATCGCGTCGGGGGACTCCAAGTGCGGCAGGTGGCCGAGACCGTCGAACAGGTGAAGGGCAATGTGGCCCGGCGCGCCGAGCGCGTGGCGCCAGTCAATGATCGCATCGCGCTTGCCCCAGACGATCCGCGCGGGCATGGCGAGGCGGCCAATGGCAGGGCGCAGATCGAAGGCCTGCGTGCCGTCCGGAAACAGCACGTCGGCCATGGCCATTTGCGCGGCGCGCAGGTCCGGGTCCTTCCGCGACATCATCGCCGCGCGGACATAGCGGTCGGTGATGATTGTGTCGTCGGCGACCAGTTGCCGGAGCCACGGTCCAAGGCCTTCGGCGCGTGTCGCACGGCCGATCCCGTCGATCACCGCGCCGTTGATATCGGGGCCAAGGCCGGCCGGCGCAATCAGCGTCAGACCATCGACGCGGTTGGCGCGCGTGTCGGCGATGGCGAGCGCGACGGCGCCGCCAAGGCTGTGGCCGACAAGATGCGCGGCTTCGAGGCCGAGATCGTCGAAAGCCCGCCGGACATCGGACACGAGTTCTGGAAAGCCCGACAGGCGACGCTTCGGCGACTTGCCGTGGCAGGGCAGTTCGATGCGGATGAGTGGGCGTCGGCTCAAATGCGACTCGATGGGCGACCATGCGGCGGCCTCGTTGGCAAAGCCGTGGATCAGGACGATTGGCGTGCCCGTGCCGCCCCTGGAGCGGATGACCGAGAGCGGTCCGGCCTCGTTGTTAAATGCGGGCGGCACCGGAGCCGCGTGCTGCCGATCGTCGAGCACGGCCACATCGGCGGCCTGGATGCGGCCGCGAGGGCCCGACCCGTTAAGCGTCGCCAGATCGATGCCGTTGTCGCGCGCCAGCTTTCGCGCCTTGGGAGTCGCGCGGGGCTTTTCTTCGGCAACCTCGGCTGTGGAGGTGACCGGTGCCGGCGTTGGCGTTTCGGTCTTGGGCTCGCTCTTCGATGGTTCTTTTGCGCGTTCGGGACCCTGCGTCTTCCGGACAGGTGGCTCACCAACCTCCTCGCCCTCGGCATAGAGCCAGCCCACCGGCGCGCCGATCGGCACCTCGGCGCCTTCGGGAACAAGGTGATGCAGCGTTCCGTTGGCCGGTGCCTCAACTTCCATCGCCGCCTTGTCGGTTTCGATGTCGAAGATCGGCTCGCCCTCGGCGACCCTCGCGCCCTCTTCGACATGCCAGGCGGCGATCTTGCCGGTCTCCATGTCCATGTCGACTTTGGGCATGATGATCTCGGTGGGCATCAGGTGCGGCCTTCGGCCAATCCGCGCGCCGCTTCGATGATATCGGGCACTTGCGGCACGACGGCCTTTTCCAGTTCGGGATTGTAGGGGATCGGGCTTTCGGCACCGCCAAGCCGGACAATCGGCGCATCGAGAAAGTCGAACGCATCGCTTTCGGCGACCATCGCACTGACCTCGGCGCCGATGCCGAGCGTCTTCACCGCTTCGTATACGCACAGAAGTTTGCCGGTCTTGCGCACCGATGCGAGCACGGTGTCCCCGTCCAGCGGACGGATGGTGCGCAAATCGATCACTTCGGCCTCGATGCCTTCGTCCTCAAGGGCCTTGGCCGCATCGAGCGCCTTGTGCACCATGATCGCCGTTGCGACGATGGTGACGTGGCCGCCCTCGCGGCGGACTGCCGCTTTGCCGATCGGCGTGGTGTAGCGGCCAGACGGAACCTGGCCTTTCATCTTGTAGAGCAGTTTGTGCTCGAAGATCATCACGGGATCGGGGTCGTCCAATGCGGCGAGCAGCAGTCCCTTGGCGTCTTCCGGCGTTGCCGGCTGGACGACCTTGAGGCCCGGCACATGGCCGAGCCACGCTTCAAGGCTCTGCGAATGCTGGGCCGCCGCGCCGGTGCCCGAGCCCGCCGGAAAGCGCATGACGAGGGGCACGGAGACGGCGCCGCCGAGCATGTAGCGCACCTTGGCGGCCTGGTTGACGATCTGCTCCATGGCCAGCGTGGCGAAATCGGAGAACTGGAACTCGAAGATCGGGCGCAGACCGGTCATCGCGGCGCCGACGGCGACGCCCGCGCCGCCCAATTCGGAGATCGGCGTGTCCATCACCCGGTCGGTGCCGTACTTGTCGACCAGATCGCCGGTCACCTGAAAGGCGCCGCCATAGACGCCGATATCCTCGCCCATCAGGATGACGCGCTCGTCTTCCGACAGCGCAATGTCCATCGCTTCGCGAATCGCCTGCGCGTAGGAAATCTCGCGCACTTCGATGCCGGCCTGCGCGTTCATGCCGCCACCTTGGGCGAATAGACATCGCGCGTTGCGTCTTCGATCCGGGGGGCGGGGCTGTCCTTGGCGAACGCGATGGCCGCCTCGACGGCCTGCTCGACATCCTTTTCGATGGAGGCGACCGCCGCATCGTCGGTGATGCCGTGTTCCTTGAGCATGGCCGCCATCCGGGCGATCGGATCGCGCTCCTGCCATTCGGCGATTTCCTCCTTGGTCCGGTAGCGGTTGCGGTCGGATTTGGAGTGGCCGCGCCAGCGGTAGGTCACGTTCTCGATCAGGCTCGGGCCATCGCCGTTGCGTGCGCGCGCCACGGCCGCATCGACGGCTTCGGTGACGGCGGAAAAGTCGTTGCCATCGACCCGTTCGCCCGGCATGGAGTAGGCGGCCGCGCGATCGGCGATGGACTTCACCGCCGTCGAGCGTTCGGTCGATGTGGACATGCCATAGCGGTTGTTCTCGCACACGAAAACGACGGGCAGCTTCCAGATCGAGGCCATGTTGAGCGCCTCGTGGAAAGCGCCCTCATTGTTGGCGCCATCGCCGAAAAAGCAGACCGTGACCGCGCCGGTGCCAAGCCGCTTGGCCGACAGGGCCGCACCGACGGCGATCGGGATGCCGCCGGCGACGATGCCGTTGGCTCCCAGATTGCCCTTTTCGACATCGGCGATATGCATCGAGCCGCCGCGTCCGCGGCAATAGCCGGTCTCCTTGCCGAAGAACTCAGCGAACATCTTGCCCAGATCGGCGCCCTTGGCGACGCAGTGGCCGTGGCCTCTGTGGGTCGAGGTGATCTTGTCGTCGTCGGTCAGCGACATGCAGGCGCCGACGGCGGACGCTTCCTGTCCGATGCTCAAATGCATGGTGCCGTGGATCAGGCCGCGCGTGTAGCTGTCCTCGGCGCCTTCCTCGAAACGGCGGATCAGATACATCTTTCGCAATGCCTCGATCAGCTGATCGGGCGAATAGGCGCGGATCGCGTAGGGAACGTTGCGGTCGGTGGCGGTGCTGTCAGGCATCGGCCAGTTCCTTTCCGAAGACCATTGCGTCCTGGCGGGCACGCAGTTCGGCGATCTTCGATCCCTCGGGCAGGCGGCTGTTCTCGGTGGTGATCAGTTCGCCCTTGCGAATGGGGCGGGTGACCGTGGCGTCCGGCAGCACGCCGGCCGGCCGCGCCTTCAAGGTTCGGGCGCGGCCGGCTTCCAGCGCCCAGGCGCGATAGGTGTATTCGCCGAGCAGATCGAGCGTTTCGCCGGGCTCAAGATCGCGCTTGGCGACGGCAGCCACCTCGGCGACGGGCTTATCCAGCGGGATCATGTCGGCCTTGCCGTGCAGCACCGCGCGGGCGCAGGTCAGCGGCACTTCGAGCGAGGTCAGGTGATAGGGGCGGATGAACGCGAAATAGGGGCCTTCGCCCATCTTCAGGTCCGACATGCGCTCCCAGACGCGCGGATGCTCGGCTTCGCAGACGACGAAGACGCCCGGTGCAAGTCCCTGGCCGACCGAATAGTCGACCCGGCCAATGTCGGACAGGACACCGCCATCCTTTTTGGGGATCAGTGTCTTGGCGAGGTCTTTCGGGCCGGCGGCGGGGCCATGCATGCCGTCAATATCGGGGACCAGGCCCGTCGCGTTGGCGATCGCCGACATCTCCACCATGGTCTTGGAGCCGTCGATGAACTCGACAAGCATGCGCGGGTTCATGTGGCGCGCGGCAGCTTCGGCGGCATACTGGTCGGGAACCGCATCGAAGTTCAGCGGGTTGTTCTTGCCCTTGCCGGCGCAGACGATCCTGTGTCCCATCGCGGCGATGAACTCGATGATCTCCATGCAGGAGGAGGGTTCGTCGCCTGCGCCCAGGCTGTAGACCACGCCGAGCCGGTCGGCCTCACGGCGCAGGTAGGCGCCAATGGTGACATCGGCCTCGACATTCATCATGACCAGATGCTTGCCGCGTTCCATCGCCGACAGTCCGATCTCGGCGCCGACAGCGGGAACTCCGGTCGCATCGACCACCACATCGATCAGCCCTGATTCGAGCATGGCGTCGGCGGAGGTGATCGCGGTCCTGCCCGATTCGATGGCGGCATTGATCGCGTCGGCATTGGCCGCATCGGCGCTGTGTCCGGGCGCCTGGTGCGCGATCTCGACCGCCCTGTGCGCAGCCGCCGGGTCGATGTCGGCGATCGCGGCGACATCGACGCCGTCCATCATGCCAGCACGGGTGACAATGTCCGTGCCCATTTCGCCCGAGCCGACAAGGCCGATGCGGACAGGTTTGCCCGATGCGGCGCGCTCGGCCAGGTCGCGGGCGAGACCGGTGAGCGCTATGTTGGATGTCATGAAACACCTATGAGTTGACCAGTCGCTAAAGCATTGTGAACTTACGTCCAAGTGTCAATGCAAATGTTCGTAAAGTCCAATCTGACATCAAGCCACCGCGTCGGCCACGCCGCTTCGGTGCGCCGATTGGGGAGAAATGAACGCTTGACAGAGAGTGTGACTTGCACAAAAGTCTGCACAAGAAGTCAAATGTTCAATCTGCTGTCATCGAGTTCGGGTGCGATGGCAGTCAGGCGATCTGGCACCCGAAGGGAGGAACCAACCATGAAATTCGCTGGAAACCTGTCACGGCGCTCGTTCTTGCAGACAAGCTCGGCCGCCGGTCTGGTCGCCGCCGGCGCGGGGACGGGCCTCGTGGGCCGTGCCTTCGCCAGTACGGACCTGCCGGACCCGCAGACCGTGCTCGACCAGATCTCGATCGAGCAGTATGTGCGCGAGGACTATCGCGACCTCTACAGCCTGACCAATGCCGACACGATGTGGGATCCGTCGACCGACTGGATTCGCACGGTGGACTGGGAGGCGGTGCGCAGCGAGCTGGCCGGCTCGACCGTGCGCTTTGCCATCGGCGCGGCGGACCAGGAATCGGCGGCGGAAGGCCTGGCGCCGTTCGAGGCCCTTTCCGGCATCAAGGTCGAACTGGTGCCGATCCCGGACGACAGCTTCTATGACAAGGCGCTGGCCGAATTCATCTCGGGCAACGCCTCGTTCGATGCGCTGCAGTTCTTCTCGCCCTGGATGGGCGACTTCGCGGCGCCCGGCTTCCTCGCGCCGCTCGACGAGTTCGCCGACAAATGGGGCCTGCCGCTGGACGACTTCTACGACACCTACCGGCTCAATTACGGCTTCTTCAACGGCAAGATGTACGGCATTCCGTTCGACTGCGACATCCAGATGGTCCATGTCCGCAAAGGTTACATGGAGCAGCTTCTGGGCGGCGAGGTCGACAAGGTCAATTCCATCCCGACCTATGACGAGCTCATCCGGGTTTCCAAGGAGCTCAACAATATCGAGCCGGGCGTTTCGGGTGTCGGTATGATGGCTGCGCCGGGCTTCTGGTCGACCTATACGTGGGAGCACATCGCCGCGCAGGCCGGCATGATGCTGTTTGACGAGAACTGGGAGCCGGTCTTCAACGGCGATGCCGGCATGAAGGGTCTGGAGATCATTCTCGAACTGGCCAAGAACGCCAATGAAGGCCATGCCGGCGCCGGCTGGCCGGAGAACCGGGCCGCGTGGCTCGGCGGTCAGGTCGCCACCAACATCAGCTGGCAGGATTCGGGCACCCAGGCGATGCGGCCCGACCAGTCGCAAATCGTCGACGACTTCGTGACGATTTACGAGCCGCGCATCGAAGGCGGCCGTTTCGCGCCGCCCAACATTGCCGGCTCGACCTCATGCGTTGCGGCGTCCAGCCAGAACCCGGAAGGTGCGTTTCTGATGCTCGCCTTCCTGACGACCTCGTCGATCATGGCGATGAACGAGGCCAATGCGAACGGCGTGGCGCCGGGCTACAAATCGGTCCTGCGCAACGACAATCTGCAGAAGGTCTCGCAGCCGGCCAAGGTCTGGGGCGACAGCCTGGAGCATGCGTGGTGCTCGCCCCGCCTGCCCGGAGCGTTCCCGATCGAACAGGCGATCGGCAACGAGATCAACCGTGCCGTGGTCGGACAGATCACCGCCAAGGAAGCGCTCGACAACGCGGCCACCGCCGTACGCGAGATCATGACGCAAAACGGCTTCTACCAGGGCAACGATCCTGTCGATTACGCAGCCGCCGCGCCGGGTCTCTATGTCGGAGAGGGTCGCGATCTGCCATTCTGATCGGCAGGCACGATCAATCGACGGCACCTGGAGCTCTTGATGGGCAATCCCTCCCTGCCTGATGCCGGGGCGACTGCGGTCGCCCCGGCCATGGCAACACAAAGGCCAAGGCCAAGACGGCGCAACAAGCGGCTCAAGGCCTGGTTTCCCTATCTGCTGGTGGCGCCTGCCGTCATCTACCTGTTTCTGATCACGCTCTATCCGGGCGTCTATGCGATCATCCAGAGCTTCCACGCGGTCAAGTTCGGGCCGTGGCAGCCGGTCGGTTTCGCCAATTACGTCAAGCTTTTCAACGACCACCAGTTCTGGGGCGCGCTCTGGAACACGTTCGTCATCGGCTCGATATCGCTGACGCTGCAATGCCTGATCGCGTTGACGCTGGCGTTTTACGCCTATCGCGACCCGTGGGTGCAGGGCTGGCGCATCATCTTTCTGGTGCCGATGCTGTTCATGCCTTCCGCGGTCGCTTTCATCTTCAAGCTGGCCTTTCTCGATGCCCGCGTCGTCTCCGACCTTTTGATCCGCATCGGGCTGATCGACGGCAATCTGGCGATCCAGTCGTCGATCTGGATGAGCCGCGGCCTTCTGATCATCGCCGATGTCTGGCAATGGACGCCATTCCTGTTCATCATTTTCGTCGCCGCCCTTCAGGGGCAGGATGAAGAGGTGGAAGAGGCCGCGCGGCTCGACGGCGCGTCCTGGGCGGCCATCTTCTGGAACATCTCGCTGCCGCTGATGAAGCCGGTGATCGCCGTGGCGCTGATCCTGCGCGGTATCGACATCACGACCATGTTCACCAACGTCTTCATCATCACCAAGGGCGGGCCGGCCTTCGGTACCGAGACGATCAGCTATTTCATCTACCGGACCGGCTTCAAGTTCTTCAATTTCGGATACGCGTCGGCGGCGTCCGTCGTCATGCTGATCATTACCATCATCATCGCGCAGCTCGTCGTGAAGCGCGCCTTCGTGTCGGTGAGGACGTAGGCCATGGCTTCGCAACGCAGAAAACGCGGTGAGAACCTGTTCGTCCGCTACCTGATCCTGGGCGCATGGGCGCTGTTCTGCCTGATGCCGGTGCTCTGGTTCCTGTCGATCGGGCTCAGACCGCGCGTCGAGATCATCACGCCGCAGCCGATCTACTGGCCGACCTTCAGCCTCGATGCCTGGCACATGATCTGGGAGGACTGGCCGATGGCCAAGTATCTCCGCAACTCGATCCTGGCGATCTTCGGCTCGGTGCTGATCGATCTGGTGCTCGGAATTCCGGCGGCCTATTCGCTGGCCCGCTACGAGTATCGCGGCCGTGACGACATCGCCTTCTACATATTGTCGACCCGCATGATGGCGCCGGCGATCGTGGCGATCCCGATCTTCTTTTTGTTCCGCAATGCGGGCCTTCTGGACACAATCTGGGCGCTGATGCTGATCTATGCGGCGATCAACCTGTCGTTCGTGACATGGATCATCCGCTCCTACATGCTCGACATCCCCAAGGAATTGGAGGATGCGGCGCGCACGGATGGCGCGTCCGACATGCGCATCCTGTGGGAGATCATCATTCCGGCGATCCTTCCGGGCATCATCACGGCGTCAGTCATCGCGATGATCTTTGCGATCAACGAATTCCTGTTCACCCTGCTGATCGCCTCGACGCCGAACGCCTATACGATGTCGGTGGCGCTCGCCAATTTCACCGGCGGGTCGGACGGCGTCATCTACAACGCGATCGCGCTTGTCGCCTTCCTCGCCTTCGTGCCGGTTTTCCTCGTGGTCGTCGCGATTCAGAAGCATCTGAGCCGCGGGCTGACGATGGGCGCGGTCAAGGGCGGATGATGGCGACGAGTATCGGGTTTGAAACCCGCACAATGAAAGAAAGCTGAAACATGGCGCGTATCGAACTCAACGGCATCCAGAAGCGGTGGGGCGAAGCCTGGGGCGTGCGCGATGTCAATATCGACATTGCCGACGAGGAGTTCATCGTCTTTCTCGGTCCGTCGGGCTGCGGCAAGACGACGACCATGCGCATGATCGCGGGCCTTGAAGAGCCGACCGAGGGCGAGATCGTCATGGACGGCGAGACGATGAACGACATCGATCCGCGCGACCGCGATGTGGCGATGGTGTTCCAGGGCTATGCGCTTTATCCGAATATGACGATCTACGAGAACATCCGCTTTCCGCTCCGCATGCGCGGCGTGCCGCGCACCGAACATGACGGACTGGTGCGGCGCGCCGCCGGGCTGGTCGAGATGACCGATTATCTCGACCGCAAGCCGGGCGCGCTGTCCGGCGGCCAGCGCCAGCGTGCAGCCCTGGCGCGGGCGATCGTGCGCGAGCCGCAAGTGTTCCTGATGGACGAGCCGCTGTCGAACCTCGACGCCAAGCTACGCCAGGCGATGCGCGTGCAGATCAAGCACATCCAGCGCGAGTTGCGGATCACGACCGTCTATGTGACGCACGACCAGATCGAGGCGATGACGCTCGCCGACCGGATCGTGATCATGCAGTCGGGCCTGATCCAGCAGATCGGCACGCCGGACGAGATCTACAACGACCCGGCCAACACGTTCGTTGCCAACTTCATCGGCTCGCCGCCGATGAACCTGGTCGAGGGCGAGGTCGCCGATGGCGTGTTCACCGCGCCGGGCGTGAAGGTTCCCGGTCTTCCCGCAGGGGTCAGCGGCAAGGTGACGCTTGGCGTCCGGCCAGAGGATTGCCATGTCACCGACGAGGACATCGACCTGACCGGCGAGGTCTATGGCGTCGAACCCACCGGCGATCTGACCTATCTGACCCTGCAGGCTGGCGAAAAGCTGTTTGAAATCAAGGCCGATCGCACCTACCGTGCGCCGCTGGGCGCGACCGAAAATGTGCGGTTCGACGCCGACAGGATCTATCTGTTCGACGGGGAAAGCGGCGAACGCCTGCGCTGAGAGTGATCATGACGTTCGATTACACATCGATGGGATTCTACACGTTCGACGCTCTGTGCCGGCCTGTGACGGACATTCCGCCGGGCGGCGGGACCTATTTCGTCGACGAGTTCACCATCGCGGTTTCCGGGGCCGCCGGGTCGGCGGCGATCGTTGCGGCCAAGCACGGGCTTTCGGTGCAGGCGGTGGGCGGCGTCGGCGAGGACCTGATGGGCGACTGGGTGCTGCGCAGGCTTGCCGACTTCGACATCGACACGGCCAACATGCAGCGCTGCCCGGATTATACGACATCGTCGAGCGTCGTGACGACAAGGCCTGACGGCGCCCGTCCGGCCCTGCACAAGCGCGGGGCAACGGCGGGCTTTTTCGTCAGCGACGACCAGATCGACCGGGTGCTGGACACCGCGATCTTGCATGTCGGCGGTGTCGGGCTGATGGACCGGATGGACAAGGGGCGCACGGCGGACGTGTTGGCCGAAGCGAAAAAGCGCGGCTGCCGGACGACGCTCGATGTCTTCGCCTCGACGCCGGACGATCTGCCGCTGGTTCGCCCGCTGCTCGAACACACCGACTTCTTCATGCCATCGGAAGAGGAAGCGATGGCACTGTCCGGGCTGACCGATTTCGAGGAGATCGCGCGGTTCCTGCTCGACCAGGGCACCGGCGCTGTGATCCTGACGCTCGGCGACAAGGGCGCCATGTATCGCGACCAGACGGGCGAAAAGATCGATCTGCCGGCGTTCAAGATCGATGTTGTGTGCACCTGCGGATGCGGCGACTGTTTCAATGCGGGCTTTGCGACGGGCCTTCATCTCGGCCTGCCGATGGAGGAGTGCCTGCGCATGGGGCAGGCGGCTTCGGCGCAGAACGCGATGGGATTGGGCTCGCAGGCGGTCGTCACCTCGCTCGAGGCGACGCGGGCCTTCATGGAAACCACGCCGACGCGGTGATAGGATGCCGGCCGTGCACACGAAAAGGAACGGGACATGCGCGAGGAGCCTTCCATACCCCGCTTGAGCGCCCTGCAATTGCCGTTGCGCGATGCGTTGCGCGGTGTGGCGACGCTGGCCGAGGTGACCGAGGAACTGCTCGAGCCGGCGGCGGCGCTGCTGCCCGGCACGGTGCGCGACGGGTTCCGCTCGGCGGTGCATGCGATCGAGGGCGCCGGCAAGCGGCTGATGACCGCGCCGATCACGCTCGAGAGCGTGCGTGCTTCGTCTCGCGTCCTGTCGCAAGGGGCCGGTGATCGCGATGCGCTGGCGACCATGGCGGTGGTGATCGCCTATGCGTGGGAGCATTTGCGCGATGCCGGCCACGAGCATCATCTGATGATCAGCGAGACCATGCTGGCGGGCCATCTGGCGTCCGGTTCGGCGCTGGCCGGAAGCACCGCGCCGGAGCGCGCGGCCAGTCTCGTTGCCGACATTGCGGGATCGGCGGTGATCGGCCGGCCGCCGGGGATGCCGGCCGTGGGCAGCGATGCGGATCGCGCGGCGATCGATACCGGTCTCGTTTCCATCATGGTGTGGCTCTTGGCCATGCGGGCCGAGACCATGGAGGAGGAGGAAAAGTTGCTCGATCTTGCCTCGGCGCTGGTGACAGCCATGGGCGAGGAGACCCGCGCAGCGCTGGTTGACCGGGCGCTGCTGGCCGGGCACATGGAATCGCTCGCAGCGCATCTTTAGGGCCAACTGACATGACGCTTCCCGCCTCGACCGACAGCGAACAGCCGATCCGCAAATCGGCGCAGCGGCTGCGCTGGTTCGTCCAGGCATTCGAGGAACAGGCCGAACAGACATCGCGCGAGACGGGAACGCGCTACACCGTCGATCACGGGCGCCTTGCGGCCGTTTTCGCCCAGTGGCTCAAGGATTTTCAGGCACAGAAACCCGAACGCGACGAGGACAAGCCGGCCTATGTGGGTTTTGCGGCGGGTCTGATGTTGCGCACGCTGATCGAGATGAAGCCCGTTTCCGTCGCCGCGCTGCCGGGCGGGGCCGACACCACCAACCCGGCCTATTTCTGGCCGGAAGGCTATCTCTACGTGGTCTTCTGCCTCAATGTGCGCGGATTGGTGCTGGAAGGCGACTATCACGGCGAGCAGCACACGAGCGCCCTTTTGAACGAGACACGCACATGGTGGAGCTTCAAGGAGAATGTGGCCGACGATCCGTCGCTGGCGATGGCCTTTCTCGACCTTTTCGCCGGGGATGAGCCGCAATGGTCCGTCCCGCACCTGTTTCGGACGGGGCGCATTCGCGGCCTTGCCGACCGGTTCTACAAGCAAGAGACGCTGAAGGCCGTTGACTGATCGCCTGGCCCATATGCCGGTTCGCCCCTCCGCCATGCCCTTGGCCGAGGTGCTTGCGTCATGAGTTCGGTCGGCATCGTCATTGTCGCCGCGGGGCGCGGCCGCCGGCTGGGCGCCGAGATGCCCAAGCAGTATATCGAACTGGCCGGCGCCTGTTCGCTGAGGCGCGTCGCCGAGACGTTCCTTGGCCTGGAGCGGACCAGTTTCATCGTGCCGGTCATCCATCCCGGAGACGCGGAGTTTTGCGCTGCGGCGCTGGCGGGATTGGACGATGCGCGCCTGTTGCCGGCTGTCGATGGCGGTGAAACCCGTGCCCAATCCGTCCGGCGCGGCCTTGAGGCGCTCGAGGCACACAATCCGGACCTGGTGCTCATTCACGACGCAGCGCGCCCGTTTGTGCCAGTATCCGTGATCGAGGATGTGATTGCCGCCCTCGGCTTCAGCGATGGCGCACTGGCCGCCTTGCCGGTCGTCGATGCGCTCTGGAAGGAGGAGGGCGGCGGTGCGGGCGAACCGGTCGCGCGCACGGGTCTTTGGCGGGCTCAGACGCCGCAGGGGTTCGATTTCGCCAAGATCCTTGCCGCCCATCGAGCCCATGACGGCACGGGCGCCGACGATGTCGCCGTTGCGCGTGAGGCCGGCATCGCGGTTCGGCTGGTTCCGGGTTCGGAACAAAACTACAAGATCACGACCGCCGACGATCTCGACCGCGCGCTGGCCGATGTCCATGGGTTCGATGCGCACAGGGCCGATGCTTCGCCCGAAGACGATACCGTCATCATATTGCCTGGCGGGCGATCCCAAAGGGGTTGAAGCATGCGCGGCCGGACGGCTGCCTTCACAGGCGCATGCTCCAAACGAGCAGCGCGGGGGTTACCGCCAGTTCCGTGGCCAAGGCGGCGACGTGAGGCGCATCCGGCCAGCCGGCGAGCAGCAGAGACAAGAGCCGCGCGGCGCCGCCGGCGATGACGATCACGGCAAGGAGGCGGAAGCGGTCGAGCCTGATCGCCGGACGCATGACCGTGCTCCAGAACCCAAGTCCGATGCCGAGCAGTAGCCCGGACAGGTAACGAATATGGCTGTCCAGATTGACCGCTTCGGTCGCCGCCTCAAGGCCCGGAAGCCCCGCGACCAAAAGGGTGCCGGCAAGGCCCGCCGAAACCGGCACGAAAGCCAGCACGAAGACGGCGAGACGGAAAACGGTCCGCTCGCGGCCCGCAGCGCCGTCAGGCATCGGCATTGTCGGGCCGGAACGTCAGCGCCAGGCCGTTCAGGCAATGGCGCTTGCCGGTCGGCTCGGGACCGTCGTCGAAAATGTGGCCGAAATGGCCGCCGCAGCGCCGGCAATGGACCTCGGTGCGGGTCGCGAACAGGGAATTGTCCGGTTTCGTGCGGACGGCGTCCGGCAGTGCCTCGGTGAAGCTCGGCCAGCCGGTGCCGCTGTCGAACTTGGCGTCCGATGCATAGACCGGCAGGTCGCATCCGGCGCAATGATAGATGCCGGCGCGCTTTTCATCGTTGAGCGGGCTGGACCCGGGCTGTTCGGTGGCTTCCTGCCGCAGGACCGCGAATTGCGCCTCGGTGAGCATGGCGCGCCATTGCGCCTCCGTCCGGGTGATCTCGAAAGCGCCCGCGCGGGCGTTGCCGGTGATGTTCCGGCGGCCGGAATCGAGCAGCTGCCACGTGCCGTAGATCGTGCCGGCGGCGCCAAGAGCGGCCGCGCCGGACAGTAGGAAGATTCGACGGTTCATGTGTGCCTCCCGTTCGTGGTGGCGGGCGCCCGGACGGGCGCCCGCGCCGATGCGTTGTCTTACGATGCGGGCAGCAGCACCGTGTCGATGACGTGGATGACGCCGTTGGACTGGTCGACATCGGCGATCGTGACGGTGGCGACACGGCCCTGGCCGTCCTTGATCATGATGGCGTCGCCCTCGGTCATGACGGTGAACTCACAGCCGCCGACGGTCGTCACCGGGTGCATGCCGCCATCGTCCATCACCATCTGCGAGATGGCGTCCGACATGGCTTCGGCGCCCAGCACATGGCAGGTCAGGATCTTGGTGAGCTGATCCTTGTTTTCCGGCTGGAGCAGGCTTTCGACCGTGCCCTCGGGCAGCGCATCGAATGCCGCGTTGGTCGGCGCAAAGACCGTGAACGGGCCATCGCCCTGCAGCGTGTCGACGAGACCTGCGGCCTTGACGGCCGCAACCAGCGTCGTGTGGTCAGCGGAGTTGACCGCGTTCTCGATGATGTTCTTGTCATCGTACATGGCGGCACCGCCGACCATGGGGTTTTCGGCAAAGGCGGCGCCGGCGGCGACAGTGAGCGCAGTTGCGGCGGCGATGGCGGTGAGCGTGCGTTTGATGGGCATGGATGATCTCCTCGTTTTCCCGGCCCGTTGCGGGCGGGGTGACAGCAGTCACGAGGATGCCGGGGAGAAAGTTTCAGGGTCGGGCAAAAAAATGCACCGCACGATCGGCCGGTCAGAGTGCGGTGATCTCGCCGGTCGCGAGCACCGCCCCGGTGGGCTGTCCTGTCGGCGAGCCGCCGCCCGGCTCGTCGCTGACGGCCAGGACCGCGCCATCGCCGATGCGGCCGGCCAGCGCTTCCGGCACGTCGACGAGGATGGCGGCGCTCTGCGGCAGCACGCCGAGCGAAACGGGCGCCGCATCGCCGGCGATCAGCCAGAGTTCGAATGCCCGGTCCGGTTCGGGCGTGCCGGCGCGCCGGTTCAACCGCAAGGTGCGCGTCTCCGGCTCGTAAAGCGCCGCCAGTCGCACGTCGCTCTGGGCGCCCGAGACGGTGGCGATCAGGCGGGTTGCCGGATCGTCCGGCTGCAGCGTTTGCGCATAAAGGCCGGCAAAGACGATCATGCCGGCGAGCGAAGCGACGGCAAGCCCGCGCCAGACGCCGAGCCGCTGCCAGAAGGGAGCGGGGCCGGCAGCCGGTTCGAACAGCGCCGCCTCGATGTTGGCGAGAACGGCCGCCGGCGGCTCGATCGCTTCGATCTCGTCGGCCAGTGGGGCAAGACGGTTGCTCCAGTCGGCGACATCGCGGCGCAGCGCGGCATCGTCGCGCAACAGCTTCTCGAACGCGACGCGCTCGGCATGGGGCAGCGTACCCAGCACATATTCGGCGACGGTTGCATCGTCGGGACGGGCGGTTTCGTTGGCGCTCATCGCTCAAGGCACTCCTTGAGTCTGGCAAGGCTCCGGCGCAGCCAGGTCCGCATCGTGTTGAGCGGCACAGCGTGGCGGTCGGCCAGTTCCTGATAGGAATATCCCTCGACATAGGCGGCGCGCACCGCATCGGCGCGGCGCGCATCCAACTCGTCGAGACACAGATCGATCCGCCGGCCCTCGGAGGCTGCGATGGCGGTCGCTTCCGGACCCGGCGCATCGTCCGACAGGTCGGCGGCTTCATCGATGTCGACAGGGTCGGGTCGCCGGGCGCGCACCTTGTCGATGGCGGTGTTGCGCGCGATCGCGATCAGCCACGACATGGGACTGTAGCCTCCGGCGCCGTAGCGGCCGGCTCCGTTCCAGATCTTGATGTAGGCTTCCTGCAGCGCATCCTCGGCATCCTGTCTGTCTTTCAAGACACGAAGGCAGACCCCGAACAGTTTCGCCGACGTCAGAGCGTAGAGGTGCGTCAGCGCCTTGCGGTCGCGCAGGGCGACGGCGGCGATCAGATTTTCGATATTCTCTCGGCTCAACGCCCTGGCCCTCTGTCGGCCCTCGATTGCTAGCGCAAGTTGCGCGCCAGATCGAGTGGGCAATGCCGCTGAGCGGCAGTGCGTGCCGGTTACCTGTCGCCGGCGGTGGCGTTGCGATACCATGCCGCCAGCGCGGCGCGGCTTTCGTCGTCCATCGTCGCAATGGCGTTTGGCGGCGGCATGGCGTGGGTGACGCCGGCCTGAAGAAAGACCTGCTGCGCGTGGCGGGCGACATCGGCCTCGGTTTCAAGGACCACACCCTTGGGCGGCCACAAAATGCCCTGCCAGACCGGCTCGCGTGCGTGGCACATGGCGCAATTGCCGAGCACGATGTCATAGGCGTTCCGGAAGCCTTCGGCATCGGCGAACTGTTGTTCATGGGGCGTCAGGGCGCGCGCTTCGGCCTCCTCCCATGTGTCGAGCATCGGCGCGGTCGACAGCCAGGCGATGATGACGAACAGGATCAGCGAGGCGGCAAGCGTCCAGTGCGGATGACCCTGCCGGGCGTGCATGGTGTTGAAGAAATGCCGGATCAGCACGCCCATCAGGAAGACCAGGCTCGCGATGATCCATGCAAAATCGGTGGCGAAGGCCAGCGGAAAATGATTGGAGAGCATCAGGAAGATGACCGGCAGGGTCAGATAGTTGTTGTGGGTCGAGCGCAGCTTGGCGATCTTGCCGTATTTGGGGTCCGGCGTGCGGCCTTCCTTCAGATCGTTCACCACGATGTGCTGGTTCGGCATGATGATGAAGAAGACGTTGGCGGTCATGATGGTCGCGGTGAAGGCGCCCAGATGCAGAAGCGCGGCGCGGCCGGTGAAGACCTGGTTCAGCCCCCAGCTCATCGCCACGATGATGACGAACAAAACCAGCATCATCGCGGTCGGATAGTCGCCCAGTTTGGACTTGCAGAGTTGGTCGTAGAGCAGCCAGCCGATGCCGATCGAGGCGGCGGAAATGGCGATGCCCTGCCACAGCGACAGTTCGGCCCTGGTCGGATCGAGAAGGTAAAGCTCTCCGCCGACCCAGTAGATGATCATCAGCAGCGCCGCGCCGGACAGCCAGGTCGCATAGCTCTCCCATTTGAACCAGGTCAGATGGTCGGGCATCTGTTCGGGCGCGACGAGATATTTCTGGATGTGGTAGAAACCGCCGCCATGGACCTGCCATTCCTCGCCATGGGCGCCCCGGGGCAGGTGCGGCGCCTTGCGCAGTCCCAGATCGAGCGCGATGAAATAGAAGGACGAGCCGATCCACGCGATCGCCGTGATGACGTGCAGCCAGCGCACGGCGAAGCCCACCCATTCCCACATGACGGCGAAGTCGTACATTGCATGCCTCCCGCAAGCCCGAAACGGCGGCAGACTATGCGGAACGGCATTGTTCTGGTATCGATGGCAAAAGCCAAGCTGCATCAAAAATTGCCGAACAATGTCCTATCTCGACACAATCCGGACCTTCGTGCGTGTCTATGAATTGGGCAGCATGTCGGCAGCGGGGCGGGATCTGCGGATTTCGCCGGCCGTCACTTCGTCGCGCATATCGCAGCTCGAGGACCATCTGAGCGTCCGCCTGTTCCAGCGCACAACGCGCAGCCTGACCCCGACCGAGCAGGGCAGGGCGTTTTACGGCGGTGCTTGTGCGATTTTGGAGGCGGTGGAGAGCGCCGAGGCGCAGGTTGTCTCGATAACGGACAATCCCAAGGGATCGCTGTTCGTCGCCGCGCCGCTCGGTGTCGGGCGGCGGCTGATCGCGCCGCGGGTGCCCGAGTTCCTGAAAGCCTATCCGGAGGTCAGCGTGCGCCTGCGCCTGACCGACCGAAAGGTCGACCTGACGACGGAAGGGCTGGATCTGGCCTTCTTCCTCGGCCAGCCGGAGGACAGCAATCTGCGCATCCGCAAGATCGCCGATGTGGAGCGCGTGCTGTGCGCGTCACCGGACTACATCGCGGCGCGAGGGCTGCCGGCGCGCGGCGACCAACTCGTTGCCGATGGCCATGAGTGCCTCAATCTTCGTTTTCCGGGCGCAACGGAATTCCAGTGGCCGCTGGTGACGCCGGACGGGGTGAAGCGGTTCCGCGTCGCCGGGCGCTACGAGTCCGACGATGGCGACGTGCTGACCGACTGGGCGCTGGCCGGCCATGGGATCGCACTCAAGCCGATCTTCGAGGTGGCGGACCATCTCAGGGACGGGCGGCTGGTGCCGGTCGCCACCGAAACGCCGCCCGAACCGATCCAGATGGCGTGTCTTTTCACCCACCGCCGCCGGCAGGACCCCAAGACGCGGCTGTTCATGGAATTCATGATCGAGCGGATCGGCGCGTCGGTCCGGTAGCTCAGCTTCCGCGATAGGTGGAGTAGCCGAACGGCGAAAGCAGCAGCGGAACATGATAGTGCGCGGCGTCCGACATGCCGAAGCGCAGCGGCACGACATCGAGAAAGCGCGGCTCTTCCGGCGGCGTGCCGGCCGCATCGAGATAGGCGCCGGCGTGGAAGACCAGCTCGTAAACGCCGGTCGCGAACGCGTTTTCGGGCAGGATCTGTTCGTCCGTGCGCCCGTCATCGTTCGTCACCAGCGTTTTCAGATGGGTGCGCGTCTCGCCGTCGATCCTGTAGAGATCGATGCGCAGCCCTTGCGCCGGGCAGCCGCGCGCAGTGTCCAGCACATGGGTTGTCAGAAATCCGGCCATGATCGGTCCTCCGCGAACAAGGCGCCTTATAGCGTCGGCGGATGGCCTGCCGTAACGCGCCGCCGGGCAGAGGCAGTTTCAAGATTTATTTGAATAATCGGGCGATTGTCTTGATGTATGGTTGCATCGCTTGGGAGGGCCCATCATGCGACGTTATCCGCGTGACATGACCGGTTACGGCGCGATGCTGCCAGCGGCCAACTGGCCGAACGGCGCAAGGATCGCCGTGCAGATCGTGCTCAATTATGAAGAGGGCGGCGAGAACTGCGTCCTGCATGGCGATCCGGCGTCCGAGGCGTTCCTGTCGGAGATCACCGGCGCCGAGCCCTGGCCCGGCCAGCGGCACTGGAACATGGAATCGCTCTATGAATATGGCGCCCGCGCCGGGTTCTGGCGGGTCCATCGACTGCTGAAGGATGTGCCGGTGACCGTCTTCGGCGTGGCCAGCGCGCTGGCCCGCGCGCCCGAGCAGGTTGCGGCGATGAAGGAGGCGGGCTGGGAGATTGCCAGCCACGGGCTCAAATGGGTCGAGCACAGGGACATGCCGGCCGACGAGGAGCGCGCGCAGATCGGCGAGGCGATCCGCCTTCATACCGAGGTGACCGGTACGCCGCCGCGCGGCTGGTATACGGGCCGCTGCTCCGCCAACACGGTCGAACTCGTCTCGGAGAAGGGCGGTTTCGCCTACATCGCAGACAGTTATGCCGACGATCTTCCATATTGGGTTCGCGTTGGCGAGAAAGACCAGCTGATCGTGCCCTACACGATGGACTGCAACGATATGCGCTTTGCGATCCAGGCGGGCTTCGCCACGGGCGCCGATTTCGAGACGATGCTGAAGGACGCGTTCGACACGCTGTATGAAGAAGGCCGGGCGGGTGCACCCAAAATGCTGTCGATCGGCCTGCATTGCCGACTGATCGGGCGGCCCAGCCGTGCCGCCGCCCTTCAGCGGGCGCTCGCCCATTTCCGCAGCCATGACGGTGTGTGGTTCGCAACGCGGCTGCAGATCGCCGAGCACTGGGCCAGAACCCATCCGCCGGTTGCGCGGGTTCGTCCGTCGGACATGGATCGCGACACATTCGTGTCCGAATTCGGCGGGGTCTTCGAGCATTCGCCATGGATCGCCGAAGCCGCGCACGCGCTTGAACTCGGCCCCACGCACGACACTGCCGCTGGCGTTCACGCGGCGCTGGCGCGCATTTTCCGCTCGGCGCCAGAGGACGCCCGTCTCGGCGTCCTGACCGCACATCCCGACCTCGCCGGCAAACTGGCACAGGCCAGGCGATTGACCACCGAATCGACGGCCGAGCAGGCTTCGGTCGGGCTCGATTGCCTGACCGACGCGGAGCGCGCTACATTCACCGAACTCAACGACGCCTATACGGCCAGGTTCGGCTTTCCGTTCATCATCGCGGTGCGGGACAACAGCAAGGCATCGATCATGGACGCATTCCGCCGCCGGATCAGCAATGACCGCCGAACGGAACTCGCCGAGGCCTGCCGCCAGGTTGAGCGGATCGCCGAACTGCGTTTGAAGGACAGGTTCGCGGCATGACTCGCGCGATCAGGATCGAGCCGCTCTCCAGGGCCGCCTTTGCGCCCTTCGGCGACGTGTTGGACACCGAGGGTGCGCCGGACCGGATGATAAACCAGGGGCTCTGCGGCCGCTTTCATGACCGTGCCCGGCTCGATTTCGCCAACGGGCGCGCCGGCGTCAGCCTGTTTCAGGCCGAGCCGCGGTCGCTGCCGCTGATGCTGGACATGGTGGAGCGGCATCCGCTCGGCAGCCAGGCATTCGTGCCGATGAGCCTCGATCCGTTCCTTGTCATCGTCGCGCCGGACGAAGCGGGAAAGCCCGGACGGCCACGTGCCTTCCTGACGGCGCCCGGGCAGGGGATCAATTTTCACCGTGGCACATGGCATGGCGTGCTGACGCCATTGGCCGAACCCGGGCTCTTCGCTGTCATCGACAGGATCGGCGAGGGCTCCAATCTGGAGGAACACCGGTTCGAAACGCCCTATCGGGTGTTGGCCGGGTAGCCGCGCGGCAAGCGGCGGCGCTTGGTCTGGAGGAGGGAGAGGACCAAAATGGCAGACGCAACCATCGGGACCCCGGAGCAGCTCCGCGATCCCAACTATACACCGGCGCTGTATCAAGCCGTTCCGCTCGGAATCCAGCATGTGCTGGCGATGTTCGTTTCCAATGTGACGCCGGCGATCATCGTTGCGGGGGCTGCCGGCTTCGGTTTCGGCTCCGACAGCCCGGACTTTCCGGAGTTGCTCTATCTCATTCAAATGTCGATGCTGTTCGCCGGCCTCGCAACGCTGTTGCAGACGATCACCATCGGTCCGGTCGGCGCAGCGCTGCCGATCGTTCAGGGCACCTCGTTTGCCTTTCTGCCGATCATGATCCCGCTGGTCGCGGGGCAGGGCGTCGATGCCTTGGCCGCGCTCTTCACCGGGGTGATTGTCGGCGGTCTTTTCCACGCGTTTCTCGGCGCGTTCATCGGCAAGATCCGCTTTGCGCTGCCGCCGCTCGTCACCGGCCTCGTCGTCACCATGATCGGCCTGGCGCTGGTGCGCGTCGGCATTCAATATGCCGCGGGCGGCGTCCCGGCGATCGGCACACCGGAATATGGCAGCCTGGGCAACTGGATCGTTGCGCTGATCGTCATCGTGGTGACGCTGGCGCTGAAATTCTTCGCGCGCGGCATGCTGTCGGTTTCCGCCGTCCTGATCGGCCTGATCGCCGGCTATGTGTACGCGCTGGTCTTCACCGACATGCTGAGCCTTGCGGCGATTTCCAGTTCCTGGTCGAGCGCCGCCGCCTTCGCCCTGCCGCAGCCGTTCAAATACGGGTTTGAATTCTCGGTTGCCGTGATCGTCGGCTTTTGCCTGATGGCGTTCGTTTCGGCCGTCGAGACGGTCGGCGATGTCTCGGGGATCACCAAGGGCGGCGCGGGCCGCGAAGCGACCGACCGCGAAATCGAGGGCGCGACCTATGCCGACGGTTTCGGCACCGCCATCGCCGGCGTCTTCGGCGGGTTTCCGAACACCTCGTTCAGTCAGAATGTGGGCCTGATCGCGATGACCGGGGTGATGAGCCGCCATGTCGTGACGTTCGGCGCGCTTTTCCTGATTGTCTGCGGGCTGGTGCCGAAGGTGGGCGGGTTGATCCGCACCATCCCGATCGAGGTTCTGGGCGGCGGCGTGATAGTGATGTTCGGCATGGTCGTGGCCGCCGGCATCTCGATGCTGTCCGACGTGACCTGGAACCGGCGCAACATGGTGATCTTCGCCGTGGCGCTGTCGATCGGCCTTGGCCTTCAACTCGAACCGGGCGCCGTGCAGTACCTGCCCGACTGGCTGCGGGTCCTGATGGTCTCCGGTCTCTTGCCGGCCGCCTCGATCGCAATCGTCCTGAACTTGGTTCTGCCGGAGGAATTGTCGGACGAGGCAACCGAGGAAGTGTCCGGGGGCCTGTCCGGGAACGGCCAGGGCTCTTTGCGCCGGGATGGCGGCTGAGGGCGCCGACCCGAGGTCCCGCCAAACCGGCGGCGGGCCTCGACCCCGAATGACAGGCGCTCCCCGGACAGTCCGGGGAGCGCTTCTCTTTTTTTGCGATCGCGGCAGGCGCGATATGAGCAGTGTGATCGTGACCTAGAAATCGACCTCGATGGCGATGCCTTTTTCGACCGCCAGTTCCACGACGGCGGCGGCCACGGCAAGGTCCTGAAGTCCGACGCCGGTGCCGTCGAACAGCGTGATCTGGTCGTCGGACGAACGGCCCGGATCGGTGCCGTTGATCACCGCGCCGATCTGGCCGACATCGCTTTCCGATATCAGGCCCTCGGCGACCGCGTGCTGTGCCTCTCCGATGGAAACCGATTGCGCCACCTCGTCGGTATAAACGCTGGCGCGGGCCAGAAGCTGCGGTTCGACCTCCTGTTTGCCCTTGGTGTCGGTGCCCATGCAGGCCAGATGACAGCCGGCGGAAACCTGGTCGGCCTTCAGGATCGCATCGAAGGACGAGGTGATTGAAATGATCACGTCGGCTTGCGCCATGCCGTCCAGTTCGACCGCCTCGAACGGCAGACCGGCTTCACCGGCGACCTTTTCGATGTTGGGCAGCATTTCGGGGTGAAGGTTCCAGCCAATGACCTTTTCGAAGGCGCGCTGCTCAAGCGCGGCGCGAAGCTGGAAAGTGGCCTGGTGGCCGGCGCCGATCATGCCGATCACCTTGGCATCGTCGCGGGCGAGATGCTTGATCGACACGGACGAGGCGGCAGCGGTGCGCAACGCGGTCAGGAGATTGCCGCCGACCATCGCCGAAACGCGGCCCGTATCGGGATCGAACAGGAACACCGTCGACTGGTGGTTGATGATGCCGTGGCGCTCGAGGTTTTGCGGCCAGTATCCGCCGGCCTTCAGGCCCAGCGTCATGCCGGCACGGTCGAAACCGCCCTTGAAACCGTAGAGCGCGTCGACATGGCCAATGGCCTCGCGCACGACAGGGAAATTGTAGGCATCGCCCGTCGCCATGGCGGCGAAGACCTTTTCGACGGCGTCAAAGGCGGCCTGCCGCGTCATCAGGTCGGCGATTTCGCGTTCGGGGACGATCAGCATCGGTCTCTCCTGGTCGGTGTCGGATACGCCCGTGTGCATTGGCCGGCTGCGCGACGGGCACACGGGCGCTGTAACCGGCCCTCCTCCGGGCCGGGCTTTGGTCTTTCGGGGTCAGTAGGCCTTGCCGCGTGCCGAGACCGGCCAGAGCGCTTCGACCTTGCCGTTGCGGACGCCGACATACCAGTCATGGACGTTACAGGTCGGATCGCAATGGCCGGGGACCAGCTTGAGCTTTTCGTTGATCGCAAGAACGCCGCCCGGGTCCGAAATCACGCCATGCTCATCGGAGCATTTGACGTATTCGACATCGTCGCGGCCGTAGATGAAGGGCAGTCCGCTATCGACCGATTGCGCTTTCAGGCCGGCGTCGCAGATCGCCTTTTCGGCCTTGGCGTGACTCATGACCGAGGTCAATAGGAACAGCGCATTTTCCCATTCGCCATCGTCGATGCGCTTGCCGTCCTTGTCGAGGATGCGGCCATAATCAGCGTCCATGAAGGCGTAGGAGCCGCACTGCAACTCGTTGTAGACGCCCGAATTGCTCTCGAAATAGTACGATCCCGTACCGCCACCGCCGACGATGTCGCACTCAAGGCCCTCGGCCTTCAGCCCGGCGACCGCATCCCGGACCATGTCGATGGCGATGTCGGTCTTGGCCTTGCGGTCCTCATAGCCGTCAATGTGCTGCATGGCGCCCTGATAGGCCTGGATGCCCGCGAATTTGAGGTTCGGCGCGGCATCGATCGCCTTGGCGATCGCGACCACTTCCGGCGTCGTCGTCACGCCGCAGCGGCCGGCGCCGCAGTCGATCTCGACCAGACACTCGATGGTCGTGCCGTGCTTTTGGGCCGCCGCCGACAGATCGGCGACATTGCCAATGTCGTCGACGCAGACAATGGTCCGCGCGCCGAGTTTGGGCAGTTGCGCCAGACGATCGATCTTCCTTGGATCACGCACCTGGTTGGAGACGAGCACGTCCTTGATGCCGCCGCGCGCGAAGACTTCGGCTTCGGAGACCTTCTGGCAGCACACGCCCACGGCGCCGCCGAGTTCTTCCTGCAGCTTGGCCACGTCGACGGATTTGTGCATCTTGCCGTGCACGCGATGGCGCATGCCATGCGCCTTGGCGTAATCGCCCATCTTCCTTATGTTGCGTTCCAGGGCGTCGAGGTCGAGCACGAGACACGGCGTCTGGATGTCGGCCTCATCCATGCCGGGAACCGCGGGCACGTCGAAGCCCACATCGAGCTCGTTGATGTTGACAGGCGCGTTCATGACAGTCTCTCCCTTCAATTGATCCAGGGCAGCGTGTCGAGATCGACATTGCCGCCGGTGACGATGATGCCGACCCGCTTGCCGGCGAACCGGTCGCGGTTCTTCAGGATTGTGGCGAGCGGCACCGCTGAGCTGGGCTCCATGACGATCCGCAGATGCTTCCAGGTGATCTTCATGGCGTCGACGATCTCCTGCTCGGATGCCGTCAGTATGTCCGAGACATGGTTGGAGACGAAATGCCAGGTCAGTTCCTTGAGCGGCACTTTGAGGCCGTCGGCGATGGTCACGGGTGCGTCGTCGGCGATGATGTGGCCGGCCTTGAAGCTGCGACAGGCGTCATCGGCCTGCTCGGGTTCGGCCGCGATGATCTGCGTTTCGGGCGCAAGCGTCGACAGCGTCAGGCAGGTGCCGGAGATCATGCCGCCGCCGCCGATCGGCGCAACGACGATATCGAGGCCGCCGGTCTGCTCCATGAATTCCTTCGAACAGGTGCCCTGGCCGGCGATCACGCGCGGGTCGTTGTAGGGATGCACGAAATCGCCGCCGGTTTGTGCCTGCACCGTGGCGAACGTTTCCTCGCGCGACGTGGTGGACGGCTCGCATTCTGTGATCTTGCCGCCATAGCGGCGCACCGTGTCCTTCTTGGCCTGCGGTGCCGTGCGCGGCATGACCACGTTACACGGAATGCCGCGCAGCATTGCCGCATAGCTCAGGCACGAGGCATGGTTGCCGGACGAATGGGTCGCGACGCCCTTTTGGGCCTGCTGATCATCAAGGCCGAACACGGCGTTGGTGGCGCCACGCACCTTGAAGGCGCCGGGCTCCTGGAAGTTCTCGCACTTGAAGAACAGTTCGGCGCCCGTCAACTCGTTCAGATAGTCCGATGTCCGGACCGGCGTCCGGCGAATGTGCGGCTTGATCCGCTCATGGGCGGCCAGCATGTCTTCATAGGCTGGAACCTGCATCGAATTGTCCTTCATCAGGCGGCGGCCTTTCGTGTGACGGGGGGGTGGGCGCGATAATAGTCCTGCGCGGCGGCAACGCCCGAGCCAAGCTCAATGTCGAGGCCCAGATCGGCCATGCACATTTCGGCCGTGGCAATGCCTGACAGCGTCATGACGTCGGTCAGGCTGCCGAGATGGCCGATCCGGAACACCTCGCCGGCGACCTCGCCAAGGCCGACGCCGAACGCGACCCCGTAGGTCTGCGCGGCATGGGTGACGATGTCGGTCGCGTTGAAACCCTCCGGCGTGCGGATCGCCGAGACCGTGTCCGAATAGACGTCCGGCGTCGCGGCGCACAGCTTCAGCCCCCAGGCGGCAACAGCGGCGCGCACGCCCTCGGCGATGCGGTGATGGCGCGCAAAGACGCTGTCCAGACCCTCGGCCAGTAGCATGCCGCAGGCCTGGTTCAGGCCGTTCAGGAGGCCGACGGCCGGCGTATAGGGATAGGCGCTCTTCTCATAGCTCAGGGCCATGTCATGGACGTCGAAGAAGGTGCGCGGCAGGGTGGCCGTCTTGGTGGCGGCCATGGCCTTTTCGCTGAAGCCGACGATGGCGAGGCCGGCGGGCAGCATGAAGCCTTTCTGCGATCCGGCGACGGCAACATCGACGCCCCATTCGTCGAACCGGAAGTCCATCGAGGCGATCGAACTGACGCCATCGACGAACAGGATCGCGGGATGTCCCGCATCGTCGAGCGCCCGGCGGACCGCGGCGATGTCCGAGCGGACGCCGGTGGCGGTCTCATTGTGGGTCGCAAGGACCGCCTTGATGGAATGGCTCTTGTCGCGCTTGAGGATGTCGGCATAGCGCTCGGCGGGCAGGCCTTCGCCCCAGGCCGTCTCGACGATCTCGACTTTGAGACCGTGGCGCTGGCACATGTCGATCCAGCGGTGGCTGAACATGCCGTTGCGGGCCGCCAGCACCGTGTCGCCGGGGCTGAGCGTGTTGGTCAGAGCGGTCTCCCAGCCGCCCGTTCCCGTCGATGGGAAGATGAAGATGTCGGCGTCGGCCGACTTCAGGATCTTCCGGACGCCATCGCGCGCGGGATTCAGAATCTCGCCGAACAGCGGCGATCGGTGGTCGATCGTCGGCATGTCGCATGCCTTGCGCAGGCTTTCGGGGATGTTTGTAGGCCCCGGAATGAAAACCGGATTTTGCAGGCTCATGGCGGCCTCCTTGCAGCGTCCAGACAATCTACCGGATGCTTCGGGAGAAGGAAATTTTTTTGAAAATATTTTTCATAAATGGAGAAGCTGGAAATCTCTAGCGTTGTCAGAGTGTTATGTTTTTCATATGGTGAAGTGATAATTCGCGTCGTGGAAGAGGCATGCCATGGATTCGCAGGATAGCGGGATGTCAGCGCCATCGCGACGGGCTCGGGGGCGTCCGCGCGACTGGAACGACAAGACCGCCCAGAACACGATCAAGTCGCTGGACCGGGCAATGGAGGTGTTCGAGTTTCTCAGCGAGAACCAGGGCCTGTCGCTGACGGAACTGGCCTCTGAAACCGGGCAGTCGCCGGCGACCGTCTACCGCGTGCTCGTGACCTTGGAGGGCCGGGGGCTTGCCGAATTCGATCCGGGCGACCAGTCATGGCATGTGGGCGCGCGGGCGTTCGTCATAGGCGCGCGCTTTCTGCGACGCACGCAGCTGGTCGACAGGGCGCGGCCGATCCTGCGCCGGCTGATGGAAGCGACGGGCGAAACGGCCAATCTGGGTATCGTTCAAAACCGGTCGGTGCTGTTCGTCAGCCAGGTGGAGACGCACGCCAGCATCCGAGCGTTCTTTCCGCCGGGCACGCTGTCGCCGCTTCACGCGTCCGGCATCGGCAAGGCGCTGCTCGCGGAAATGGCGCCCGAGCGCCTCGAAGCGATATTGGACGGGGCGCTCGAAGCGTTCACGGCAAAGACTCTGTCGGCACCCGATGAACTGCGTGCGGATCTCGGCCGGATACGGGAGCGCGGCTATTCCTTTGACGATGAGGAGAAAAATCCCGGCATGCGGTGCATTGCGGCCCCGGTGTTCGACATTCACGGCGAAGCGGTCGCCGGCCTGTCCGTATCAGGACCGACGGCCCGGATCGGCGCCGACGACGTGGAGCGGTTTGCCGCGCCGGTGATCGCGGCGGCGGCGGAACTGACGATGGCGATCGGCGGGACTATTCGGCCGCGTTCCTGAAGTCTGCCGAGGGCGCCGCGCCGGTCGCCGATGCGGGCCTGAGCGCCATGTGGCGGTTGACGTCCTTGTAGAGCAGATAGCGGAACCGGCCCGGCCCGCCGGCGTAGCAGGCCTGCGGGCAAAAGGCGCGCAGCCACATATAGTCGCCCGCCTCGACCTCGACCCAGTCCTGATTGAGCCGGTAGACGGCCTTGCCCTCCAGCACGTAGAGCCCGTGCTCCATGACATGGGTTTCGGCAAACGGAATGACGGCGCCGGGCTCGAAGGTGACGATGGTGACATGCATGTCGTGCCGCATATCGGCCGGATCGACGAACCGGGTCGTCGTCCACTTGCCATCGGTACCGGGCATCGGCGCCGGAACGATATCGGCTTCATGGGCGATAATGGCCTCGGGCAGAGGCAGGCCGTCCACCGCCTCATATGCCTTGCGAATCCAGTGGAACTTGAACAGCGCGTCGCTCTGGTTCCGCAGCGTCCACTTCGCCGCAGGCGGGATGTAGACATAGCTGCCCGGCCGCAGATCGTGCGTGGCGTCCTCGATCGTGATGGCGCCTTCGCCCTCGACGACGAAGATCACGCCTTCGGCGCCCGGATCGGTTTCCGGCCGGTCGGAGCCGCCGCCGGGCGCGACCTCCATGATGTATTGCGAGAATGTCTCGGCAAAGCCGGTCAGCGGACGCGACAGCACCCACAGGCGCGTCTTGTCCCAGAAGGGCAGGAAGCTGGTGACGATGTCGCGCATCGTGCCCTTGGGAATGACCGCATAGGCCTCGGTGAACACGGCGCGATCGGTCAGCAATTGCGTTTGCGGCGGATGGCCGCCCGATGGCGCGAAGTAATTGCCGCTCATGAATGGGTCTCACTGCTGCTCAAAGGGTCTTGCAAGGCATCTTCACCGTTCTGCACATGCCGGGCTTCGGTACGGCCAGCGCCGCTCGTGTCCGTCATGTGCGTCGGGACCCATTTCGTCAACCGGACGAAAGGCGCGTGAGGTGCGCGTTGAACGCATCGAGCCCCGCCTGCGCCACATCGCGATCCTGGTCCGGTGTTCCCGAACTGACGCCGATCCCGCCGAGGGGTTCGTCGTCGAGCATGACGGGCAGGCCGCCGCCGACCACCATCAGCCGGCCGCCGATCGCCGAGGCGATGCCGTAGGCCGGTGCGCCGGGCTGGCTCGCCTGCCCATATTCATGGGTTGCCTTTCGGGCGCCGGCCGCCGTGAAGGCCTTGTCGATCGCGATCGTCGTCGAGGTGACCTTGCCGCCATCCATGCGCCGGAAGGCGATCAACTGTCCGGCTTCGTCGGTGACGGCTATGCACATGGGCACGCCTATGGTCTCGGCGCGCGCCTGAGCGCCCTCGATCAAGATGTCGGCATCGCGCGAATCGAGGCGCCGGATCGTCATCATCGTCTGGTCTCCTTGTGCGGTTCGCCCGCTATGTATGTCTGTGCCACTGCGCGGTCATCGCCCATCACGAGCAGAACGAAAAGCTCCTCGGCCAGGGTCTCGACGCGATCCATGCGCAGCGCCATGGCGGGCGTCGCGCGGGCGTCGAGCACGACGATGTCGGCCTCGGTGCCTTCATCGAGTGTTCCGATCCTGTCGGCGAGGCCGAGCACTTCGGCATTGCCGCGCGTCATCCAGTGGAAGCCGCGCATGGCGTGCAGGCTCTGCGACTGGAGCTGGAGGACCTTGTAGCCCTCGTTCAGCGTCTGGAGCATCGAATAGCTGGTACCGGCGCCGATGTCGGTGGCGATGGCGCTTTGGATGCCTGCTTTGTCCAGCCGTGCGTGATCGAAGCAGCCCGACCCCAGGAACAGGTTGGAGGTGGGGCAGAAGACCGGATGTGCGCCTGTCTCGGCAAGGCATTGGACCTCGCGCTCTTCAAGATGAATGCAGTGGCCGAGCAGCATCTTGCCGCCCAGAAGGCCGTAACGCTCATAGATGTTCAGATAGTCCGAGGCTTCGGGATAAAGCGAGGCGGCGAAGGCGATCTCTTCGCGGTTCTCCGACAGGTGCGTCTGGATGTGACAATCGGGATGTTCGGTTGCGAGCGCACCGGCCATTTCGAGCTGCTGCGGCGACGAAGTGATCGCGAAGCGCGGTGAGATGGCATAGCCGGCACGGCCCCTGCCATGCCAGCGCTCGATCAGCGCCTTGGTGTCGTCATAGCCCGATTGCGGCGTATCGCGCAGAGTGTCCGGCGCGTTGCGGTCCATCATCACCTTGCCGCCGATCATGCGCATGTTGCGGCGCTCGGCCTCGGCGAAATAGGCGTCGGCGGAGGCGGCATGAACGGAGCAGAAGGCCGCGGCGGTGGTCGTGCCGTGCTCGGTCAGCACGTCGAAAAACCGGGTCGCGATCGCCTGCGCATGGCTCTCATCGCCAAACCGCGCCTCTTCGGGAAACACATAGCCGTTCAGCCAGTCCAGAAGCTGCGCGCCCCAGGAGGCAACGATCTGCGCCTGTGGGAAATGGATATGCGCGTCGATGAAGCCGGCCGTCATCAGGTGCGGCCGGTGATCGACGATATCGGTGCAGGGCGCGGTCGGCGCGACTGCGTCGAAGGTTCCCGACGCGGCGATCACCCCTTCGCGGACAAGGATGGCACCGTCCTCATGATAGGTTAAGGCGTCGGTGTCGTTTTGATCCGCCGGCGCGCGGTGAAAGGTCAGGAGGCGGCCGCGCAGGAGCCTGTCTGTCATGGTCGGGGTATCTTTCATGGCTCGAGAGGGGTGGCCGGGGCGGCAGCGCCGCCGCCCCGATCCTCTTCAGGCCCTGCCCGACGGGGCGTCGGTGTCGAGGAAATCGGGCTCGTCGGGGACGATGATCCGGTGATCCAGATCCTCTTTTGGCGCGATGGCCGGATAAAGCAGCAGGAAGGCGCCGGTGATCAGATAGCCGATGGTGATCCCGTCGAGCTGCGGCATCTGCAGGCTGGCCGCATGGACGATCCCGATCGACGACATGATGGCGGCGGCGATCGCGAAGCCCCCGGCGGTGCGGAACCGTCCGTCGATGATCGAGGCGACGATCGCGCCCCAGACCAGGCCGGTGATGATCGCGCCCTGCGACAGCGCCAGGTGGCCTTCATAGTGGGCGCCTTCCATCAGGAGTGCGGCGGTCAGTTCCGGGCTGCCGAGCGCGGGCATTCCCTCCACGCCGCTGCTTCTGAGCGCATTGGCGAGCGAACCCCATTTGGTGACCAGGAAGCTGGATATGTGCGGCAGGATGGCGATCGTCACGGCCGCCATGTGCGCCGGCTTGATCGCCATGGCCGTGTTGGTGATCAGGCTGATCGCAACGAAGACGAGGATCGGTGCCGCTGCGGCGATCGGGATCAGACCGTTCAGGAAGGCAAGGAAGCCGAAGAAGGCCGCAAAGGCGATCACGCCGCCGACACCGATGATGTAGCCGGCATGGGCCTCCAGCCGCTTGTAGGCGGGATGACCGATATAGACGGTGGTCGGAAAGGGCGATCCGAACACCGCGCCGATCATTGTGCCGGCGCCGTCCGTCACCTGGCAGACCGCGACGGGATATTCGTCGCCGGCGGCCTCGGCGCTCTCCACATTGTTCATCGTCTCGATGAAATTGTAGATCTGTACCGGCACCAGCACGAGGAACAGTTCCGGATTGGCGAACAGATATTGGATGCCGGCGATCAGGTCGCCGACATAGGGCAGCGGCGGATAGAAGCCGACGCTGTCGAGCTCCAGCCTGGATTGGCCCAGAACGATGGCGATCACCGTTCCGGCGGCGATGGCGACGAGGCCCGCCGGCAGGTTGCCGGGCAGTTGGAAACGGCCGACCAGACCCCACAGGATGATCACCAGCGCGGTGAATCCGACGATCGGGTTTTCGAAGATCTGCGTCAGGGGCACCGAGCCGATGAAGACAAGGGCGATGCCGCACAGCGTGCCGAGCATGCCTGCTCGCGGCGTGATGCGTTTGAGAAACGGACCGATGAGCGCACCGAGCGCGGCGACGATGCCGCCCATGAAGCCGGCGCCGATGCCGACCTGCCAGGCGAGCATGGCATCCTGTGTGGCCCAGTAGATCGGCCCGATCACGCCGAACAGATAGACGAACATGACCGGCGTGGAGATGCCGTAGGGCAGGGCGGTGACGTCGCGCCCATGCTTTTGCGCAGCCCATTTGGCCATCAGCGCGTAGACGGCCACGCCCGCCAGAATGGCGATCGCCGCGCCGGGCACGATCCGCCCGTAGACGATCTCGGCGGGCATCTGGAAGACAAACTGGCAGATGGCCGAAAGCACCATCAGATTGACGAGGTTGTCCGTGAACAGCGCCCAAAAGGCGCTGAAATCGCTTCTGGCGAACAATCGGTAATTGTAGCTGTCCTGTGACATTGCAGGGCTCCCTCCCCGTTTCAGAATGGTGAGCGCGCGAGCCGGTGCCCTTCTTTTTGGCCCGGTACGCGTTGTCGTTTCGTCAGTTCCCGGCCGCTGTGTTCGCGGCCCCTTTGGCTGCAGGCGCCGGTCCGGTGATCTGCGCCATGACTTCGGCCACGACGAACGCGGCGATGACTTCGGGGCGCTTGTCGGCGCTGCCCGCCGCGCCGATCGGGCAGGTCAGTTGCGCCATCGCCGCCGCCGGCGTTTCGGAAGCGCAATAGCGCTCGAACCTGGCGCGCTTGGTCGCCGAGCCGATCAGCCCGACATAGGATGCATCGCCGCGGGCGAGCGCTTCGGCGGTCAAAAGAAAATCCAGCGCATGATCGTGAGTGAGCACGATGAAGGCGCTGCCCGGTGGCGCTGCGCGGACCACCGTCTCCGGCACCGCCGCTGCGCGCTTTTCGACGTCGGCGCGCGATTGGGCGAGTTCATCGGCGCGGCTGTCGACAAGAATGCACCGCACCGGCAGGGCCTGAAAGAAGACGGCCAGCGCGCGTCCGACATGGCCGGCACCCAGTACATAGACATGGGGCAGGGCGGCCCGGCGTTCGGCGTCGGCGGCCAGCGCGGCGTCACGGTCCGCCTTGGTCATGCGGGTCAGCGAAAGCGTGACCCGTCCGCCGCAGCACTGGCCGATCTCCGCCCCCAGCGGCACGTCCATTTCGGCGGTCGTTTCGCCGCAGCGCAGCATCGCGCGCGCCTTGTCGATCGCCATGTATTCGAGCTGGCCGCCGCCGATCGTGTCGTACAGGCCGGACGCCGAGACGAACATCTCCGCCCCGGCTTCGCGCGGCGAAGAGCCGCGGACGCCGGTCAGCCGGACATGGATCGCCGGTTCGCCGGCATCGAAGAAGGCGCGAAGCGTCACCGGATCACTCCCTCAGCCGCTCGATCGCCATCAGCACGCGCTCGGGCGTTGCGGGCGCGTCGAGACGCGGGCAGGTCTGGTAGTCGGCAATGCTCGCAACCGCATGGGAGAGCGCCTCGAACACCGAGATGCCGAGCATGAAGGGCGGTTCGCCCACGGCCTTGGAGCGCTTGATGGTGCGCTCGCGGTTCTCCGACCAGGAGGCGAGCTCGACATTGAAGATGCGCGGCCGGTCAGAGGCGAGCGGGATCTTGTAGGTGGACGGCGCATGGGTGCGCAACCGGCCCTTGTCGTCCCACCACAATTCCTCGGTGGTCAGCCAGCCCATGCCCTGGATGAAGGCGCCTTCGACCTGGCCCTTGTCGATGACCGGGTTCAGAGACCGGCCGACATCGTGCAGGATGTCGGTGCGCTCGACGCGATACTCGCCGGTCAGCGTGTCGACCGAGACCTCCGAACAGGCCGCGCCATAGGCGTAGTAATAGAAAGGGCGGCCCTTGCCGCTCGCGCGGTCCCAGTGGATTTTCGGCGTCTTGTAGAAACCGGCCGCCGACAGGTGGATGCGCGCCATATAGGCTTCGCGCACAAGGTCGGCGAAGGGGACCGTCTCACCGCCGATCCGGACATTGTTGGCGATGAAGCGGACCTGGCTTTCATCGGTCTGCCAGCGTTCGGCGGCAAAGGCGGTCAGCCGTTCCTTGATTTGCCGCGCGGCGTCGAGCGCGGCCATGCCGTTGAGGTCCGAGCCGGACGATGCCGCCGTCGCCGAGGTGTTGGGCACCTTTTCGGTGGTCGTTCTGGTGATCTTGATGTGGTCGACATCGACCTGCAGTTCCTCGGCGACCACCTGGGCGACCTTGGTGTTGAGCCCCTGGCCCATCTCGGTGCCGCCATGGTTGAGATGGATCGAGCCGTCCGAATAGATGTGCAGCAGCGCGCCGGCCTGATTGTACCAGGTGGCGGTGAACGAGATGCCGAACTTGACCGGCGTCAGCGCGATGCCTTTGCGGACGATGCCGCCCTTGGCGTTCCAGTCGAGCACCGCCTGCCGGCGCGCCTGATAATCCGCGCTCTCCTCGAGTTCGGCGACGATGCGCGGGGCGATATTGTCCTCGACCCTCTGGTGATAGGGCGTCACGTTACGCCCGTCCTCGGCATCGCCATAGAAATTGCGCTTGCGCACTTCCAGGCTGTCGAGGCCGCGATGATAGGCGATCTCCTCGATGATCCGTTCGGCGGCGATCACGCCCTGCGGTCCGCCGAAGCCGCGAAAAGCGGTGTTCGACACCGTGTTGGTCTTCATCGGATGCGAGTTCAGGAGAACGTCGGGATAGTAATAGGCATTGTCGGCGTGAAACAGAGCGCGGTCGGTGACCGGTCCGGACAGGTCCGAGGAAAAGCCGCAACGCGCCGCAAAATCGCCGGTGACGGCGGCGATGCGCCCTTCATCGTCAAAGCCGACCTCATAGTCGACGACGAAATCGTGCCGCTTGCCGGTGGCCGACATGTCGTCGTCGCGGTCGGGCCGGATCTTGACGGCCCGGTTCCACCTCTTGGCGGCCAGTGCGGCGACCGCGCAGAACAGGTTCATCTGCGTTTCCTTGCCGCCGAACCCGCCGCCCATACGGCGCACATTGACGGTGACGGCATTGGACGCGACGCCCAGGACATGGGCCACCATGTGCTGCGCCTCGGTGGGATGCTGGGTCGAGGAATGCACGATCACATCGTCGTCCTCGCCCGGCATGGCAAAGGCGATGTGGCCTTCCAGATAGAGGTGATCCTGGCCGCCGACATTGAACCGGCCCTTGATCCGGTGTTTTGCCCTGGCCATCGCCTCGGCCGCTTCTCCGCGCTTCAGCGTCAGGGGCGGCGTGACATAGGGCATGCCCGCGTCGCGCGCCGATTGCGGGTCCAGCACGTGCGGCAGGTCCTCATAGGCGATCTCGGCCAGCCTGGCGGCCCGGCGCGCCGCATCGCGGCTCTCGGCGACGACGGCGAAAACCGGCTGACCCCAGAACTCGACCTTGCCTTCGGCGAAAACCGGCTCGTCGTCGCGCCCGGTCGGGCTGACATCGTTGACGCCGGGAACGTCGTCGGCGGTCAGCACGCCGACCACGCCGGGGGCGGCGCGGACGGCGCTCAGGTCGAGATCGATGATCTTTGCGTGGGCGCGGGTCGAAAGGCCCAGATAGGCGTGCAGCGTACCGACGGGCTCGACGATGTCGTCGCAATATTCTGCGCGGCCGGTGACATGCTTGATCGCTGAATCGTGGTGCAGATCGGTGTGGACGCCGCCGCGGATGGCCGTCGCGCCGCCGCCGCCGCGTGCGAGCTGTCGCGGCGCGGGCGGATCGCGGCGCTGTTCCGTGCCGGCCGGTTCGCCGGAGGTCCCAAGATCGCTCATCGGTCGTGTTCCTCGCTCACGCGCTCAGACGCACCGGCGTCTGGCTGTCCTGCTGCTCGAGCCAGAAGCGGCGGAAAAGGTTCTGGGACACGCGCAGGCGGTAGTCCGCAGACGCGCGCCAATCGGTCAGCGGCGTGAAATCGTCGCCGAGCCGGTCGGCGGCGGCGGTCACGGTCTCAAGGCTCCAGGGTCGTCCGACGAGCGCCGCCTCGGCGTGATGCGCCCGCTTGGGCGTTGCGGCCATGCCGCCCAAGGCGATGCGCGCAGCGGCGACCTTGCCATCGTCCACTGTGACGTTGAAGGCGGCGCAGACTGACGAGATGTCCTCGTCGCGGCGTTTGGAGATCTTGTAGGCCGCATGCAGCGCGCCCCCGGCGGGGCGCGGAACCGTCACGCTTTCCAGAAACTCGCCCGGCCTGCGATCCTGCTTGCCATAGTCGATAAAGAAATCTTCCACCGGCAGGGTGCGGCGCTTGCCGCCGCGGCGCAGCGTGATCGTCGCGCCCAGCGCGATCAGCACCGGCGGCGTGTCGCCGATGGGCGAGCCGTTGGCGATATTGCCGCCAATGGTACCCATGTTGCGGATCTGCCAGCCGGCGATCCTGTCCCAGAACTCGGCGAGATGCGGATAGTCGGCGGCCATCGCCGCGCGGCTGTCGGTGTAGCTGGCCCCGGCGCCGATCTCGATGGCCGTGTCGGTGACTTCAAGCCGGCGCAGTTCTTCCAGATGACCGACAAGGACCGCCGGCGAGATGTCACGCAGGAACTTCGTCACCCACAGCCCGACATCGGTGGCGCCGGCAACGATCGTCGCGTCCGGCGTTTCGGACAGCACATCGGCGAGATCGTCGACCGAGGCCGGCAGGATGCAGCGGCTTCCGTCCTTGCCGATTTCCACCCGGCGGCCGTCCCGCAAGGCCGCCAGCCTTTCGGCGATCGATTGCCGCTCCCGGTTGAGAGCATCCAGGGCAGGGCTACCGAGCCGGGTTGCCGCCCGCGCGGCCCGGATGATCGGCTCATAGCCCGTGCAGCGGCACAGATTGCCCTGGATCGCGGTTTCGATCTCGGTGTCGGTCGGATCGGGGCTTTCCATCCACAACGCGTAGAGCGACATGACGAAGCCCGGCGTGCAGAAGCCGCACTGGCTGCCGTGATGGTCGACCATCGCCTGCTGAACCGGATGAAGCCGGCCTTCGGGACCGGAGAGATGCTCGACCGTGACGATGTGGCAGCCGTCGAGCGAGGCCAACAGCCGGATGCAGGCATTGACCGGTTCGTACCGCAATTGACCGCCATCGAGCCGTCCGGCCAGAACGGTGCAGGCACCGCAGTCGCCTTCCGCACAGCCTTCCTTGGTGCCGGTCAGGCGCCGTTCGATCCTGAGAAAATCAAGAAGCGTGTCCGTGGCGGCGGCCTGATCGAGCCGCACCGTGTTTCCATTCAACAGGAAACGGATGTTTGCGCGTATGTCCATCCCGTCGCTCCTCCCCGAAGTCGCCGGCGCCTGAGATCGACGGATGGTGTCAAAACCGATTGATCAAGAAAATGCATAATATGGGAAAGCACTCTCAAAAAAATCGGAACAAACTCCGTGTGAGGACTTGATCGACGAGAGATGCGCCCGGCGACGGGGCCGTCATGCCGGGCGTTCGAATGGGCAAGGCATCGATGCGGGCGCTTTTGAGCGGGAAACAGCCCCAAGGGCGAGTGAGGGATCGGGGTCCCGGGCCGGCAATGCGGCCTTTGATCACCATGCAGGCGCTGGATGCCGGCTGGCCTTGCAACGGCCGACAGGCCGGGCGGGGGGGGGCTGCTTCGAGATCGACGTGGCGGCTTATGCCGAACCTGGCCGGGTCAAGGGCGGCGGAGCGTCCGCCACCGAACGTGACGGAACCGCGCGACCGCCGGCAGGCAATTCGCCGGAATCCGGGCAGCAGCCGCCGACCGCGCGGACCCTTGGGTCACTTTCTCCGTTTCGACGCTTTCTGATCGGGCCGGCGGCCGAGGCCCATATCGCGAGCCAATTGGGAGCGTCTTTCGGCATATTCGGGAGCGACCATGGGGTAGTCCGGGCGGAGCCCCCATTTTTCCCGATACTCTTCCGGCGTCATGCCGTAATGGCTCATGAGATGACGCTTGAGCGACTTGAATTTCTTGCCGTCCTCAAGGCAAATGATGTACTCGCGGGTGACCGAGCGCTTGGGATTGACGGCCGGCTCGGGCTTCTCCGCTTCCGCCATCGAAGAAGCGCTGCTGAGCTTTGAAAGCGCAGCGTGTACATCAGCGATCAAAGTTGGCAAATCCGAAGATTGGACGGCGTTTCCGCCGACATAGGCAGAAACAACTTCAGCCGTCATTTGCGTCAGAAGGTCCCGGTTATCGTTCTGTTCGTCGAGATTTATGGCGTTCATTACATGAGCCCTGCAAAGCTAATCTGTATGAGGCCGACATCTTCATGCGAAAAAGAATCATGGGAATACACTAAATATGCGTATTTTTGCCACGAGTGGGCTCAAGATCAATATACACACGTTGGTAATCATTGATTGCTTTGAACGTATAAAAGTGCATATTTATGGGTAGAAATGGCTCTTAATTTTGACTATGCTCACTGTTTACAATACGATTCGCGCAGTACCTAACAAATTTCAGGTCCAATTTAATTAAGCCGATCAGAGAAAATTTGTATTATTGCTTCTATCATCCGAGTAAATCAACAGATCAGGACACTCGTTTTTCCTGCCGGCAGCCGAAGCGGACCCCGTTTGCCCTCCGCAAGGATGCTGTGCGATTCGAAATTGGCATCATTGTCACGAAAAGTGTTTTGGCTGAAATGGAGGCCGGCAATGGCGGCCGATGTATTGTCTTGTGCGCGAGATTGAGCCGTTCCGTTTCGTCGGGCAGGCCGGTACACGCGAAACCCTTGTTTTCGGGAGTTGAATGGCATTGGGCCAAAATCTAGTGTCGCTCAATTGATCGGTCGGGAGGATAGTAATGCGCCGGTTCGGAGAGCGCACCAATGTTACCCTCAAAGAGGTGGTTGCGGACAATCTGCACCGCCTGTGCGAAAACGACGGCCGGTCGATTGCGTATATTTGCAGGGCAATGCGTATTTCCCGATCTCAATTCGACAGATACCTGGCTGCCGAAAATCTTCCGACCGAGGGTACGGCCAAGACGATTGCCAATTTCTTCCGTATTGCCGAGGTGGATCTGTTCCAGATCGGCTTTCGTGCACAGGTCAACATACCAGCGGAGTATGAGGAAGCCATTCGAAACTTGACGCATCTTCCCGCGCCGCGGTTTCAGGGAGGCATATATTACCTCTTCTACCAATTGATGTCGGACTCAAACCGGGTGATGTGCAGCATCGTGATCGTCAAGCCGCGCGGTGACGATCTCGGCTTTGTCCGTCTGACCGGATATTCCAAAAGACGATATTCCAACGGCGCCTTTTTTCGGGGCCGGCATGGCGGCATTGTCGTCGAGCGTCACAAGTGGCTCTACTTCGCCGGGGTCAACATGGTTCCCGAATATGAACCGTCGATGATCATGTTCCGCTGGATCATGGGCGATGAAGACGTGCTTCCCGGAAAGGCGTCCATCGCCACCGAGCGTGGACCGGTGGTGATCGATGCCGTTCTGAAGCGGGCGCCGGACGATCTTTCCCTTCGCCATGCGGTCAGGATGGCAAGGGCCTACCCGCGCAATGCCGCCTTCATCGGGGACGATGTCAGGCTCATCCTGGAAGACAATCCCGTTTGATCGGCCAAGTGGCGGACAGTTGTCCCCATGTAAAGGGTTCGTTAACCCTTCCCGAGGGTAACCATGACCCTATGGAAGCGGCAATAGTTCCAAAAATAGTTGTTGAATCAATAGTTTACGGTTTCTAGGTTTTGGTAGTGTCGCAATCATGCGCACCGATCATTGGAGACCGAAAATGGCCAAGAAGACGCTCAACATCACTGTGAAACCTGCCAAGTCGACGGCCTTTGTCCGTCCGGGCATGTTCTACAACAAGGTCTGACAACGATGCGCCGTCGTGACCCGTCGCGGCGGCGTTCGGCCGCCCGGCGAGAGGGGACCCGTGCCCTTCGCGCCTCCCGATCCGTCGTCTTGAGTTGGGATGAGGGCGAGATGCTCGCCTGCAATTTTCTGACGCGACAGGTGACGGCCTGTTCGGTGGATCTGGTCGAATTTCTCTCACACTTGCAGGACTGGCAGCGGGTCGACGAGATCATCGCCGCTTTTCAGGGTGTTACGGCCGATGCGCTCGACGCGCTCGTTCACGCGACGTTGCTCATCGAGCGCGACAGCGAAGAGGCCAGGCGCGAGGAAGAATATCTGTCGGCATGGAACTGGGGCGTTCCCGCCGCGATGCTGCATTTTTGTCTGCAGGATGCCGATTTCCTGCCGCTTGAAGCCGCCGAGCAGTTGCAGGAGGCCAAGTCTGCGGAGGTCCGGTCTCCCGGACTGCATCTGCCCAATGAAGGGCGTTTCCATCCGGTGATCTCGCTGAAAGACGACGTGCAGAAGAACAGCGCGCTGACCGCGGTCATGGAGCGTCGCCGCACCGTGCGCGAATGCGACGCGACCGCCTATGTGGGGCAGGGGTCGATCGCCGATTGCCTCTATGCGGGGCTCGGCATCACCGGATGGACTTCGAACTGCGTCGGCAAACTGCCGCTCGGGATGACGCCGTCGGGCGGTGCGCGCAATCCGTTCGAGGCTTATCTGTTCGTCAAGCGTGTCGAGGGTCTGGCGCCGGGCATCTACCACTATTCGGCGCTGGAACACAGTATCGGCCGCGTCGGCGAAACCGAATGCGAGCTTTCAGACCTGGTCGCCGGGCAGGATTGGGCAGAGACGATGTCCTGCGCGATCGTCCTGTGCGCCTCGCTGGAACGGACCATGTGGAAATATCCCGATGCAAACGCTTATCGCGTCGTCATGATCGAAGCCGGCCATATCGGCCAGAACATCATGCTGGCGGCAACGGCGGCGGGACTGACCGCTTGCCCGACCGCAGCGCTGAGCCACAGCCGCATCCGCGATGCGATCGGTCTCGAGCGTCTGACGGATACGCCCGTCTACGCGCTGACGATCGGCGTTCCAGCCAAGGATGCCCGCTTGGCGGCGTGATGGCGAATTGCGCGGAAGCCGGCCAATCCGCGACCGTCCGCTCGAACCACCGTTATCCGGAGCCGTGCGGCGAACGCCGGTACCGCGCTGTTCAGCGGTGGCTTCGTCTTGATGCGGTACCCGCCGCGTCCGCGGCCTCGTCGCGCAGCCTTGGGCCGCGAACCGGGCTGTCCGGGGCACGGAGACGTCCTCAACTCCCTTGCTGACCGCCGGTCTCCGACATGCCATAGCTGGTGCCGTGTGCTGACGATCTGCGCTGACCATCAGGGAGACCGCCATGACCGCCTTTTCCTACCAGCTCTATTCGTCGCGCAATTTTCCGCCGCTGGCCGACACGCTGACCATGCTGGCCGACCTCGGCTATGCGGAGGTGGAGGGTTATGGCGCGCTTTATGCCGATCCGGCACTGGTCAGCGAACTGAAGACACATCTGGGCGCCAGCGGCCTGACCATGCCGACCGGCCATTTCGGCTTGCAGATGCTGGAGAGCGATGTCGACGCGGTGCTGTCGATCGCACGCGAAGTCGGCATGCAGCGGCTCTACTGTCCGCATCTGGCCGCAGAAGAACGGCCGGACAGCGGCGCGGACTATGAGGCGTTCGGGCGGCGGCTTGCCGAAGCGGCCAGGCCCTATCGCGATGCGGGGCTTGGTTTCGGCTGGCACAATCACGACTTCGAGGTGCGCCCGACGGCCGACGGGGCGGTGCCGCTGGATGCGATCTTCTCAGGCGGTCCTGACCTTGAATGGGAGGCCGATATCGCCTGGGTCATCGTCGGCGGCGCCGACCCGCTCGCGCTGATCGACACACATGGCGGCCGGATCAGCGCCGTCCACATCAAGGACATCGCGCCGCACGGCGAGGCACTGGACGAAGGCGGCTGGGCCGATGTCGGCCACGGCACGGTCGACTGGGCCGGGTTGATGGTGCGCCTGCGCCAAACGCCGTGCAGGCACTTCATCATGGAGCATGACAATCCGGGTGACGCGACACGGTTTGCAAGGCGCTCGATCGAAGCCGCCCGATCCTTCTGAAAATCCCTTGTCGAGGACCATCCCCATGAGCGCAACGCTTGGCATCGGCATCATCGGCTGCGGCAACATCTCGACGACCTATTTCGAGCTGGCGCCGCTGTTCTGTGGCATGGATGTGCGCGCCTGCGCCGATCTGAACACGGAGGCGGCGCGCGCCAGCGCCGGCAAATACGGTGTCGCCGCGCAAAGCATCGACGATCTTTTGGCCAATTCAGCCGTCGACATCGTCGTCAACCTGACCGTCCCCGAGGCCCATGCCGGCGTGACCGCGGCCGCGCTCGAAGCGGGCAAGCATGTCTATTCAGAAAAGCCGCTGGCCCTGTCGCTTGACGACGGTCTGGCGCTCAAGGCGCTCGCCGACGCGAAGGGGTTGAGCGTCTGTTCGGCGCCGGACACGTTCCTGGGCGGGGCGCATCAATGGGCACGGCGGCTGATCGACGAAGGGCGTCTCGGCACCATCACGTCCGGCACGGCGCATGTGATGTCGCACGGGATGGAGCACTGGCATCCGAACCCGGACTTCTTCTTCAAGCCCGGCGCCGGGCCGGTGCTCGATATCGGGCCCTACTACATCGCCAACCTGATCCATCTGATCGGGCCGGTGCGCCGGGTGGCGGCGCTCGCCAACAGCGCCGAGGCGGTCCGCACCATCGGCTCCGAGCCGCGGCGCGGGGAGAAGATCGCGGTGGAGACGCCGACCAACATCCATGCGCTCCTGGAATTCGAAAGCGGCGCGACGGTCACGCTGGGCGCAAGCTGGGACGTCTGGGCGCACCGGCACCGCAACATGGAGCTGTACGGAACCGAGGGCTCGCTGTTCGTGCCCGATCCGAACTTCTTCGGCGGCACGGTCGAACTGTCAGGGCGGGACGGCGGGCTTTCGGTGCCGCAGCCTTTCGACCATCCGTTCGGCGTGCCCAATCAGGATCATGGCGGCACGGCGCTTGCGAACTATCGCGGTGCCGGGCTTGCCGACATGGCGAAGGCGATCCGCGAGGGCGGCGGCGCGCGCTGTTCGCTCGACCGGGCGCTGCATGCGGTCGACGTCATGACCGGCATTCTCAGGTCCGCCGAGGCGGGCACGTTCGTTGTCATGCAGACGCGCTGCACGCGTCCCGACCCGCTGGGTCCCGACCAGGCGCGCGCGTTGTTGAAGGACTGAGGTGCGAACTCCGAATGCACGGCGAGGTGTCCTGGCCCGCGGGCCGTCGCGCGTTTGCCGCATCGAACGCGAATTCGGTGCAGTGACGCCCTGCAATGCTCAACGCCCCAGTTCCATCCGACGCCATTCTGTTGGCGCGCGCCCGACGACACGCTTGAAATCTCGGCTGAAATGGTATCCGTCGCAAAAGCCGCATCGGACCGCGATATCTTGCAGCGGCAGGGTGCTTTCGAGCATCATCCTTTGCGCCATGGCCAGCCTCTGGTGACGCAGATAGGCGCGCGGCGTGGCTTTGAGATGCTGACGGAACAGCCGGCGCAGCTGCGATGCGCTGACCCCGGCGATCTGCGTCATTACATCCGCTGACCATGGCTGTTCGGGGTTGGCGACGATCATCTGCCGAAGCCGGTCAAGCCGTGATGGGAGCCCGGTTCTGGCTCGCGGGTCACGCTGACTGCTGACGAGCTTGAAGAACTCTGCCGTTGCGGCGTGCAGGCGCAAGTCCATGTCGGCGCCGCCGGCGTCGAGAATTGCGAACAGGTTCTGGAACCAGCCAATGAGCTCGGGCCCCTCTGCAATCGTCAGGCGCGGAGGTGCCTTGCCAAAGATGCGGCGCCGCAACGCCGCCAGATGCGGCCCGTCCAGCCGGAACCACATCACCGACCAGGGATCGCGCCGGTCTGCGGAGTGTCCATGCGGCGCGTCGCCGGCGATCCAGGCGAGTTGCCCCGCGCCGAGATCGAAACGCCTTTCGCCGACTTCGACCTGTCCGCGGCCGGACAGGCAGTAGAGTATGTCGTCGCCGGGGCACGCGGCGCGGCGGATCGTCCCGCCCGGCGCTGCATCGAGCCAGCCGGCGCGCAGCACGGTCGTCAGCCCGCCGCCCAGCTCCGCGTCGGGCAGGTAGTAGTGGCTGATCCTCACTGTTTGCGGATGATAGGATCGCTGCATGCGTGTTTTGTACATCTAATTGCCGGGACTGTCCATTTTGTTTGCCCGGGCCGGACATAAACTGCGTGCAGGAGTTCGGCCCAGACCGGGCTCCGGAAACGGCGGCCGCACAGAGCCGCGAAGACATTGGGAGGATGGCATGCTTGTGCCAACCAGGGCGGAAGCCCGGGCATATGACGTGGACGGTTTTTTCGTCCGCAAGGGGTTCCTCAGCGACGGCGAAGTTGCCGATTTTCGTGATGCGGCGCGGCGTCAGCTTGAAGCGGAGAGCCAGTCCGGTTCCGTCATGGAAAAAGGCGACAAGGCCGGCAACAAGACGCTTCTCAAGCTTTGGAACAATGCCGGCGACGACAAATACGGGATGCTGGCGCGAGACGAGCGCCTGGTGCGCATGTCGGAGGCACTGATCGGCGACGAGGTCTATCTGTACAGCCACAAGATGACCATGAAGCAGCCCCGCGAGGGCGGCGCTTGGGAGTGGCATCAGGACTTCGGCTACTGGTACAACAATGGCTGCCTGGCGCCGGAGATGCTGTCGATCTGGATCGCGCTCGATCCCTCCAACAAGGCCAATGGCTGCCTTCAGGTTCTCACCGGGTCGCACATTCTGGGCCGCCTCAACCATATTCGCGAGGATGGACAAACCAATGTCGAGAAGCCTTACCTGAACGCCGCCGTTAAGCGTTTTGAACATGTCTATGTGGAAATGGGTCCTGGCGACGCGCTGGTCTTCCACTGCAATCTCCTGCACCGTTCCGATGCGAACAAGAGCGACACCTATCGTTGGGGCTATATCTGCTCGTACAATGCGGTCCACAACGCGCCCTTCATGCGTGCCCGCGACTATGGCAACTATGAAGAGTTGAAGACCGTTCCGGCTGGCAGCTTCATGAGCGTGCAATGAGCGACGAGGCCGGCATGAGCGGCGGTTTCAAGGCCGAAGGCAGGGCGCCGCATCCGAAAGTGTCGGTCGCTACCCGCATCTTGACGGCCAAGGAAACGGGCGTGCTGCTGGCGCTCATCGTCATGTGCGCCTTTCTGGCCCTGGCGACCGAGAGCTTCCTGACAACGACAAACCTGCTCAATGTCGGGCGGCAAGTCTCGCTTTTGGGGATCATGGCCGTCGGCATGACTTTCGTGCTGGTTGCCGGCGAGATCGACCTTTCGGTCGGTTCTACCTATGCGCTGGCCGGCCTTGGTACCGGGATGCTGATCGTTGCGGGTTGGGCGCTCGCGCCGGCGCTGGTCGCCGGATTGCTGATCGGGGCCGCGATCGGACTGGTCAACGGGCTCCTGTCCACGTATGGCCGGCTGCCATCGCTGATCGCGACGCTGGGCATGCTCTCCATCGTGCGGGGCACGGCGCTGCTGATCACGGGCGGCCAGCCGGTCACCGTCAACGAGCGCAACGGCGCCGATGCCGAGGTTCTGGCCACGTTCGAGTTTCTCGGTCAGGGCTATCTGTTCGGCATCGTGCCGATGCAACTGGTCTTTTTTGCCGCCGTGGCCGCCCTGGGCTGGCTGGTGCTGGCCCGAATGGCGTTCGGTTTTCGCGTCTTTGCCGTCGGCGGCAGCACCAAGGCTGCCCGCGTGTCCGGCATTCATGTCAACGGCGTGAAGATATGGGCGTTCGTGATCATGGGTGTCATGGCGGCTCTGGCCGGCATCCTGTCGATGGCGTTTCTGCCGAGCGGACAAGCCGGACGCACGGGTCTGGGGCTGGAACTGGACGTGATCGCAGCCGTGGTCGTCGGCGGCGCGTCGCTGGCCGGCGGGATCGGCACGATACCCGGTACCGTGCTTGGCGTTCTGATCATCGGTGTCTTGCGCAACGGACTGGTTTTGATGGGCGTCTCGCCCTTCATGCAGGAGGTCATGATCGGCCTCGTCATCATCATCGCGGTCGCGATCGACAAGTGGAGTATGCGTTCGAGGCCGGGCTGAACCGGCGTCGTGCCGGCAATCATCAAGGGAGGAAACCAGATGAAGAAGCTCTTGACGACAACCGTTCTTGCGGCAGGCATTGGCTTGACGCCTCTTGTGGCGCAGGCCGAGCCGATCAGCCTTGGCGATTTCGAGCTTGCACCGCGAATTGCCGAAAGCATCGCGGCAGGCGAGCCCCTCGATATCTTCGTGTCCTATCACGACGTTTCCAACGAGTTCGCGCCGTTCGTGCGGGCCGGCGTTGAGCGCGCCGACGAAGCCGACAATGTCAATGCGCGATTCATCGGCCCGGTCGGCGCGGACGCCGATGCCCAGATCTCGGAAATCGAGACGCTTCTCGACCAGATGGACGGGCTGGCTATCTCGTCGGTCAGCACCGATGCGCTCGCGCCGCTGATCAACCGGGTCGTCGAGGCGGGCATCCCGGTGATCAGCTACAATACGGACAATCCCGACAGCAATCGGCTGGTCTTTGCCGGTCAGGATCTCGTCCAGTCCGGACGCGAAGCGGGCAAGCTGATGGCCGACATACTCGGCGGCGAGGGGCGCGTGATGATCACCACGCTCGATGCTGCCGCGCAATGGTCGCTCGACCGGGAGAACGGCGCCCGCGAGGCGCTGGGCGAACATGACGGCATCGAAGTGGTGCGCACTCTGAACACCGGCACCGACCCCCAGGAGATCTTCGCAGCGATCGAGAACGCCATGCTGGCCGATCCGAACATTGACGGCATCCTGTCGCTCGAGTGTTGCTCGACACCGGCGGCCGGCGAATGGGTCGAACGCAACAATCGCACCGGCGAGGTCAAGGTGGTCGGCTTCGACCTGCTCGATCAGACCGTCGAACTGGTCGCCGAAGGCGTGATCCAGGCGACCATCGACCAGGCGCCCGAGCGTCAGGGCTATGAGGCCGTGAACCTGCTCGTGACGTTCCTTGGCGGCGATGCAATCGACGATCTGGACACCGGCGTCGGCGTCTATACGCCCGACAACATCGCCGAAGTGATGCAATAATGATCGTCGGGCACGCCCGGGTTCCGGGCGTGCCCGCTTCACATGCCTGACGGTACACCGATGACCGAAGAGCCCATCCTTGAACTGCGCAACGTCACCCGAACCTTTCCTGGCGTGATTGCGATGGACGATGTCTCCATCGGATTTCGCGCCGGCGAGGTTCATGCGGTGATCGGCGAGAACGGGGCAGGCAAAAGCACGATGATGAACCTTCTGGCCGGCGAGTTGCAGCCCGACAAGGGCTCGATCCTGGTCGATGGCCAGAGCCGGGACATTCCGAGCGCCCTTGCCAGCCAGCAACTGGGTATCCGCATCGTGTTTCAGGAGCTTTCGCTCTGCCAGAACCTCACGGTCGGCGAAAATGTGCTGCTCAGCGCATTCGCCGATAGGCCGCCCCTGTCGTTTCTCACCCGAAATCGCGCGGCCGGGGCGGCCGCCGAGACATTGGCCCGGCTGGGGCTCACCGATGTTGAAACCAGCACACCGCTGTCCACCCTTTCCGTTGCACAGCAGCAACTGGTCGAGATCGCCCGCGCGATTTCCCAGCATGTGCGAATCCTGGTGCTTGACGAGCCCAATTCGGCGCTCTCGCCGCGTGAAAGCGCGCGGCTGTTCGATGTGGTCCGCCTGCTGAAAGCGCAGGGCGTTACGATCATCTATGTGTCGCATCATCTCGAAGAGGTACTGGCGCTTGCCGACCGCATCAGCGTGATGCGCGACGGGCGCATGATCACCACGCTCGATAACGGCGCCGATGTCACGGTGGACAGGCTGGTCGCTCATATGGTCGGACGGCAGGTCGATGCGGCCGAACAGTATGCATTGCGGCCCGAAGCCCATGCGCGGATCGGCGAACCCGTTCTGGAAGTTCGCGCGCTCAGCGTTCCCGGCCATATCCGGGAAGCGACCTTCACCTTGTCACAGGGCGAAATCGTAGGCGTCGCCGGATTGCCGGACAGCGGCAAGGACATTCTTGCCGACGCCATATTCGGGCTCGCGCCGCGCGGTGGCGCGGTCGAAGTCGGCGGCATCCGCCTCCCTCCCGGGCGGCCATCCCACGCCATTGCGGCTGGCATGTCTCTGATTCCGGCCGACCGCCGCGCGGCCGGGGCCTTGCTGTCCATGACGGTGGCTGAGAACACGGTCTCGGCGGCACTGAAACGCTTCACGTCGCGCGGGTTCCTGCGGCGCCGGACGATGCGCGACACGACCGCCGACTATGTCAGAAAGCTGGACGCGCGCGTCGCCAGTCTCGGCCAGAAGATCGCAACGCTCAGCGGCGGCAACCAGCAGAAGATCATACTGGCCCGCGGCCTTGTCACCGGTCCGCGCATCCTGATCCTGCACGAACCGACGCGCGGCATCGATGTCGGCGCCAAGGCGGAAATCTATGCCATCCTCAAAGAGCTGGCCGGTCAGGGGCTGGCAATCCTGATGATCTCGTCGGAATTGCCGGAAGTCATGCTGCACGCAAGCCGCGTGATCGTGATGGCAGATCGCACGATTGCGGGCCAGTTGACAGGCTCGGACATCACAGAAGAGGCGATCATGGCGCTCGCGACACGAAAAGACCGGGCGCTGGCGGCATGACCCGGAAAGAAACGATGGGGGCGGCGCCATGACGCGCATCACGGTGGTCGGCAGCTTCGCCGTCGGCCTGACGATCCGGACCGAAACGATGCCGGTTTTCGGTCAGACGATCATCGGCTCCGATTTCGACTTCGGGCCGGGCGGCAAGGGCTCCAACCAGGCTGTCGGCGTGGCGCGCCTTGGCGCCGACGCCGCGCTCGTCACGTGCCTCGGCCAAGACCAGTTGGCCGGCGTCGCGGACGAACTCTATGCGGCCGAAGGGGTCGGAACGGACTACATCGAACGCAGCGCCGAGCGGGCCACCGGCGCCGGCATGATCATTCTCAATGCCGAAGGCGAAAACTTTATCATACTCGACATGGGCGCGAACGAACTGATGGATGCGGCCTTTGTCGACCGGGCCGCCGACCGCATCGCGCAAAGCGACATCGTCATGAGCGTTCTCGAAATCCCGGTCGCCGCCGCGCACCGAGCGATGGAGCGTGGCAAGGCGGCCGGAGCGCGCACGATCCTCAATCCGGCGCCGGCCACGGCACTGCCCGAGACCATCTTCGCCCATGTGGATTATCTGACGCCGAACGAAAGCGAGCTGCGCATCCTGCTCGGCCTGGCGCCCGATGACCCGACCGGCACGCGCGATCTGGCGGTCGAGCTGCGCCGGCGCGGTGTGGGCACCGTGATCGTGACCATGGGCCAAAAGGGCGCGCTGGTGCTCCGCGACGATCAGGAGATGGTCGTTGCCACACCCGCTGTCCCGGTTGTCGACACCACCGGAGCGGGCGACGCGTTCAATGCGGGGCTGGCCGCCGCGCTTGGCGAGGGCAGGCCGCTTGCCGAGGCGGTCGCGCACGGAACGGCTGCCGGCGCCCATGCCTGCACCCGTCTCGGCGTCATTCCCTCGCTGGCAACGCGCGCCGAGTTGGACGCGCTGATCGATATTTGATGGAACCGACCGGAGGCACCCCATGAAACGCGGCAAGCTGCTCAATTCCGAACTCAACCATGCCATCGGCGAAATGGGCCATGGCGACCTGATGATCGTTTGCGATGCGGGGTTTCCGATCCCGTCGGACGCCTGGCGCATCGATCTGTCGATCACCCAGGACGTTCCCGACCTGAAGACGGTGCTTTCGGCCATCGGCGAGGACTTCATCGCCGAAAAGGTCTCCTATGCCGACACGCTGCCGGCTCACAATCCGGTTCTGCTGGAGACCGTTCAGGCGCTTTTCGGCGACGCCGATCACGAGATGATCGCGCACGAGACGATCCTGGGAGACATGGCCGCCAAGGCCAAGGTGATCGTGCGGACCGGCGCCTTCGATCCGTGGGGCAACATCCTGCTCTATTCGGGCGTCGACGTGCCGAAGTGGTTTGCCAAGCCGGGTACGGTGGCGCCGCCCGAATATGCCAAGAAGCTCAAGGGCTGACCCCGTGGCGCGCATCTTCAGCTGGGCTGCACAGGACAGCGAGCGGCTGACCACGGTCGCCGGTCTGCGGGGCTCGAAAGGCCGGCATGGCGCGTTCGCCCAGGTGACCGCGGACACGGCTGCGGAGGCGGCGGCGGCGGAGGCGGCGGGGATCGAGATGATCGTCTGCCGGGCGCGCAGCGTCGCCGCGGTGCGGCAGGGTTCGCAAAGGCTGTTCGTCACCGCTGCGCTCGGCTTTGCCGAGGCGGTTACCGACGAAGAGATTTTGCGCACGGCCTTCAAGGCGCTGACGGACGGTGCCGACGCGGTGATCACGGCGCGGCGGCTGCCGATCGTCTCTCTGCTGGCGTCCGAGGATATTCCGGTGATGGGACATCTGGGCTTTGTGCCGCGCAAGTCGACGTGGGTCGGCAGTGTGCGCGCGTTCGGCAAGACGGCCGATGAAGCCGTCGAACTCTATCACCGGTTCCGGCGGCTTGAGGAAGCCGGCGCCTTCGCGGTCGAGGCCGAACTCGTCCCCGCGCCGCTGATGGCCGAGATCAGCAAGCGCACCGGTCTCGTGACCGTGTCTCTGGGCTCGGGGCCGGGCGCGGAGGTGATGTTCCTGTTTACCTCGGACATTTGCGGTGAGACCGATCGCGTGCCCCGCCATGCACGTCGATATGGCGACCTCGTGCGGCTGCACCGGCAGATCGATGAAGAGCGCCGCGCCGCGCTCACTGCTTTTCGCGATGATGTCCGCAATGACGGCTTCCCTGCCGCGGCCGAGACCGCGGACATGGCGGAGACCGCTCTCGAGGAGTTCGTCAGCCGCATCGGAAACTGATCCGGATCGTCTTCCAACCGAAACCCGACCAGACCAGCCGCGCGCTCGGCGTGCGGCAACCAAGGAGCATTGCCATGTCAGACGTCTCACGCCTTGCCGCCCACATCCAGCATACCAACGTCTCGCCGGCGGCGACGCGCGACGAGATCGCCGGCCTTTGCGACGAGGCGGCCGCGTTCGGGTTCAACGGCGTGATGGTGCAGCCGTGCTGGATTTCACTGTGCAGGACACGGCTTGCCGGGACCAATGTGCGCGTTTGTTCGGCCATGGCCTATCCGCTCGGCGGCAGCTTGACGCGCAGCAAGGTCGCCGAGATGCGGGATCTCGTCAGCGAGGGGGCGCAAGAAGTTGATTTCATGGCCAATATCGGTTTTCTCGCCAGCGGCGATGTCAACGCGTTTCACGATGAGATCGCCGCGCTCGTGGACGCCGCCGGCGCCATACCATTGAAGATCATGCTGGAGTTGGGCGCCATGCCCGACGATCTCTGGCAGACGGCGATCGGACAGGCGGAAAAGGCTGGCGTGGCCTATGTCAAGAACTCGTCCGGCTGGGGCCTTGGCGGCAAGGCCAGCGTCGAGATGATCGGCTTCATGAAGCGTTGCGTGACGCGCGCAAAGGTCAAGGCATCGGGCGGCATACGCAGCGCCGAGGATGCCGATGCCATCCTGAAGGCAGGCGCCGAGCTGATCGGAACAAGCGCGGGTCCGGCGATCATGGAGGGGCGGGTCGGAGCTGGCGGTTACTGACGGCCAGCCAATGCCGTGACCGCCGCCGGTTGCCTGGGGTCAGGACCCATCAATGTGATTGAAATGGCGGCCGGCCGAGGAGATCACGATGACGAGGAATGGCGGCGGCAGCCACATCGACTGCCAAGTCGCCAAACATCTGGCGGACCCTCACGATGAACGCGAATTTTCGACCGCTTGCTCAAGCTGATCGGGTTGATTGCGCGGACAGGGAACCTGGCGCCAAACGCATCCCCGATGGCAGGGCCGTGCCATCGATTTCCGGCCTTGTCGCCTTCGAGGCGACCGCCCGCCAATTGAGCTTTTCGCATGCCGCGTGTGAACTGACCCTGACCCAGGGTCCGGCGAGCAAACGGGTTCGCCAACCCCAAGGCGTTCTTGGCATCACGCTAACCGCCCCACCGGAGGTCACCGGCTATTGGCCGATTACGCCCCTTGGCCCGTTTCATGCGCTACACCCCGAGATATCGGTCAATCTGGCTTGCCGGAACCGGCAGAAGACCCCGCCCATCCGTTCGGGCTGGAATGCGCGATCCGTTGCGCCGACGGCGCGCTGACCGAACTGTCCGGCAAGGTGCTGCTCGCCGAGGACATGGTGCCGGTGGCAACGCCCGAGTATCTTGCCGGACCAGGTGTCACGGCACCGACGGCCCTGATGAATGCGCCGCCGATCCTTCAAAACGGGTGCCACGGCCTTTTGGCGCGACTGGTTTGAGGCGCTCGATGTTCACCCGGCCGGCCCAATCGAAGGCAACGGCCATGAGTGCATGTCGTTGGTTCTTCAGGCGGCACTCAGCGGTCATGGCGTGGCGCTGGCGCCATCGCGCGTCCGGCGTGATCTCATCGATGACGGACGCCTGCGCACCGGATTCGGTGCACCGCGCGCACCGACCGGAATTGTGGCTTTTGGGTCCACCCCGTGTTTGTGCGGCGGAAGGCCGTGCGGCAATTTCAGAACTGGATGTCGGAAACGACACGGGCGATGACGGGAAGTGTGGGCCAAGGATGCCGCCCATATCCGCATCATGACAGAAAATGACGCCATGCTAAATCTTTGGAGCGCTACGACGCCACCTTCTATCCAGGCGCCGCCGCTAGAGGGCGACGCAACGGCCGATGTCGCGGTGATCGGCGGCGGCTTCACCGGGCTCAGCGCCGCGCTGCATCTCGCGCTTGAAGGCGCAGACATCAGGCTGATCGAGGCAAGGAGCTTCGGACATGGCGGCTCGGGCCGGAATGTCGGGCTCGTCAATGCCGGGCTTTGGACGCCGCCAGCCGAGATCGAGACGATGCTTGGCGCCGAAGCTGGAACGCGGCTCAACGATGCGCTGGCCGTGGGCCCGGATCTGGTGTTCTCGCTGATCGAGCGGTTCCACATCGCATGCGAGGCGACGCGCAACGGAACGCTGCATCTGGCGCATTCGGCAAGGGGGTTCGGCGACCTGCGCAACCGGCACCGCCAGCAGATCCAGCGCGGCGCGCCGGTGACGCTGCTTGGTCGTGCGCAAACCGCCGAGCGTACCGGCTCTGAGGCCTTTCACGGCGCGCTACACGACGCACGCGCCGGTACCATTCAGCCGCTTGCCTACGTCCATGGGCTTGCCCGCGCGGCTGCCGATTCGGGCGCGCGCCTTCACACCCACACACCGGCGCTCGGATGGTCACGCGACGCTGGCGGATGGCGCATCGAGACACCGGCCGGCAGCCTGCGCGCAAAGCGGCTGATCCACGCCACCAACGCCTACGACACTGTGCTGCCGCAGGCGCGGGCCTTCACTCCGGTCTTCTATCTCCAGTTCGCTACCAGTCCTGTCCCGGAAGCGCAGCGCGGGCGGTTGCTGCCGCGAGGGGAGGGTTGCTGGGATACGGCGACGGTGATGTCGTCGTTCCGGTTCGATCGCACCGGAAGGCTGGTCATCGGCGGCGTGGGCAATCCGGCTGGCTGGCGCTCGAGCACGCATCGTCATTGGGCACGACGCAAGGTCCGGTCGATCTATCCGGCGCTCGCCGATCTCGATCTGGAGTTCGGCTGGAGAGGCCGCATCGCCATGACCGACGATCATCTGCCGCGCATCGTTGCGCTCGGCGAGGACGGCATCTCGATCTTCGGCTATAGCGGCCGCGGCATCGGGCCGGGCACGGTGTTCGGCAAATGCGCGGCACAATGGGCCATGACGGGCGCGCCCGAATCGTTTCCGCTGCCCCTTTCACGGACCCGGTCGGACATTATGGCGCCGGTGAAGGCAGCCTGTTATGACCTTGGCAGTCTTGCCGCCCATTTGGTCGGCGCGCGGCTCGGCGGATCCTGAAGTCTTTTGTCTGACGACAAATGCTCGCCGGATGGGCCTTGTCGAGCGCCATCATGGCGGCCCGTTGAGATGGTTTTGGGTCCATCGAACGGTTCAACCGCCGCTTTCCGGTTGCGGCGCCCCTTGCGGTTCGATCGGCAGGCGCGCCATCCGGCCTAGCGCTCCAGCGCCGCCTCGATCCCGCGGGCCGAGCGGCGCGAGGCCTGTTCATGTTCATGATCCATCACAAGCCGGACGGCACGCTCGCACACTTCGGGGGAGAAGTTGTTCGTGGTCTTGCGCAGGATCGTCCTTCCCACTGTTGAGTTGGACCCTCCGGCAAATCCGGCGCGGTTCACCGTGTCCTCGACCGACGCAGGACCGGGTACCGATGTCGCGGCTTGTGCCCGGGGCTTATGCGGCGCTGGCTTTCTCGGCCTTTTTGCGGGGAAGACACCCGAAACACGGTGGCGGTGGGCAAACCTGGCGGTCTGGCGTTTTCTGATCAAAGGCAATAGTTACGATTGATCTGGTTTTTTAAATTGTATCAAATGGTCAACCCGGACGCGGCGTCGACGCACTTGAAGGCCGGTTCTCCCGAGATCGGGAAAGCAAATTGAAACAGAGGCAAAGCTTGACGTGAAGAATAAGGT